TGCTGTATCCTTCTATTCTCTGTATTTTTGGGACGTTTGGGTCGCTGGGCAGCAGCTTATAACCGCTGCTCTGCATTATTAAGGTACAAGATGCTTGCAATTGATAGGCTTGGGGTTTGTATAATAAACTTTCAAAGCTTAAATTCACAGAATTGTACGCAGAACTTCTGAAAAGTGAAACAAAAACCTCATCCGGAGTTGTGCTAAAAATTCATAGGTCTTCCTCTCGTTATCTGAGTATGAGCTCTTGTAATATACAAAACACCCATACTTTAGTAATTATTCAAGTAATTGCTAGTGGACATTGGACTCATATTTTTGGCATTGAATAAGATTCATCTCCATCTGATGTTTTGCACACAACCCGAACGAATGATACTTAAAGTTGCTAAAAATGAAAAGTATCAAAGTATTGATCTTTAGCTGCATTGAGTACCATCATGATCTGGTTAGCGAAGTTTTTTCTAATGTGTGTGTGTATTTCTTGTGTAATTATATCTCAAGTATAGGAGTGAAACATATTTTATTACAGTATGGTGCCAGGGTCCATATGCATAACTGCTTAACCCAACTAATGTTAGATTGAATAAATTAACTGAGAGGTGCATTGCTTTTTAGTTGTGGAAATTGTTTGAAACCAAATTTATTATCTTTTGTCCTTTCTTATTTTCCAGATGCGAGCTAAAGATGGTCTTTGGCCAAAAATTGAGGAGACTTTTAAGCAGATGGACACGGCTGCAAAAGAACTTGAGTGCTTCAAAGCTTTACAGAAGCAAGAAAAATTAGCGGCATCACACCGGATAAATAATATCTGGGAGGAAGTTCAGAAACAAAAGGAGCTTGAGCGAAATTTACAAAAGCGGTATGGGGATCTTGTAGTGGAGTTGGAAAGGGTACAGCACCGTATGGATGAATACAGAGCACAAGCAGAAAAACAAGAAGAAATTGCATCCATGAATTGTGATCAAGAGTTGGCTGAGGCCACAGAAAATGTGACTGTTCTGCAGACATCTGAGAATCCTGATCCTACAACTGCTTCAGATGAGTTTGGGAGCACTGTTCCTGGTGGTGCATCTAATGGTGAAGCTACAAATCTGCAAATGGATGGTGATAAGGACATTGATGCTGGAAAAGATCACGAGACAGTGTCCAGGGATGTTAACTTACCTGATAACATGCCTTCTGCTGTGGAAGGAGAGAATGATCCAAATTCTCAGCTCACTAGCTCAGGTGGAATACACTCCAGTGGGGTTGCAGCTCAAGACTCTGTTAGCAAAGGAGATAATGTTTCTGACAATCTGGTTGCAACTGAAATCAAAATGGTAAATGATCCTGATGATGGGGTAATTAGTGACAATATGACAAGTAGTGTTGTAGCCGAGGATCAAAAAGTTGAGATGCGGCAGAACTTGACTGAACTTGAAGGCAGTGTTCAAGCAGCAGGGGATGGTGGTTTGGCTAATGGGAGTGCCACCATTGTTTCTATCGAAGGAGAGGTAGAGGATTCAGCTGAAAACGCAGCACCAAATCTAAACGTGTTCAATGTTGAGGAGACAGCGTAGTTTGGGTGATGAACTTTTGCTAGTCAAAACGTTGGTGGATAGGTTCCCAGTTGGGATCCGGTATGGGATTGTCAATCGGAAATTGCTCCCTACTTGATGATTTGGAAGATAATTATTATTGTTTTCAAAATCGTGCCAATCCATATGCTTCACCTGAAAGAACAATTGAGATCGTTTTCTGGTCTTCATACGGTGTAATTGTTATTAGATTGAGGAGCTATTGTTGTCTACCCCAAAAAAAAATTGACAAGAACAAGAGAGATTGAGGAACTCTTTTTGAAACTCTTTCTTTTTTAGAATATCTACCGTCGATTTCTTTATTATTCTGGTACCTGTCAATTATCTGTATTTGATATTCCGGTATGGCTTCTGCACTCTGCTTGGTCCATTGTATGTCCGTAAAAGTATCATCTGTGAAGAGTGAGGTCAACGTATCGCTATGCCATCGGTGACATGCAGAGAATTACACACGCACAATCTTTTGGTATGACTGGACGAGGATTTAAATCTAGAATCAGTTGGGTAGGGATTGACATTTTTTTTTTCTGTACTCTAAAGTGGAAATATTATTCTTTCACTTTAATCTTGTCGTTCATCTATATTATTATTTGAGGGTGTTTGAGGGTTATACCACACCCCAGTACTACAAGTGTTCGTATCTTTATTCACTTAAGCTAAACTTTCATCATTAAATATTGGGTACTCTCAACAATTATCAGTTTATCATTTATGGACGTCGGACGGTTTCAACAATTATCGACTTATCCTTGTGTTTGAATAATATTATAAGGTATGAAACTATAAACTGAAGCTGGCATTGAATGAAGACATTATTTAGCAGATTACTTTTCCAACTAAGCACAAGGGAGGAAGTCTATTTTGCCATCTTGCTGGATAAGCTCGCCCCACACTTTGAAGCTGCCATATAAAAGCTCCCAAAACTCTCTCTCTGTCTAGCTGACTGCCCCTGCCCAGACCCAGAGGTATCATATGGACAGTGGCATATCTCTTGCTCTGTTTTTGAGTTGTAATTGTAGGTTTTCTGTGGTCTGGTTTACCTTCTTTCTTCCACTCAGTGCAGCTTCTTCCTGGTTGAGTAAATAAGAAGCTGATTCATCTAAAAAAATTGCAAGTATAAATGTATTAGAATGGACGATGCAACCCAACCCAGATAAATTTCCATCAAAAAGAAGAAAAAAACACAGATAAATCATAAACCCATTTTACAAGTGCTTTTATTTTTGTTCTTATTGTAGGAGGTCTTGCTATCGACTGGCCAAAACTTCAGTGATCTTCGTCATCTATATCTACTGCTCGGCTAAGAAAGAGTAAGAGGCTCCTGCTCTGCTTCCTAATTTATGATTCTGAGAGGTAAGCAAGCCTTTTCCATCTCAAGTCCAAGCTTTTTACGACTTGTGTGATCGTTGAATTGACACGCATATTTCTCCTCCACTTTGTTTCTTTTTTTCCTTCCTTCTCCACAATCGCTTTTAACAATCTTCTCTTATATAAATAAATAAACCGTACACAAATTTGAGTTTCACTAACACAAGACCATGTCACATCTGTAACTTTTACACTGGCCAAAGCAAAGCAATTGTGATCAATCAACTGGCACTTGATAAAACCAGCAAGTCCCTCACTATTCACTAAAACAGAGCTCTCATCTCAAATATCTGCAATTTATCAATTTCATTGTCTACATCAAATCAGGAAGAAGAAGAAAAAAAGTAGTATTGGCCCAGTCACCGCAAAGCCAAGACAAAAGAAGCGTTCTCGTTGCTTCTTTGTGGGAGCGGTCTCATCATATATGATATATGATGACAATTATGCGAAACTTTCCATCACTTAATAATATTGGGCTACTTGGATTCCAAATGAACCACACTTCAAATGGGAAAAAGAAAAAAGAAAGAAAAAAGAAAGGTTATCTGCAAAATCTTTGGATTCCAAATGAACCACACGTCAAATGGTAAATGAAATTGAGTTGTCAATCAACAGAAAAGAATTGTTGGGGGCCTCATTCAGGAAACTGTTGATATAAGCCTTAGCCAGCCACATCAGTTGCATGCATGTTAAAGTTGTCATTTTGTTGGATTGGACTGCATGAGTCAGGACTCAGGACACCATTTCTGGTTGAGATGTTTTCCTCGTGATTCCTAATTACTACAGTTCCAAGTGGCAACTTGGTGTGTGACTGTGTACAGTGTACACACACTGACTAGTCGGAAGAATACTATATTTGTACAAATTTATAAATAAACCTAATCCTAGACATGTATTTATAAAAAAATCCAAACACTATTTAAACATAGAAACACACTCAAAATTAACTCCAAAATCAACAATTGTATATTTTTTGGGTGTGTTTATAAATGAGTTTTGAGTGTGTGTAATGATGGATTTTGAATGTGTTTATAAAGTATTTTGAGTGTTGAGTTTTTTTATAATTTCAGTCTCTATTTTAAGTGTTTTAGTGAAACACTCTACAATTTGAAATTGGCATGGTGGTGGGCTAGGTAGGTAAGGTCTTTTTTGGATTTTTCTTCCATAGTTTTGTGGGTTCTTTTTGGCCTTACATCATATATAATGGTTCCATTTTCAATCATTCAACAAGTTTTCTGAATATAATTAAGCTCTGTCTCGGATTGCAACTCAACTTTTTCTTGTAAGCTCTTTTTGCTTGAAGCCTTTTCTTGTAAATCCCATGTCAGATTTTCTGTGCTGTATATGTATATGTTGATGATTAGTTATTTTTGTGGGTTTTGTAAGTAATTTGCACTAACTGCGGCTTTCTAGTTTCTTAAACTCTGCAGTGCCACAATTTAAGGATTAAGGGGATTTCTTTCTTTCGGCTTAGTTTGTTGGAGAGGGAGCTTGGCTTGCATATATCTCTCTTTACATGTAAGCTTAGATGCCTTGAATTTCCTGAAGACTAGTTCCAAGTTGATTGGAATGGTCGTCTTGTGACTTAGAAATGGATTGAAGTTTGGAAAATTTTAATTGGGTCCTCTGTTTTGACCATAAAAAAACTCTCCCATTAGAGTAGTTAGATTGAATTTCGCTTGAATTTAGGGTCAACATAAATGAAAGTTTTTCGCATCAGAGTTTTTCTATTTTGTTTTATTTTGCTATGTTGATGAAGGGATTCGTTTTGCGTCGGAATTTTGCTTTTTTGTTGCTTCCAAAACCACACTTTGTTTGCCATAATTTTTCAAACAACAGAGTTTTGTTCTTTTTCCCCCAAATTCATTCATACTACTAATTGATCATTTTCGTAAAGTATCTAACAATGGTAGCCGAAAACAATTTCTGTAAGTATTAGTTTATATGTCTGCATTTAGTAATTTGATTATGTATTTCTGTCCGGGCAATAGATTATGAACTGATTCTGTGTCTCCTCTTTTGTTCAATTGGGGATTAGTTTCTTCAGCAAAAATGGTGACTAAAACGGTGGATCTCCGATCCGACACGGTCACTAAACCAACCGAAACAATGCGGGCTGCAATGGCATCTGCTGAAGTTGATGATGATGTACTGGGAAATGACCCGACCGCATTCCGCTTAGAATCAGAGATGGCAAAGATCACGGGCAAGGAAGCAGCGCTTTTTGTTCCATCAGGGACAATGGGAAACCTCATCAGTGTGCTTGTTCATTGTGACATTAGAGGAAGTGAAGTAATTCTTGGACATAATTCCCACATTCATATTTATGAGAATGGAGGCATCTCAACACTTGGAGGTGTGCATCCCAGAACAGTCAGAAACAACAAAGACGGAACAATGGATCTTGATTCAATTGAAGCCGCCATCAGGGACCCGAGAGGGGAGCTTGTGTATCCGACGACAAGGCTCATCTGCTTGGAAAATTCACATGCAAAGTAAGGATTATCTTACTACAAAAAATAAAATAAAAAATTAACACACATTTAACTATATTGCTTGTTGCAGATTACGATTTGGTAACCACTCCATTAGTTTTAGTCATTTTATATAATATCTGGTAGACTCCTACTTTGTGTTCCATGACTGGGGGGTCATTTTATTTTATTTTATTTATGTTATTGGCCTGAGAAATGTTGGGGTGGGATATCCTTAATTTACTTTCTCAGTCCCACTTGCATATATGGAGCCAAAGTTGGCTCCTGTCTTTTCTGAAAAATCTTTTATCAACCATGTGTTTGTTTGTTAATGCCCCCACACCCACGTGTTTTGGGGCCCGACTTGACTTCCCTGTATTTGGATAATTAGGAAGAGATTATCATCCTGCTTACATATAACCTGCAACTTTTTCCCTAATAAATTTAGGTTAGTTTATTTCTCCCAGATATTATAAAACTAATTGAGACCAACCTATCAAAGTTGAAGTTGGTTATGATTATTTCTCCTAAATCAGTTCTATTTTGTTGCTTAGCCTTTGCTCTTTTCTTTATCATTTGTAAAGCCTTGTAAGTGGTATAATTGCCAAATGCAGCTGCGGTGGTAAATGCCTGACTGCAGAGTACACGGACAGAGTGGGAGAAATAGCTAAGGAGCATGGTTTGAAGCTTCACATTGATGGGGCTCGTATTTTCAATGCATCAGTTGTGAGTCAATTTTCACCATGCATTTAGTTATGACTAATGTTTACAATTTGGATGATATTCTGTTTCATAATAAATAACAAGGCTATAATCATGTCAACGACGAAACAGATCAATGTAAACGGAAGAGATTGATCTTGATAATTAGATAGACTGAAGTTTAGGCTGAAAAGAAACTAGTTATAATTTCTTTTAGTTGAATATTGAACTTTGGTTTTAAACTTGATGGATAATGAATGAATTCTGTACATAATGTGGTAGCTTCATTTGTTACTTAGGGAAGGCTTGTTAATATTTTATTAGTTCATAAGAGACCGCAATTTCAAATGTTATCTTATTCATGGTAAACATGTACAGGCACTTGGTGTTCCTGTTGATAGACTTGTGCAAGCTGCTGATTCAGTTTCGGTATGCTTCCGATAACTGGCTTTTTTAATTATCTTTATAATGCAGTACAGTTCTGCAGGATTCTCTTACCAGTCTTTTTTCCTTTTTTTTTCTTTTTAAATAATAAACTAGGTATGTCTGTCAAAAGGTATTGGCGCTCCTGTTGGATCTGTCATTGTTGGTTCCAAAAGCTTTATTACTAAGGTATTCTTGAGAATTCATCTCTTAAAGATCAACATCACATCTTTCTTTTCTTTTTTCCTTCAAAATTTGATTCGTTGCTGTTTTCGCTTCTTACTTTAGGCTAGAAGGCTCAGGAAAACCTTAGGAGGTGGAATGAGACAGGTTGGTATCCTCTGTGCTGCTGCTTTGGTCGCTTTACATGAGAATGTTGCAAAGCTTGAGACCGATCACAAGAGAGCTAAAATTGTAGCAGGTAATTCTCAGTCTACTTGATTGGTTCTGTATACCAAACTTTTGTTTGGAGGGTAGCCATCGCTTTCTCTCTTCTCAAGCTTTATTCATGGATCTCTTTTTTTCTTTTTCTTTTGATGAATTCAGAGGGACTAAATCAAATCAAAGGACTAAGAGTAGATATTGATACCGTTGAGACCAACATTGTGAGTATTATTTGCTCAAATTTAGTCTGGCCAGCTCTGAATTTGTTTCTACCATTTACTTTTATGTTCTAACAGATGCATGACGGCTCATGTTAACAACCCTGCTTTCTTTTGTAATTGGAAACTTGTAATATCATATCAGTGCTTCTGATAAACATGGATCATCTCTGAGCATTTATGCACTTTTGCATATGAGCAGGTATATATTCATGTTGTAGAGGGGTCAAATATTAGTGCAGAAAAACTACTCAAGAACTTGGAAGAACACGGTATACTCATGATGCAAGAGAGCTCATCAAGGTCTGCTTCTTCACCTCTCACTCATCAAACATCTTTATATGCGTCAGGAAATACTAAATTTCCCAGAATGTATAAATTTGATTTTGGAATTTTTAATTTTGTTTTGTTCTCTTGATCAGCATTAGGATTGTTCTCCACCACCAAATTTCGGCAAGTGATGTGCAATACACTCTATCATGCTTTCAGGTAAACTTAATTGATATCATCACGTTCACATGTTTGCATATCTGCAATTTCTTTTTCTCTTGTTGCCCAAATTTATGTTTCTTTTCTATGTAAATGTTGCAGCGAGCTCTGACTGGAGGCCATGATGAAAATAATGGAAACTAATGGATATAGGACAACACAAGCTCTCCACCCTTCTCTCTCTGTGTGTCTCCAACATGAGATTTCTATATACTTCTTTGAACATGCAATAATTCAATCTTTGCCAAACTTGGAAACTTCTCTGTGCTAGTTTCATTCGTAAGGTTTTATGGTAGCAGAATTTATGTATTTTCTGTTCTTTTTTCATGTATATAACATGAAAAATCAAAGTTCCAGTCATCCTGCGTCTCAACATTTGACTTTCTCTATTAAAAGGTCTGACTTATAATAATGGAAAGAATTAAAGACCCAACTAAGCTAGCCTATAATGGTTTTTTTATGTATCAAGTTTTTCTTAAGAATCTCAATATACCATATTATAAAATAAAATTTAGAAGCAGATTTTGTCAGTATACGGTATATATCACCAGAATCTCAAACTTTTTTTTTGGGTTGGAAAATATAATTTATTGAAAAATATCATAAAATGTACAATAGATCTCAAATTTCAAACAATTACACAAATTCTTAGGTCCAATTCCGTAGAATTAGTAATAATAAGACCTTTTCCTTATTAATAAAAACTTATACCGCAACGCACCGCTTTGACACGAAAGCTCATCCAAAACATATATCTCGTGTACAGAAAACAGATGTATTATTGAAAAATACATACGTATGTGTATAATACGAGTATTAAACGTGAAAAATGCCAAATTCTTTATATGGGTAATATAACTCTAGCAAAGTAAAAAAAACTCAAAGGAGAAAATAGAGACTTGAATAATAGCATAATAGTAATGGATAGTTCTAAATTATTCTTATATATAAAAGAAAATCAGGATTTTTATTTTATTTTAAAGGCTCCCAATATAAAGTGTATAGCCGTTCGGCTACACTGTTTTGAAGTAAAAAATACTCCGCGTATAGCGCCTAGGTGTGCACGTGTGGAAATCGGCTATACTATTTATTAAAAAATATTAAAATACCCAGGTACAGCCGGACGGCTCTATTTTGGAAAAAGAAACACCTGAGTATAGCCGATCGGCTATACTATGACCATACTATGACCCGCTTACTGCCCAGGTGCCAACGTGTGGAACTTTTTTAGTAAATTTAGGTTTTAGCAAAAAAAAAAATTTCACTTTTGGAAAAAGCCAAAGCTTTTTCAAAAAAGACAGAAAAATCTCTCAACTTTTAAATCAAAGACATGCAAATGTAAATAATTCCTTAGGAAATCCAAAAATAAATAAGGGCAATTTTGTCAATTTTGGCTTTTTTTACAAAATTTCTCTCTCATTTGTGTTTTTCCAAAATCTCCCAACTTTTTTTTAAGTACAGCAGCACGGTGATACTATTTTTTGATATACGCGATTAGATGCCACATGTCAAAATTAGTATAGCCGCCCGGCTATACGATTTTTTAAAATATAAAAAAAAATACCCGAGTATAGCCGCTCGGCTATAACTCATTCTAAGACTTCTCTTTCATTTTTATCCTATTTCCTCACTTTCTCTTAAAAATAAAATGCCATATCTCCTTCGTCTTTCTGGCCATGGCCTTCGCCGAGACCGCGGAGATAGATTCCGATGCTTCGTCGGTGCGCTCCTCTGGATCACTGACATGAGGCGCTGGAGATAGCCTTTTCCTCCTCCGGTGAGAGATCATGAAGGACCGTGAGATCGGTAGGTCCAGGTGTTTCGGATTCGTTACTTTCAGCAACGACAAGGACATGCGGAACGGGATCCAAGGATGCCAGAGCCTTAATTTGAGGGTTAGTGTTCTTCTCTGATGTTAGAGCCGGTTTTATTTTGCGATCTTAGGTTTAGCTGTTCTTTTTCGATTGCAATGTTAGGGTTAGCTAGGGTTCTTTTGCGATTGCGATGTTGGGGTTAGCTAGGGTTCTTTTGGGATTGTGATGTTAGGGTTAGCTTATGTTCTTTTGCAATTGCAACGTTAGAGTTAATTTAGCTTTCTTTTGGTTTCTTTTGTAATTGCAATGTTAGGTTGAATTTAGCGTTCTTTTGCTACTGTAATTTTAGGGGTTAGCTAGCGTTCTTTTGTGATTGTAATGTTAGGGTTAGGTAGCGTTTTATTATTATTTTATATTGTAATGTTTGGGGTTAGCTGGCGTTCTTTTGCAATTTGCGATGTTTGATTAGCTAGCTTTCTTTTGCGATTGCTGTGTTAGGGTGAGTTAGTGTTATTCTGTGATGCTAGTGTTTTCCTGTGGGGATGTGGCTTCTTTTAATGTTGTTTATAACCGTAGTTCATAGACAAAGTAAAAATAATTTCCTTTGTTTCAGACATTTGATCTTTTTGGTTGTGCACTAGCTCATGTTGGTGTGATGGACTTGCTGTGGTTCCCAAGAATCTACCATAGGTTTTTAATGCTTTCTTTTGGGCCCGCTAAATTGTTTGCAACATGGTTTGATGTATAAACGTTGACTGATCCCTACCTCTCCTCCCATCTATTTCTGGTAATCGCTTCTTCACTATGTCAGGTGACCATGGGAACAACATGGAAGCCAACCTCACCACTATCTATCAAGATCACAATGACAGATTTGCACCATTACACCAATTGAAGTTATTAGAGGTTGGCCTCTACCTTATTCAGTTGAAGTTATTAACATAGTCCACATATCATTATTGAATGGGAAAATATTATATATGCTGGTTCTGATACTCAGAAAGTTCCAAAACTACCATATTCAGTTGTGGGGTCAATGATTGAACATTAATAATTGGTATAGTAAATCTATGTATGATATTACATCTCATAATAACTTTTGTTATCGCCCTATCATCATTTTCATTATCTATTTTATGGCTGTGTAAAAACTTATATAGTAGTAATTGTGATATTAAGAGGTATTTATTAGTAGTAATGTTGATTAAAATAAAGTTATACATATAAAATATGGTATTTTTAAATTTTTGATTGCCACATGTTGTATTCTGATTCGGCAATAGTAACATTTAGCTAGGTCATTCCCACCCGATATATTCTTCCAAAAAGTTTTCCGCATCTTGTGTTTAAAATAAATAAAAAATTGTTCTTCCTATTGGCTTATTTTATTGATATGAGAAGTTTGATGTCCTGTAATATGTTGTACGGCCCTATCGTTATTTTCATTATCCATCGACAATTACATTTTTCGGTTTTGTTCCTCCCTGTTAGTTTGGGAGGGATTGGTGCTGTTTGTTTCTCTCTGTGTTGTTTTTGTTTCTTCGGTTGTGGTTGCCTTATCCACCTCCGTGCTCTTTTGCTTAATAAATTTCGTTTCTTCTCAAATTACATTTTTTGGTTGTATAAAAAAAATTAAAAAAAGTTTTTAATTTCATTGTAAGGTTATGGACATAGCAATATGTTATCTTACAATTTTTCATTGCCACATGTATTCTGATTTGCCAATTGTAGCCTTTAGGGTGGTCCCAAATATTCTTACGAAAAGTTTTCCACGTCTTGTGTTTTAAGTAAATACAAAGTTGTTCTTCCTATTTACTTATTGTATTGATATATGACAGGTTTGAAGTCCTGTTATATTTCCGTAGTTGGTATACATAAAATCTTAATATGATATGATTTTGACATGTCATCGTAACTACTATTATCTTCCTATCAGCATTATGATATACTCTGTTCTTTTTAGATATCCAAACTTCAATTTGGTTTTCATAATAGAACCCTCCCATTTATTCTTTGAAGATATCGGAAACTTCAATTTGGTGTGTGAATCCTTATGATCGAAGTTATATACTCTATAACATAGGCCTTATCCACACAAGTAACAGGGAACATACGAAAGCTTTGGAATATTATTTTAGTGTTAAGTTCATACCTTCAGATTCTGTATTGCTACCTTTAGAATGTTAAACTTCCTTAAGTTTGTAAGCTCATCCATTCCTTTTAAGATTTTATGTCTTCTTCTTCTTCTAGGTTTTGTTCATGGCAGTATGTGTTTTAATTGCAAAGGAATGAGAATTTGTAGGTTATAGGCATTCACAGTGATACAATGTTTCATTTCTTCATCTAATTTTAATTACTCATTGATCAACCGATGTCAAGACTGTCTTTTACAGCATTCACACTGCCTGACAATTAGTGGACATTGACTGTTTTCTCACTGAATCAGGTAAATTGCCTTGTTCCTCTATTAATTTTGGCATGTTTTCCATTGTGAGGTTTGATAACTGAGTTTATTCTTGCAGGAAATATGTTTTTTCTGAAAGCAAACTGCCTACCAGTGCTGCAACTTATTGCAATTGATCTATAGCCGATGAAACTTTAGGACGAAGCAGCTGAGTCGGTGGAATTTCAGTCGAATATCTCCTCTTTATTTTTCAGGAAAAATGTCTGTAATGTTTCTCCTCCTCCTCCGTCTGTCATGGTTCCACCACGTTTATGGTCCAATAAGCCCATATTACCCAAACAATTATAACAAGTCCAAGTACCTCATGAGGCCCAATTCTTAGTCGTACAACGTTTAGTCTGAAAACAAGCTATAAGACCCAATTCCTTAACTGGTCCATTTACAATTACCTAGCCGGTAATTATGGTATGTACATTTGTTGGACCAATGATAAGCCCAATAACGTAAAATTGGGCGCATAAGGGGCCCAATGAAATGATATTCGCCCCAAATGTGGACCTAATTAACGTGAAAATGGGCCAGCATGTCAGCCCCATAATATATAAATACGCCCTATACTCACCCTTATTATTATCAAACAGGCCCAAAGGTTAGCCCAATAACTTGAAAATAGACTCCCTACTGAGCCCCATAATTTGAATATAGACCCAAAGGTTGCCCAAATAAATGTAAAAAGGGGCCCAAAGTAGGCCCTGGATCATGAAAACTAGCCCAAAAACAACAGAATTAGCTCAATGACGTCTCAAAAAGGACAAAATAGGCCCACTGAAGGATCAGCAAACCACAAATGGACCCATGAATACCCATAAAATGACAAAATAGGTCCACAAATAGATTGAAAACGATAAAGTAGGCCCAGACAATGGGCCATATACGACAAAATAGGCCCAAAAAGGATGCCATAAAAGACAAAATAAGCGCACAAAAAGGCCACAAACGACAAAATAGACCCATACAAGTCATCATAAACGACAAATTAGCCTAAGGTTGGGCTCATAAACGACAAAATGAACAAAAAAAATAATAGGGCCATTAACGACAAAATAGGCCGACAAAGGTACCATAAACGACAAATAGGCCCAAACAATGGCCCATAAACAACAAAATAGGCCAAAAATGGGCCAGCAACAACAAAATAGGCCCAAACAATGGGCCAGAAAAGACAAAATAGGCCCAAACAATGGTCCAGAAAAGACAAAATAGGCCCACAAAGGATGTCATTAACGACACAATAAGCCCACAAAGGTACCAGAAACGACAAAATAGGCCCATAGAAGTCATAAAGGACAAATTAGTCAACAGTTGGGCTCATAAACGACAAAATGGGCCCAAATAATGGGGCCATTAATGACAAAATAGGCCCATAGAAGTTGCCATAAACGACAAATTAGCCTACCGTTGGGCTCATAAACGACAAAATAGGTCCAAACAAGGCCCAATAAGCGACAAAAAAGCCCAAACCAGGGCCTAATACCCACAAAATAGCCCAAATAAGGCCCAATAATCACTAAATAGGCCCAAACAAGGCCCAATAATCACAAAATAGGCCCAATGAACTACAGAATAGGCCCAATGAAGCGGATAAGCGACAAAACAGGGCCCAATGAAAAAGCCCAAGCATTAGAATGGCCCAGAGTCGGCCTAATATTATGAGACAGGCCTGGTAGTCTGCTCAATATTATGAAACGAGCCCGAAAATGTGAAAACCAGCTTAGAGTATCAGGCTTGAATTACGTGCTATAGGCAGGATTTTTCTTCACTCGACGGCCCAATTGTTTTAAAGGAGTTTCACTAAAACACCCAAAATGGAAAAAAATCCAACACTCAAAACACTTTATAAACACACCCAAAACCCATCATTACACACACTCAAAACCCATTTATAAACACACCCAAAAAGTTAACTTTGGGGTTGATTTTAAGTGTGTTCCTATGTTTAAATAGTGCTTGGATTTTTTTTATAAATAAATGTCTAGGATTGGGTTTATTTATAAATTTGTATTGTTTTAACTGGCCAAATTTTTTGATCGAAAATAACACGGAGAATGGTATAGCCCAATTCAATAGTGAATTATCTTTTGGCATAATCTATACATAGCACAGTAGAAAAAGAAAAGCATGCATACAAATATTAATTACAATCCGCACTAAATATATTGTACAGGCTTCTTTTCATTGAAATTACATCAAAACAGCAAAGGAAAAAAAAATAAATAAGGAATTTGAGGTGAATCCTGCTAGCATCCGGTTTTAGATTTCCTGGGGATAAAAACAGTTAAACAATTAATAAGAAATAATTGGACAAAATTAGATTGATTGATAATCAGAAATAATAATCACAATTAGAATAAACCAGATGGTCACTGTGCAAAACTGAACCGAAGCAGAACTTAAGAATACTGAATGTGCAAGTGGGCAAGACAACAAACAAACGTATCAAAGTACCACACTAACAAACGAACTAACAAAAAGTACATTATGAAACTTCTGAATACTGAATGTGCAAGTGTGCAACACAACAAACAAACATATGAAAGTATCACACTAACAAACGAACACACACAAAAAACATTACGAAACTTCTTGCACGTCTCTGGAAGAAGCAGCAATCCTCAAAACTACTTATCAAATAATAAGCTAACAATAACAGACTCTAGCAACATTTCAGGAACAACTAATGTTGTTAAAAAGTGGACAAAGTTCGTAATTTAAAATGATATAATAATAAAAACTATAGAATAACAATTTTTTTTTTTAATAAAATGCAAGTAGTGGCATTCATAGGAAGAACATTTCTTAAATCAATAACCAAAAACATACAATATATTTAAAATGTAATATATGGCAAAGAATATTTGGTGTGGGATGACCACTAAATTGATAGCATACCAGAATACAACCTACCAAAGAAATATTTTTAAAAACTCTATTACTAATTTTTACTTTAAACAACACTTCACTAGCAAAAACTAGTACCTTTTAATACTCAGAAATAAAATTGAAACAGAGATTATATATGTTACAGGTTTTACACAACCTAAATGTAATTGTCAATAGATAATAAATTGTTTATCCACCAGGCGACTACATTTTTATATTTACAATGTTCTTTTCCTCAACATTTCCTACTGATAAACACCTTTAATATTCAGAATTACTACCAACTAGAAAGAAAAAAAAACTATATCAGTTTAGTTCTTAACACACTATCATCCCTCGAGCTGATATATCATTCAACAATAACATAATATTTCAAAGCGCTCCCATTCTTATCTATCATGTGATATCGTTAAGAATTCAATAATATGATATTTGCCCCTCAAAACTCTTCTTCTTTTTTTTCATTTTGGTTTCATTTAAAAACTAAAAAGGAATGATATTTTACAAAAGAGAAACATTTACATGCTTGAATGAGTAAGGAGATAAAACCTTAACCCGCTGTCAGTGCCTCTATCAATGCACATCGCATCTTGAGCAAGCTGCCATGGAGGACCTGAATGCAAACAGCCCACTCGTTAATGCATTGAATTAAAGATTGACCTAATTACTCAGCCCTTTCGCTCTATCAAATCAAATCAATGATCTCGCTAAACCATAAACCAAGGTAAACCCTAAATTTCAAAATCAACTTTGACGGACCCACAAATCCCTCATCCCTTTCGCTCCATCAAATCAAAATCAATGAACTCGCTAAATCATAAACCTAATTAAACCCTAAATTTCAAAATCAACTTTGACGGGTCCTGGAATTCCCATACCTAGCCCCATCAGATCTCTGGTGTTGCTGTTAATTCCCAAGCCATTTCAACGATAAGCTCTTGAACGGATCCGATCGTGCTTGCCCGGCTAGGGCAGTAGGACTACCTCTGACGTAGAAGCCATGGCGGCCATCGAGGCGTTAAATCTCGCGAAACAAGAACCGCATCGAGGCGTTAAATCTCTCTTTCTTCATGCTCGTGAATCTGGTCACCAACGAAGGCTCCGATCACAGAGCCAATGCCATTGTTCGGGCGTATGAGCCCTTCTCCTTTGGCATAGATCTGATGAAGCTTGGCTCGGAGGGTTTGGATTTCCTGACCTTCTCTCTGTGTCTCTCATCTCTCACTTTCTCAGATCTGTGCTCACACTCTTTATTTGAAACTCTGAAGGCCCGAGGGTTAAGGCTTTTCTCATTTGTGAGATCAGGCTCCTTTCGACGGAATATAGATAGATTATTCTTCTCTGTACGACGTCGTTCTGTTATGTATAGAATTTATAAGTTAGAGAGTTAGTGGACTGGACCGGTTTGCTTAGTTACCTCGACTCTGGACTTGGCCGCGTGTCCTGGGTTTCAATTCGCATTGGGCCATCCTCTTATAATAGTCCAGCAACAGAGTAGTAATAATAGTTAGCAGCAGTGAGTGATAGCCTTTGTTGCGACATGTCGTATAAAGTAAGCTAGCTACCTTCAATTATAAACATCCGGATCTCGACTCTCTGCATTTAAATAGTGTGCATTTGATGAAATATGGTGTACTAAAATAATCCAATACTTCTTAATACACCACATTAGCTATCATAAGTATGAGTGTTATTTTTTCGAACTAACAGTAACGGTAACGTGTATTGTCATTAACTTTTTTCCAATGTACTCTCTCCTATCTTTGATCTCCATTTCTTGCATCAGCACCAATTGTATCATAGAATATACTACTCAAATTCCGGAATATAATGCCCATAAACATTTTAGACAAAAACAAAATGATAATGCCCATAAGACATGTCATTTACGACAAAAACAAAAGCATAAACACAACAATAGGATTAGGGTACCATCGGTTTGGATATGTTAGCATTAATTTCCCATCACTCATATAAAGCAAATTAAAGTTTGAAACATATTGAGCCAGGAAATGATTAAGAAACCCATCTTGGTTGTTTGCTAAAAGTAGGTGGAGAAATATTCGTTTGCTCTTTATTAATTTGCATGCGATGGAGTGGAGAGTCAATTCTTTCTCAAGGGACATTGACACGATATTTTGGATGGAAGTATAGAGGGAATTGCGATGAAGGTTCCTCATTAAGTTGTTGCTTTCTTGGTTGTTTGTTTACAATCTCGGATTTGTAAGCATTTGTGAGTGACATTAACGTATTCACTCATACTCATACTCATCTCCTACTTTCTCTATATATCTATCTCTCCTCTATCCAGTGCCACTAACTTTCTTGACAACTTTTCTCATTTTGTTCAAACAAAATAAATTACAAAGAGAATTCGCGTTACAAGTTTAACATTGCCTTTGTTTGGATATGAAAATTTAAAATATATTTTTTTGACTAAGACTTTTACCTTAATGGAAAACTTGGATAAACCATTAAAAATAAAGAAAGAAAAAACTAATTGATAATTTATACACGCAAGTCAAATTGTGATTGTCAAGAAAGTAGGAGTTTATACTTCTAGGAAATGAGACAAGTACTTTTCCATTGATAAGGGGGGAAAATATGAAGTAATGAGAAGAGAGAAGTTTTGCACACTTGATTATGTTAGGTAAACCAGAGATTAAAAATGTTTTAGTAATATATTTAAGTTTTAACTCCTTTTGTTCCCTAATATGTAACAGGGCTTAGGCCAGGAAGATTAAACAAGTGAATCATCTGGAGGTTTCGTTTCCTTAGCACAATGCTAACTCTAAAAGATGAAGAAGCTAGCATACCTATACATTTTCTCGGTTCTAACAGTTTGGACCAGCACAGGGAAGTTCATTGGGCATCCCAATATTATAAATTTGTGGTTTGATATTCCAAATGCAGGAAGTGTGTTCCTTACCCAAAGTAGAAGGGTTTTCCTTGTAAACATAATTAGCATATGCTGCTGCTGTATCAGTTTATCTAAGCCAATTTTATATCTTAATTTCTTATGACATGTTTACTTATTTGTAATGGGTATTAGAATCATGCACATATTAACACATGCATGCGTGGTAAAAAACTACGTATATTTCATATTACTATAACTAATTCAATACCTGAAAAAACTAGTAATTAGATTTATTAAAGGAGTAGTGGACTTGTTATAAGTGAGTAAAAAGGATGTTAGTTTTATTTACCCCCCTTCTTTTTACTAATTTATAGTTTTAAGCGCTTAATTACTATTGGCAATGATGCTAGTAAAAATGATAGTCTACAAAAGCACCCCGAATCCTGCCCTATAATGAGGCCCACCCAAGACCATACGTTTTTCCTACGGATGGACTTACATTTACGATGTAGCCGTCCTGCCCTTCATTTTTGTTTACCAATAATTATGTATGATCAAAATTAATTACCAGTAAAATTTGGCCTCTATAAGCATTTTACCCAAAAAGGAATGCAGATGAAAGAAGCAGAGGTACATTTTTTGGATGATATCGTAAACAGGTAATTGCTCTGAAGTTTCCTGCATACGTAGTTCCATCATTAACGTGTAGATAGCTAATTTAATTACTTTAAAGTGAGATGTCAAATATCAAATATTAAATTTCACATTACACCCGATATGCCGTGTGGTTTGGTATGTTTGTACAGTGTCGGTATGTTTGTACAGTGTCAATCATTTTTCATAAACAAACTGTTGCTTTACCATCCTGGTTAAGGTTGGTTCACGACTAACCGAGTCCCTTAAGTAAAAAATAAGTTTATGGTAAAGCAGTGTTAAACACTTTGTTTCAAGGCCATTATTAATTACGGCGTATCATTATTATGAGTAAAATCATGTGTCAATATGTTACATCACACAGAGCTACCTCCTCAGCAGCATGCTGCATGCATGTACCTCCGATTTGATCGATTCATTTCACTTGTTTTTTTGGTTTACTGAAAAATTAATCTCACCCTCAAATTAAATAAAAAATGATTTGTTATTTTGAAGAGAAGGAAATATTGGGTTATGGGTGTGGTTGCACGCGCATAAAAAGGGGTTGGTGGTTAAAAATGTCATTGTGGCAAGGGTCACCATCAAGGTCTGGCCGATGCTGCCTAACTTGTCCTATTAAGGGAAAACACTTTTCCTGTTCACTTTACTTCTTCTCTCCTCTCTTCTCTGTTAACTTTATTTCAACTCTTAGTCCTTAAACAGACTGAAACCTTTCATGACTCTTCTTCAGTCTTTAGCTTCACCCACTGCCCTCACTGAACCACTCTGTCCTCTCTGTCTCTCTCTCTCTCCCTCTTCCTCCTCCAACAATTAATGTCTTAACTATCTCAGTTGCTGCCTCTCTCTCTCTCTCTCTCTCTAATGGTTAAGTGCTTTGCCTTTTTTTTTCTTCCCTCAAAATAAAAATATGATATGAAGATCTTCCTTCTTACAAATCATGATGCACCCAATCTAACTGCAGTCTTCCAAAGATTTCTTCTTCCACCACCAGACCGTTACTCAAAACTAAGTTTTCCCCAAACATACCTTACCTTGATTCCTTCTATTCTCCCTTCTTAAATCTTCTCTATTTTTCTTTAGGCTTACCAAATCTAAATTACTTGCAAGTCCAAAACCCCTTTTCTTTTCTTCTAATATCTCCTCTCTCTCACTCTCTCCGACAAATTATATTTATGGAAGCCATGCAAAGTCTAGCATTTATCTTCCTGTGGGCATGTTAATAAGTCCCTCCTTCATCCCTCATTTGCACTTTAAAACAGCTCAAGAGAGAAAGGCATATACGCTCTTCAAAACATCTTCTCTCTCTCTCTCTCTCTCTCCTCTCTCTCTCTCTCTCTCTCTCTCTCTCTACCATTATTCTCATTCATAAGGGCTAGCTAGTCAACAAGAAAGAGAAACCCTAAAAGGAGAAGATCAGAAAGAATAATTGGTCCAACATCCACAACAAATCTCACCTTTGAAGGACCAAAATCTCACCTTTCATTCCACAATGGACATAGTTTCAGAGCCAATCACCAAGAATCCCCCCATCACCTTTGAAACCCCCATAATCAACAGCTCCACAAGTTCCATGATCACTCCATCATCCTCAGCAATATCTCCAGCCACAACCGCCGACTCCATTTCAACCCCAACTCCAAGCCGCTATGAAAACCAAAAGCGGCGCGACTGGAACACCTTCTGCCAGTACCTCCGGAACCACAGGCCTCCGCTGACTTTGCCGATGTGCAGCGGGGCACATGTTCTGGAGTTCCTCCGGTATCTGGATCAGTTTGGCAAGACCAAGATCCACAACCAGACCTGTCCCTTCTTCGGCCTTCCCAACCCACCAGCGCCCTGCCCCTGCCCGCTCCGGCAGGCCTGGGGTAGCCTCGATGCCCTCATCGGCCGCCTTAGAGCGGCTTATGAGGAGCACGGCGGGAGGCCGGAGGCCAACCCCTTCGGAGCGAGGGCTGTGAGGCTCTACTTGCGTGAGGTTCGTGATTTCCAAGCCAAGGCAAGAGGGGTGAGTTATGAGAAGAAGAGGAAGAGGCCCAACAACAACAACAATAATAGTAATAACAATAAGCCAAAACCAAACATGAATGCCATGCTCGTCGCAAGTAGTGCTGCTTCTTCAACAACAACAACTACAAGTTAATTAGTGGTCGGTCGGGCTCTGAGAGGGTATATTTCTCTCCCCTATACTCTCTACTTTAGTTCCGTTTTACCTTGCACAAAAAAGGAAAGATCTTATGAACTCTTTTGTGATATGTTGTCGAAATGTTGAAGTGCTTTTTTTTTGTCTGAAAAAAAAACACCTACGGTTTTGGGGTTTGGGCCTCTTGGACCTTGGCCCTTTTCTTCTGATCTGGCTGGGGGTATCTAGCTTTCTAGCTAGCTCTGAAACTGAATGAAGAAATTATTACTAGAGGAGAGATCTCTCTGGAGAGTGAGAGTGTTGGGGAAAATGGCATCGGATGAGCTGTGGGTGGCAGTGTATTTACTCGCTAGCAAAGTAGGTAGCAGATATTATGATATGATTGTACTTGAAGCACAATATGAGATCATCATCACGAAGTAATAGTAGACTGTTTGCATTATTATTTACTTGTCTTCTTGTATGTTTCTTTCTAAATATAATTTATCTTTATATATCATGTGTCTGTCTCCCATTATCAATCAAATTATAACCCATTGACATCACATATGCCTCCTCGCAAGTACTATTCATATGGTTTAATTAGCATGTGCTTGCAGCTATCATAAAATGTGATTTCCATTTTGGTATATATAATTAAAACATGAAACACGAAACACAACTAGATAATTAAGCTCTAATTAATCCATCTCTCTCTCCCTCTCTCTCTCCACACACGCACATATATAATTATGTAATAGTCATTAAATTAAAGAAATCATCATGCATGATTCATGAATGAGAGATAATTGTACAAGTGAAAAGCTCACGAGAGAGAGACTAGTCACTATATATAGTCAAATCTGGTTAGGTCGTATTCCTTTAAAGATAATCTTATTAGATCTATAATTTAGCAAAAAGACAAAGCATAGATTATCTTTGCTGTGATTGATGCCAGCTAAAAGACAAATTTAAATTTAAAATTTAAAATAATCAATTGTTGTTTTTCCATGGATGGTAGGCTGAGGTTGGGTTCTGCTGGCTGGCTGTATCTGATATTGCCCATGTCTCCTTTCAAGGGTTTATTATATTTTCAATCTTTAAGAGGCAAACTCTCGAAACCAGAAGTCGACATTTTATGTCCGTGTTTCTGTGTGTGTTTTAAACTACTTCTGCCTGCTTAGAGAATCAATTGATTCTTATGGGAATTAGTTTGGTTTAAGATCAGAAAGACAATTGAGTTTTGTTTGTTTGATTAGAAGATGTGATGCTTTAAACCAAATGGCAACCATTAATACACAATTCAGCTTTGTTTCATTACTTTTACTGTAAGAAATTTTACACCAAGGAAGGACTGCTGAATTTTGAGTATTATCTATGCATTTTGCCTTTGAGGCCGCTTCAGAATTTCGCATAAACCAGTAGCCAGCTGCGTATATTTTTGTATACGTATTTGGATTTGAGGTTCATTTATTTGTTCCCAACCAAATGAATTATGGCATAAATATTTCTTAATAAAGGATTTTTTTTGTTGAAGAATATTAGTCTCTAATTCTCAATGGTGCATTGTTGTAGTAGGACCATGTTGCATTTATATATCTTTCATACGATAAGTACGTAACATTCATAAACTTTCATGGTGTATTATATCTGGAACCTCACACTTCAATTGTGTAAACTAGATTGTTCCCTATATCACCCTCTTCTCTTTCCTCTCCTTCTCCCTTTCTCTTTCCTCTCCCTCTCCCTCTCCCTCTCTCTCCCTCCTTGAAGTTCATGGATGCATGTATATCTTTGGTTTTGTATTCACCTTTTTTTCCTCATGCAATGCGAATAGGTTTAATTGACTTTGTGAATGCTGCTGGAGTATTTTTTGTAAAGTTCATGCTTGTTTATTTGGATCGACAAACATGACATACTCCGTTTCCCTTCCCCTTCCTATATATGTATCATCTCCTTTTCAAATCTTGAACCAATATTCTAACTCAGTCAAGAAGTTCCCGTGGTTAATTATTGATCTTTTTCAACATGTTAGTGTTGAAACGAAGTGGTAATTGTGATAACAGTGATTTCTGTATGGGAAAATAAAATTGAAAAACAACTCCTTCGTCTAGACTTCGCGCATAAGAGTATACAAACCCATTCAAAATCTTTGTCAAAAATCAAAACAGCATTCCTATCGGGGTTACAAAACTGGCTGGGTTGTTTTAATTTTAATGCACTTTACCACATGGCACTTGGGTCTCATTGTTGACTGGAGCAGATCAATTTTTACGACTCTTATGAGCATGAGAAGAAGAACAATGTGGTTCTTCTCTTGGAGTTTCCAGAATTGGTTAAAAGTTCAGATTGAGGGTTTCATGGAACTGCATGCATGCTTTTGTGTTGAGAAGAAACTTGTAATCGTGATTAATTTGGTGCACTTAAACTGCAACGCTTGACGCTCTGTTATAAATGAAATCATGATCTAAATTTAAAGAGACGTAGGATTTGAAGAGTACATGAGATGAACTAATCCTTGTAACCTAGGTAATTGAGAACATATACCAATATCGACAACATGCATTGCATGATGACGACAACCTGTTAAAAACACACATATTTATATATAGCGCATCCCCGTGCTGAGCTCTTTCTAACCACGAATTGGTTCTGATTTCTAACTACGATTGTGGTGTTGTAATTTGTTCTCATTTGTTAATTTCAAAAGAATAAATGAAGTTGAAAAGTCTCCGTCGTCTTATCAGACATTGTACTCCTCACCCATCATCTCAGTTATGGTGTAATGGTACTATGGAATATCTGCTGTTACGGCATGGCCCCAATGTACTCAGTTTAATAGTAAATCAATGTTATGTTGAGTTTGATTATTTTTAATTAATTAGTGATTAGCAATTTACTAGTACAAAGCGTGATAGGTGAGCCGGAGGAAGACGCGATTGGGAGATGAGGGTAGTAGGTCCTAACCGGCGCAACAACCCAAGCAGTCCGTACAATGGGAGGTGAAGAATCAAAAGATCCCGCAATCGTCGGACTCAGGTGGCCGACACGTGCACATTGCCTGGTGGTCTCCACCCCAACCAAGCGCGTGCTCCCACGTGTATACTTGTGCTGCGTGTCAGTAAATAACGTGCTCTTATTGCATTTTTATCATCTTGTATCATTTCCAATGAGTTGCTTAAACAATAGTTTGAACTATTCTAAATTAATTTAATCTATATGGAAGAGGGCTCGCTCACTTCCTCATCTACAAATGAACTCCAAAGTTTAAATTCAGAGAATAGTTTAAAAAAACTCTAACTACTACCCACGCGGGCGAGTTGAGGCGGTTGGATTGGGATTCCGTACGAGGAAGGGGGTGAATTTTATTATTATTAATTTTTTCCCTGTTTGGGTCTGAATTGGTTTTGCTATTTATGGGTTTTGGGTGTTTTGGGGGACGCATCACTGGAGTCGACTCGAGTCTCGGAGTCAGATATATATCCATAACATAACCATGTGATCTTTTGCCTGAATGTTGAATGAATATAGATTTACTTGAGACTTGGACTTGGACTTGTGGGGACCATCGACTTCATTGGCTCATTTTTTGGTAGCCTTTAATTAATCCAAATTAGATTTAGAAAAGTGAGGGACTTGGGCACTTTGGCACTTGGGGGCGTTTGATCAGATCAATTTTATTCGACACGGAATGGAATGGAATGTCTTAGAAATTTGATGTGCAATTTGTTTTAATCACCTAATAACAACACAAATACAAATACAAATATATTATAATATTAATGCTAGTGTTGAGACTTTGAGCTTGTGGGGTTCGAGGCCAATGTCACCAATCACCATACTACTTACAAGTCAGTATGCTAGGGTAGAGAGAGAGCATGTTTGATTGAGAGCTTGTTGGGTTGGGTTGGGTTGGGTTAGGTTGGCGTACGAGCCACATCAGCTGAAAATTATAAAAAAAGACGGGGTGTGTTAGGCCGGACCCACCATGCCCGGCCTTTACAATTGCTTAGCTCTAGCCTAAAAAGGGCTATTTTAGCCAATTTCACTAAGATTTACATATACGAATTGGCTTCTCTTCAAATTTATGAGATAAAGGAAGTAAAAGATATGCTCAACCACCATGCATCATGTTGAATACTCTTGGCCACAAACAAGAACAGGAGGGGGTGGGAAAATTGGTACATTTGCCTTCCCCCTCCCAACTACACCAAATCAGAAAAATTGGTGTTATCCATCGTACACTTCCTAAGTTAACTTCTTCCCTGCTACAAGCAGAGAATATGATCGAGGGAAATAAAAAATAAAAAAATCTGCAGCCCATAGCAGAACAGCCTTTTCTTCCCCTTTCCCCTCTCGTTTTCTTCTCTCTTTTTTTCTTTCTTTTTCTAGCATAAAGAATGAGCAGGTTGAGTAAGATGTACATGCAACCTGAAAATCAGGAACGCAGAATTTACATTAGTCAAAAACTGGCAGAGCAAGTTTAGACTCTAATCCTTGTTTTGTGATTGTGAAACCAATGAATTGAATCATGTAGGACGACTATGAATCTCTTCATTAAGAAGCCGTGTCACTAGGCCTCGACCAGCAGTTTGCTGATTGTCACTTAAAATTCTGTACAGTGAGTTTAATTCTTCTAGGTTAGCCTTCTTCAACAGGCCTCTCAGTGTTGTATCAACTCCAGTGGGGACAATATCATTGGTGGGAGCCTCTTCATCATTTCTTTCCTTTGACATTTTATTGCAATTTTCACTACTTTCTCTGGATTGAGGTTTTTGTAGAATCTGTACTTGAGGTCGGGAGTAGGGACGGGAGTCCCAGTATTCGGAACAGACACGATTTCGATCCAATGCCTCTATGGCCTGTTCAAGAAAACAAAAATCGAGAAATGCTTAGCCTTAAAAAAGATAAAATCTACTAGTAAATAAACATGTGAAGCTCAAAATTAATAATTCAAGAAATGACACGAAAGCCATACTATGAAGGTTCTAGTCCAAGGTCCAGCATTAAAGCTTCAACTATTAATATATATATATATATATATATATATATAATCCATGAAATGAGGAAGTAACCAGAGGAACTGGGAAAATGAATCTATAAAAAGCAAGATCATGCATTTTAAATATACATGTCCCAATCAACATGAGTCGGACCATAAGGAGGTATTTGGCAATAGTGAGAAGTAACTCTCAGTTCTTTGGTAGATTTACCTGTACAATAGCTGGTGAAGTAAACCCAAACATTTCAAAGCCATCAAGACTTCCAGGTGGCTGCAAAGGAGGAAGGTTCATTCTTCCCAATTTATGTTGCCTAGTGATTTCTTGATTGACTCTCTCTCTCACCATTTCCCAGCATCTGCCAGCTGAATTATGTATGAAAACCTCACTTGGACAGTGCTCCAAAGAAACCTTAAGGGGGGAGAAAAATAACATAATGTATCAGATAAATTATAAACACTTATGTTTACAATATGAAGATATATACAGCTTTCTCTTTTATCACCACTACTTAAATATTGTTTTGCCCAGAGTTCAGGGGAGCTGTAGAAAAAGAGTTCTTATATGCCCGGAGTTTTCTATATGCATATAAACATTAGGAGCTATCTCATTTCACATCTTCCTATTAATTCCTCTATTATACCCATTACACTTGTATTTGTCACTAGAGGCATCTTAAAAGATGAATTCTTTCTTTGATGAAAATCAATTAACTCATATCCTAGGTAAAACATTCAAAATGAGCTACAATAATATACTGATTGAAGAACCGTGGAAATCATAAGATGCATGAAAAGCAGCATCATTCCATGCTGACTATGGAATATCTCAGCATTTCAATAAATATCCTTCTTGCATTACTTAGTCACATTAACACACAGTCCAAACAACTTTAGGAAGGAAAACAATTAACTCTCCTGAAACTACCCATTATTCTTTTCTTTTTCTTAGCCAAAAAAATTATCCAATATTTTGAAAGATGAAAAAGTAGAAAAGAAAAAACCAATTTCCTAGACCTTTGTCTGATTTCACTAAGAGGCTGGCACGAGGTTATGAACAAGCAATTGAGCAGATCGTAAACATACACGGGTAACTTCTTTACAGAAAATAACTCAAGATTGAACATGAACTGAATAGGAATAAAAATATTTTAATACACCAAAGGAAAATTCCTAGTACCTTGAACAGTGGTCCAGCCTGCCCAGCATCCAGTACTTCTGAAACATAATAACACATAACAGTTGGATCCAGAACACTCATGTGCCTAACCCGGCTCCTAAATCCTGTATCAAGCAGAATTAACAAGAATGACATGAATGCGGGTCTTAACTTCTCTTTTGGGACAATTTCTCAACTGCATAAGTCACAACTCACAAGATAATGCAAATGCAGCATACCTTTTGGAAAAATGGCCTGGCTGTTACACCATGACTTTCCAGAGAGCACAACTCCAAATTCCAGAGGCTCAACAATGCAGGAGATCCTCCGCACTACCTTTGCTATTCGGGGACCCTTCTGGCGAAAGTATCTGTCCAAATTGTTTTGGCAGGATGACAGGCTTCCAGTTGTAGTTCTTACATAGTCCACTAAATTTGTGTCAGCATTTGTTCCTACCTTTTCATGTCTGTCCTCGTTCTCAAGTTTTATACTGCTACATGGCTGTGAATGCTGTGGGTCACTCCTGGAATTAGCAACTTCGTGTGCACTGATGTCGCTAGTGTTTGAACCACATTCTGTCTTAATAGAAACAAACTTGACAGGAAGGTTAGGTGGATTGGATCCTAATTGTCCACCATTATCCTGTTCATCTTTCACAAGCACAGAATGAGATGAAAAATCTTTTTTTTCTCCATCAGGTAAGCTGAAAACTTTTTCACCCATCACTGCTGCATCAGTCCCCGGTGTATTTAAGATTGGTTCTTTCTCAAAATTAGAAGGGCTCACTTTTCCATCAGAACCCACCAATCTCTTAGAAAGTTCTAACTGGGTAGCTAAACATATCTCTTTAGAAGGTAGCTCCTTTGGTTCATCTCCTTCATCATCACTAAGAAGTATAACATTCTCAACTGAAGTCATCTTCATCCCAGATTTCATTGCATCTGAGTTCATAGCATATGATGTGTCTTCTTGAGACAACTGGCAAACCTGCATTCTTGACTTGGAAGTGTTGAAAATTGATTCTTCTCTCTTCATATTTTGTTGTGAAGAAGTCCCACCAGTGATCCCAGTTGGATTTATAGGACTCTGTTTAGAGATTTCTGTTCCTAGCGGATCTTTAAAGCAAGTGCTTTGTAGCTGTGAGCTAACCTCTTTAAGTACAGCATCTCTGGAGGAATAAGATAAGTTACCAACTTTCATATTGTCTTTTGCAATATAAGAACTTAGCGCCAGCCCAAGATCCAGTCTAGCCCATCTGTATACTGCACTCAACTTTCCGTCCAATGCCTCAAGAAGGATGTTTAATTCATCCATGTCATAACGAAAGAGGAAAAATTTGGCGCTCCAAGCACATGAACAAAATTTCTTTGCATGATTTAAGCACGCATATCTATCTGGGGAACAATGATGACAACCAGCTGCTGACAGATGCAAATCAAAAAAGCAAATGCTGCATTCCCTCTCACTGGTGGCATCAAAATTGTTATCCATCTTCAATGCCTGTGAAGAACTGCAAAGGAATTCCCTCCTCACACGCTCCATCTCAACACGTGCCTAGGTAAGAAAATTTTAGAATGTCAGAGGAAAAGATGTTGACATTTAAGTTATATAATGTATGAATATTTGTTGGTAAAATTGCCAGCTCAGCAATCAGATTTCCTGAATTATAGAAATCTTTTTTTTGTTTATAAGTCCAGTAGTATCACCCCTTATTGCATTGATTGCAAACGGGATTAATTCCCAACTTTTATTTTTTGCATTCAACTTTTGGAAACAAATTAGGAATTACCAATTACCTCCAACACTGAATTATTATTTTATCCAAATTATATTCCATTCTGCAAATTTGGAGTCCAAGTCAACACAAGAACTAGAAAGCAGATTTTACCTTCAGTGCTTTAGCTAAGATCCCATCCTTTCCACAGAAATCTTTCCATCTTAAGTTATCTGAAGTGTTCTTCTTAAGTAAATTGAGTTCCCAATGTGCTCTCACCGCTTCCCTTGCCGCCCCAAGCAACAATTTATCATGGGAAATGGATGTCTTTCGTCCCTGCTCCTGGTATAGCTCTATAGCAATCTGCCCATGGGGCAACCAATCAACAGGAGCTACGTTAACTGCCTCGGCACAATTGAAACCACAGTTGAACCCTGAATGGTATGCTCGAGGAAAGGTCAAAACAAACTCTCCTGGATTCTGACAACATCTATACACAGGTACCCCCTCAGATTTCAGTATGGAGGGGGAAAGCTGTGTGACCTGCATGAATAAACAGAGAAAATGACAAGGGTCATGGCCTTACAGATAATCTGACATAACATAATTATAAGAGAAACCCTGCATTTGTGACTTGTAAAATAATACACCCAGTAATAGCATGTGCAATCTAGGTTATGAATCAATATTTCCAATATACAGACAATTAGAGAGGATATAGAAGATACATAAAGAAAAGAGAAAAGAACAAGACAATAAACACGATCCATAATTCATGAATAGTTTCGAGTCCATCTTATGTTGCAAAGAAATGGTGGCACATAACTCAAACTATCCATCTCCTAAGCAAAAGATGTTAACCGAGTCTTCAATATGAAATAATTTATTCTATAATTGCATGACATTACAAGCGAGTTAGATGCCTCCAAGCTGCACCAGAGATATGCTTCAGAGTTTAGTTCAGAATCATGGGGGTGGTGATTATGTAATCAATTTAGTTCAGAATCAAGAATATATTTGGCTTCAGAGTTTTGATTGGATTCTCGCTTTACATGTCCAAACAACACATGAGCTAGTGCACCCAAAGCCACAATTATTAAACATCAAACAACACAGTAGCACAGACCAAGAGCTGTCTCACTCACCAACTTATGAAGCAAGTCAGGTTGTTCTTCAAATAGGCCAGGGAGGTGCTTTCTCATTGCCTCTTCAAATCTAATGGCATCGCTGCCAGGGATACCATACCACAACTTTGGAGCACCCCAATGCATATAATTTAAAGAGTACAAGTGGTGATCTTCAACATGCTGTCTCAGAAATAAAAGAAAAAGAAATAAGGAATCAGCAGTCAATGACATGTCTCACATACACATGAGCTAAGGCCTCATGCAAAAGTACGGAAAACTTTGTCTGGATGAAAATGAATGCAGGCATTGCTTTTGAATGAACATTCAAGTTTAGGAATCAATAAACAGAATGATTCCAAGTTCCCAACACCTTAAGGTTTGAAACGCTACACTGTTCATCACTTGCAAACATGTCTTAATATAAATCCAGTTGATAGGATGGGCAATAAAATGAAAACCAGAATAGTGGAAACAACTTTTCTGGTTGTGAATCTTCACACCCAACACACATGCTCAATATGTGGTTTTTCACGTCCCACATAAGACATGGCAGACTCGTGCTAGCACATGCACTAAGCAAGCATGGGTTTGACTATTTTAAGAGTGCTAGTGAAAGTACGCAATTATGCTTAGATGATTAATCTATTGCAAGGAAAAAAGATTGTCTTACCCAGCAGAAAGAAGAAAAGCACATCCCTACGTATAACCATGGCACCAGAACACCAGATATATCACTGCTTTCATAAGAAAGAACAGATCCAGGAAGTCTAGGAAAGTTGTTCAAGTTCCAGCCTGATTTTATGTACTGCTCTTCTGAAGCAAAACCATCCTTACTGGACATCTTGGGAAAACCACTGCCGAAAACTCCAGTTTCCAAATCAGCCCCATATAGAACCTAGAGCAGATCAGGAGCACCATGGTTAGGGTAATTTATCTTTAGCCTCAACAAAATGGTTAAGGCTACAATGCACCCTCACACCAAGCAATCATTTGCACGTGTGCAAGAACACATATGTAACCAAGCCGCGAGGGGGCGGACAAATTATTTTAAAGCTACAAAAGCTGGTATTTGTACAAATTTCTTGTGTCGTACCTCAATTTCTTCAGTAGGTCTCTCTACCATCCGCCAATATTCACCCTCAATATTTTCCACAGATGGCTCCCAGCCCTCTTTAAGTTTAGACAAGTTACCTCCTATATCAGTAATGTGTTCATTCTTGCTGAAGTATTGGGTCTTGAAGTCATCAGCGTATCTTTCAAATGTTTCTAGAGTAAACTCTGGACCAGGTTCAAACCCAAACCTTTCAGCCTCACAATATCCATCATCCCCAGATCCCCTGCCACCGCTTGGACAATCAGCCCCCATTCGTGTGCATCTTCTCCTTTTCTTCCTCATCTGATTATGGTTTTTCGGAATCTTTCTCATTGAATCTCGATTCTGCAGTTTGTCAACTCTCTGGACTCGAGTAGCAAATTTAGAGGTCTCCCAAATATCCTTTTCCTTGAGAGGACAGGGAGGTCTCCAAGAAGAGGGAGGAACAATGCGACAAAGACCATATGGTTCAGCTTTTGCACGTATGCTCGCTATATATTTCAATGTATCTTTGAACTCCTGAAATTAGTTAACAAGAAACATGAGTAAGAATAGGTCAACAAACTTGGAAACTGTAACAACTTAAATTCCACTAGTAACAAGATGCACCTCTTCGGTTGGTTTGAAGACAGGAGCATCCTGAAGGTCGGGCCTTTGACCATCCTCCGGATGCCATCTTGCAGAAACCTGTTCCAGGACTCAATAATCAATTCTATAACTATGAAGACGCATGTGAAAAATTCAAAAGCCCAAACGGTTTCTCAATTCATGAGAGTAAGGTGTGAAGAATATAATATGATAAAGGATTACACAGGAACCAAACCAGAGTAAATAGAAGGGTGAGAATAAAGTGCGTGAATTTTGAAGAGCAACCTTTTGGCAATTACTACATTGTGGACATCCGCGTATAACCCCCTTGGGAAGAAGAGATTTTAGAGCAAAATTCTGCAAGAACAATTGTATATGAGACAACATGTACAAGTATAGATTTCATAGAGAAATGGCATATGAAATTATTAAAAACCAAGAACTCAGAGGAGCACTGAAACACTACTTGTTCAAGTCGCTCAGAGTTAAACTCATCCTCTGGCTTGTTATCATGTTGCCGATGGTTTATCCATGGTCTGCGTCGGACAGACCTCTTTGCAACCTCATCAGTGGCAATGTTAGTCTCCATCTGAACTGACTGTGATTCAGAAACACTAGCAGTCTCTGAGCAACTAATTCTGTTTTCACTATCTTGTTTCTCACTTTCATTTACCCTTTTTAAGCTGAAAGATGTGAATGACTCAAATCCGGGTGGAACTGAAGGAAACTCATCGTTATCTTCTTTTATGCAAACTCTCATGAGTTCTGTCCCCATACTATCGTGAATATTGATTGATATAAGTCTCCAAACTGCTTGTATACGTGGAAAGATTCAATCTAATGTAGAACAGAAGTAGGATGATCCCTTATCTTCCGCTTTATGAACTTCAATATTATGAAAGCTGCTGTTTGTATCTCACTGCCAGACAGCTCAATTTGGAGAAGCAATTCAAAAACTCCAGGTATCTTAGTAGCAAAATAAAAGTTTTGTCTGCAAAATCCCAAAAAAAAAAACAAAGGATTGAAGCTGTAAGATCATATCTTAGCAGTCAAATGATCTTGCAGCTGAATATAACATTTAGGAGCTCCATTATATTATTTTTCAATTTTCATTCAGCCATTTATTTTCATCATTCTAGCTCTCTAACGACATATATGATCCTAAATCCTCAAGATCTCATATCATAACGTATCTTCACAGATCATTCATTCACAATACACAAACGCGTTCATGAATACATAAAAAAATTATGTCACGAACAAACATACTGATAAGCTCATTACATTTCAAAAACTAATTGAAATTCTTTTAACTGAATTAAAATAAACTAATATATCAAAACAGTGACGAAAAACACAAAGCATTTTTATATTTTTGAGGATTTTGTAGCATCAGACAAATTTACAGAGAGGGATAAGATTGCTCCAAAAGTCAAATCAGATGAATTTAATTTAATTTCAATGAAATTAGGGCTTACATCGTGTTGATCCAAGAGCCTGAAATTTCCACTGAACTAAATCCAGCTCAACTTCATTCCCTACACCCAGATTTTGAAGAAACAAAATCAATTCAATAAAATTGATTCCAAAAATTAACGGAAAAAAATAAAGAATAAAATAAAGAACTAAACCACAATTTCAAATCCCAAAAAAACGAAACACCTGTGAATCTGATTGAACAGATCTAAACCCTAACCCTAATTCTAACCAAGACGACCGGACACAGAAAAGGCACAGAAACATAAACAATTTTGCTACAGAAGAATTGGTCAGAGATGGGTACCCACAAACGCGTAAATGACAAACAAGGCCAACCATTCAAACCATCTTGAAAATCATCTGAGATATATGCAAAATCCAGAACTGTGGGTAAGGGTAAATCTGGAAAAAAAATAATTATTGAAACTTTGAATATGTGTAATTTGGAGAATCAAATTGGGGCTAAATTTCCAAAGTTGTAGGGAACCCTAACCCTAAGCTTGAAACAAAAGGTGAGAAAAAACGTACATAAAACTTCTAACAAATTGATCCAGTGCCGTTTAATGTATTTGCTTGGTACAAAATCAATACCTTTTTATTAAAGCTGACTAACAGATGATATAATAACAGTTGGGATAATAATGTCTTCTGCTTTGGCCTTTGGACTACAAAGCCTGTTTGGGATTCTAAAAAATATCAAGGGAGACAAAAGCTTGGATTGTAAATTTTGTTTTTGCAAAACAATTTTTGTTTTTTTGGGAAGTGAAATTTTGTGATATTGTTGATGAATTTTGGATAAATACGGTTTTGATTAACTAGTTAATATAAAAAGGTGGGCACCCTTCTTTTTTATTTGTTTTATTTTCTTTTCCACGATAAATTGATGAGATTTTGGAGGTCTTACCCTACTTACCTCAGTTTGGTTGCTTGCTTGCTTTGGATTTGCGTGTTGAAACATGCGAGGTTTTAATCAAAATAACAAATTCGATGGGCGGACTTGGAAATAACAAGTTGTTTCGCGGAAGGAATGTAAATGTTATAGTGATTACGGGTCTAAGTAGAAAGAAATTGCATGTAATGGGTATATACTCATTTTTATATATGTCTCTTCTCATGTGACTTACTTATTATGTGAATAAAGAGAACGAAATATACAATATAGTATAGTTAGGTTTTTTTATTTTTTTGTTTTTTACTCTAAGAGCTCTCTATCTCTTCTTTGACGAACCGGATTGGACATTAATTCAATTCAATTGAACCAAACGAGGCCTCTTAGTATTAGTAATAACATGATATATGCCTAATATTAGCGTTTTTCCAATCAACAATTGTGAAAAGGATTTCAAATTTGAATCTCTTCTAATATTTCACAATCAAGTCTCCTTACCCTAGCTTTGTGGAAAAGAAAGCCTTCAAAGACTTTAAGTAGAATTTTGTAATACAAGTGATATCGGAGGAAGGGAGAATCGAACCTAGGACCTCGGGTACATAAATATATGTTTTAAACCACTTAAACTACCAATCCCTTTAGAATTTAAGTAAATCACTTATGGATAGTTAAATTTCACACCTTGAACTAAATAGGATAAGTAGTTTATTAAACTTTGCAAGACATATGACTTCTGTATATAGTTGAAGCCTCCCATACATACCAAATGCCTTTGCAGTTTGCTTGCAGTACCCACTGGCGGACCTGTTAAAGAGCAAAGAGGTGCAGTTGCACTTCCCCTCGCCAGAAAAACCATTGTTGGTGCTTGAAATTGCCCTTTTGCTCATTATCTCAATCTCCAACATTTAAGTAAATGTCTTTGTCATTTTACTTTCATTTATTTTTATATTACTCCATTTACTTAAGTTTACAATGTAATAAGGAAGTACCCCCCATTTGGATTCAAATAAAAATACTAGAAAATCAAATTCTCCCCAAATCAAAATTTGAAAAATCGGTTTTAGTGCAAAATACGATTTAGGCTAAAAATGATAGCTCATTAAGTCAATATATATTTCATAATAAAATCTCAAAAAATCAAGTTTTCTTATTTGATGTGTAAGAAATAAAAGCCGCTGAAAATTATCTTGAGAAAATGATTATTCCGAAAAACTATTTTTCATACTTAGTCAATATTTTTACATAGAACAATTTTTCATGTATGATATGAATGCATGAAAGGACCTAAGGTCAATCTAAGTAAAAAGTCTTAGATGTTTAATCTACAAAGAGTTTTTAACCTTTCAAAATTGCACATCCGCTAAAAAATTCTTGGGCCGCCAATGACAGTACCAATAAGCTAGCATGCCCCATGACCTACCTAGCCTAAGCCAAGTGCCCCTTAGAGTAAGACAAAATACATTGCCCATGATGGTAGCCAAAAGGTAATAAAATAAATAAATACAAACGTTTCATATTGTTTTGGGCAAGAGTCTAGAATAAATAAAATTGTTTCTTTCTGTTTACGACATATACAATACAAGCATTTGCCGTCTATCCATTGGTGATTGATTATTGGTTGGCTGGCCACTCCAGACTTCCTCGGCCAGTCCCGCCCGCTGTCTCTGCATCATCACTTACACACAGGGAGATTACTATTCGAAAATTTAACTTTATAATATTAGCAGATGCAGAAGAACAAACTTACTGCAGTAGATATGAACGGGACAAAATGAAAATGAAAAACACATCAAAATTAAGTGCATTTGTCAGATGTGAACCAACTTGGGTGACCTTGCTGCAATTATAAATTAAGTAGGAATCAAATTGCTTTCAATTGTGATAGGAATAAAGGGATGAATTTGGGGTAAAATTATATCTATAAACTTTTTGTTTCGTTTGGTACAAGGGAACAAATATTTGAATTCTAAAATTTCATCCACCCTCATTATTTTTACGGATTTTAATTTATTTATTTTTCCATTTTAATACAAACGATGTTGAGAGAAGTTGAATACATAACGCAAGTGCAGAAGTAAAGCTCTATTGTCATTGTATGTGCATAATTTTTTGCTGAAAATATAATCCTCTCTCTCTCTCTCTCTCGTAATCCTCAATGTTGTTGTTGTTTTGGTTGTTTGGGCCTTCTGTTTTGTTCTTAGATTTGGGCTTCTTACTGATTTGTTGTATTCTCTTTTTGTTTGGGATAGGTCTTCGATCAATTTTGCATGGGCCCAATTAGCTTTTCGATTGTGGCTTCAAATAATTAACGGTAATTTATAGGAAACGAAAGAAATAGCAAAACTCTAGAAGTCTCTGAAATCTCTTTCCCTTTTCAATACGATCCCGATTGTACCCGATTCCTGCCCATTCAAAACCCTAGCTTCAGCTTAGTTCCGATATCGCCCATGGCGACCCCACCGTCTTCTTCCACAGCTCCTGCGTCGACTTCCTCTCAATTCACATACGCGAACGCTTCGTCGTCATCGTCCTACTTCCCCATGCCCTTTCACCTCCAGCAACCCCAGTATCCCACGCCTTACGCCGCTGCAGCGCCACCAGCCCCGCCCGTCTACCCAGCCCCGGCCCCGGCGCCGACCTCTGGTGTCTACTCTCTCCCTCAGCAGTATCAACAGGTCTGTCTCAAACCCTCATCACGCACATGTCTTTACATGCATGTACTCTTGGATGCATATATGCATATGTTTAGGTTTATTAACCAATGTCTGATCTCCTGAATAACTGAGAATAAATAGAATGGGATTTCTTTCATTGTTTTATTCTTTCGTCAAAAGTAGGATATTTCTGTAACTTGCATAGAGCTACTTATCAATTCTTGCTATTTTAGGGGAAATTGTTTGGATGTGTAGGTTTCATGTGTATGATTTGTTGTGAAATGAACAGGCTCAGCAGTTATTTCAAAGGGATGCACAGACGATTACACCTGAAGCTCTTGAGAGTGTGAAAGCTGCCCTGGCAAACAGTGAAATCGAGCACAAAGCTGAAGCTAAGAAGAAAGCCATCCCTCGTAAAGCTGCTGGGCAGTCTTGGGAGGACCCAACTCTTGCAGAATGGCCAGAAAGTATGCATGCTTTCACTATTAAACTTTCCCTTATCAAATTAGTTGTATATTCTTCCACATATATTCGTGCATACACGAACATTAACATTCAATACCATGATTGCGTCCCATTTCAATTTTATCTGTTTATTCCTACAATGCCAGTTATGATGTTGCCCTTCTGGCTACTTAGTCAACTGATAGAACAGATATGTGATACCTTGTTAAAAGCCTCACTCTTCATGGGGTTTGGTTTTCGTGATAGTTTTTTTGGGTGTTTTAACATGTTGTTCATTCGCAACATTAGCGTGTTCACGATTTGTCTTCTGTTTGGTGCATCTTTATGCCTTACAATTCTGTTGGGTTTTGGCTTTGACAGATGATTATCGCCTATTTTGTGGTGATCTTGGTAATGAGGTGAATGATGATGTCCTTTCAAAAGCATTTTCACGATTTCCTTCCTTTAACATGGCCAGAGTAAGTATCTTCCTCAGATCCCTTTTCTCTTTCTTCCTTTGAAGTTATTTTCTTGATTGAAATTGTTTGCTTGGTGTAAACATTTTACATTTCCTCTTCAGATTTATATTTCAAGAGAACAGAGCACTTAATGTTTTATTTATTCTAAGGTAGGTTTCGTCTACTGTTTACATTTTAGTTAGATATGTGTGACCTTATGAATAGTGTTCATGATGCATTTTTGCATTTCTCTGAGTTCATGTACTTCTAACATTTAACCGTAAGAGGTGTACTGACAACCGACATGAAATTATGTGATTTTCAAGCGCTTGCTGTCTAATTGTGAGATCTCAAAGTTAGTTTAAATCAGGTTTGACCATTTAATATAGGTTGGACTGCTGGAATCAACATTTGGAGCTTGATTTGGTTGAATTTGACCTGACTCTCATGGGCTAGCTTGAGTTATTGCTTGTTGGGTCGATTTGAACAAGTTTGGAGTCAGGTTAGTGAACCGATTGAGCTTCCGAGCGGGTTCTTTTTCTCAATATTTTTATGAACCTTAGGGGTGGGTCTTTAGCCTTTCTTTTGGGCTCGGGAAAACAGTACTCTATAATTACTTTTGTTGGTCGGTGAAATTCTGTGTAAGAAATTTGAAATTTTGCTTTCGTCCTTTTAACATAAAAATATTTAACGACTGTTAGACAATTGAGTTTAGAACCATTTAACACTGGATTTCCTTGCCACTCAACCTTCAAAATCATACAAGAGTTGGCTCCATTCAATTTTGCACTATGGCCCTAAAAAACTATATCTGATGTCTTGGAACTAAAATTAAAATTTGAAACACATCTAAGTCTTTCCGTTGCTGCATCAAGGCTTGTTTCCATTTGAGAGAACCAGAGTGGTGGGGCAAGGGGGGTGTAGAGGAATATGGGAGTTGGGCCAATGGGTATCCAAGCTAGAGCGTGGTATGAAATTGAAATTATACTTTGTTTTTTTTTCTTTAGTCTTGTGTATCTTATGCTTTGCTTCTTGTTGTCATTGTGTGAGATATTTATGTTGACTGCCTGGATCGCAGCTATAATCTTTGCTGATTGCGCAGTTTCTAGCTACTTTTGATTCATCTACTTTTTCTCATAGAATTTCTGATTTTTTACTGTGATTGAAAACTAAGAACTTGTATATGTCTACTTTATCACCATATCTAGGTCGTTAGAGATAAGAGGACTGGCAAAACCAAGGGCTTTGGATTTGTTAGCTTCGCCAACCCTTCTGACCTGGCTGGAGCACTCAAGGAAATGAATGGTAAGAATAATTGGGCATACCATTTCTGTTTATGCTCTCGTTTGGGTATTTAAATTGCTGATTTTGTGTAGGGAAGTAGGTTTTAATCATATTGAGTGTTGTTGATATTGTTTGACTTTGATTGATATGATAACTGTCATAATGTAATTGGCTCAAATTCCAGGTAAATATGTGGGAAATCGGCCAATCAAACTTCGCAAAAGTAACTGGAGGGAGAGGATAGATTATGACGCACTAGACAGACAAAAGGTATCATTTCCACTTGTGTCGTGTAGTTTCAAATTTCCTGCTTGCCATACTGTAATATGTACTTACCTTTTGTGTATCTGTTCCATTCTATGGTTTTGTGGTAGAACTACAGTCAGAAGAAACCAAAGCTTTCGAAGAAGAGTATTTTGCACAAGTGAGCCAGAGATTTGTAGAAGACATGGTGAATATGTTCTTTATTTCTCAATTCCAACTCGATTCTTGGTGTGAATCAAGTTAATGTAGGGATATGTGAAGATGTTTAATGATGATAATTTTGAGGAACGAATGATAAAGGAATTTATAAAAAGTGACACCTTATTATCTTTTGATTTTGAGTTTGCATCGGGTCGTGGTCCTGTCCGATTTATTAACCAACCTTACAGTGCGAAGTTTTCTTAACTAGAAAATGGCATACATAAAATGTATGACTTTACAAGAAGGGTAAACAGAATATCCCTTTTTCCCCCCCTCCCTCGTATTTACAAATATTGAGTAGGAGTGCATATGATCAGATATGTCACATTGTCCGCAAGAACATCAATGAGGACGCTGTTAAGATTTTTTCTGAATACTTGATACTTCTTCCGATCAAGAGTAGATGAAAGCTGATTTTAGACACTGCAATGCATGTGTCAGCCTTGATTTCAAGGTTGCATTTGCCTGCCCCTCTTATCAGCTCGCTGCCTAATCTCTGCATCCAGAAAACTCATTTCTTCAGACAAAAATTTACAGACGTTCATTTTAAGAAGAAAAAAATAAGAAAAATCTAAGAAATGGGGAGTGATAATATATTTAGTTGAATCGAACTACGCGCAGGCAAGATATCTAATTTGACTGCTGCCATATATCATTCAGTTCAGTACAACATCATAAATTTTGAGGAGTGTGCAATAGCATATACCCATTTTGGGAAATGAGATTATGAATTAATCATGGTGATTAGTACCTAAGAGGAAAAAGATTACATCACCAGAAGAGGGAGAGAGAGAGAGAGAGACAGACAGAGAATGAGTTTTGTTTCAGAGAGTGAGTAAACGCAAGAAGAGGGAGTAAACTAAATAATGTGACTTTTCACAGGGTTTTTTCTCTATTTTTTAAGTTAAAGGTGGCTGTTTTTGAAATTGTTCAATTCGGTTGGGCCTGACATGGTAATTTTCTTGTTTCTGTGGGAGGAATGTCTAATTTTATTAACTTCAGTGGAGATTAATGTAATTCATTGACCTCTGATTGCAATTTGACAACCCTAGTCCCTAGTTATTAACGTCTGCCTTTTCGATTTTATCAGCAACAGCAACTCAACAGAGCGCTCTTTTCATTAGCAAAAACCGGAAAGGAAGAAGGAAAAAAAAACAGAGCTTTCTTTCTCCTCTCACTACTCACGGAAGGACAGACAGACCTAAATCCCAACCTCACAGTACGCTCCTTTATCTATCTATATATGCATGTATACTTTTATTTGGTCTTGTATGTGCTGCAGTGTGATGAAACGGTAAAAGCTGAAGTTCAAATGGTTCTGAATTATGATTATGTGAAAATGGCCTAAATGGATTGTTGAAATTATTGAAAAGAAAATATTGGCTGTTTGAATTTTGGTGAATAATGGAAATTTGTTTGAGAATTATCTAATGAATTGACAACTGAGTTCACAGTAGCTGGCTGGCTGGGCACGTGGTCGGTTGAGACTTTGAACTTGTTTTATATAGGAATAGGAGCGAAAACAGAATCTTCTTTCGCTTTTTCTTTTTGTTGAGCTGAAAGATGGTTTTCTCTAATTGTGTTTGGTTAATTCCTTTGCCTCCTTTTCATGTTTGAAATTTGCTGGTACTGATATTATTTGTTTGAACCTTTTCACAGTTGTAGTTCTCAATCTGAAGCAGAAGAGTCAAGAAAGCCGGGTAATTGTTTTGCTTATTTCGGAGTCTATTAAAAGTTAATAAACTTTGGGCATTCCCCATTTTGTGAGAATCTCATTTCTTTGGATTTAGAGAAGACCGATAGTTGGATTACAAGATATACTTCCTATTGGTCTTTTTATCTTGTTTGACTTCATTTGTTCAAGCAGAAGGAGATGATGGGGTATACTGTCACCCAACAGAATTTTACAGTTGATGTTCGTACTTTGCATGGGTGTACAAAGCAAGTTAGCCCTTGTTCTGGCATTGGACCTTTCTCAATATCAAAGTTTTTGAACAAGTATAATCATGAAGCTCAATATTGTTTACAGTGGAAAGGAGATGTTAGTTCCAAAAGAAATGTGCGTGTTTTACAGCGTAAGGGTTTCCAAAGAAATGTTTGTATTGATAGAGTCGATGAAGCTAATGTAGATGAATGGAGCATTGATAATGATGAGATGGGTACTGAGAAAAAATCTGGAGAGGAAATTAATAAAAAGAAGACTCGTACTTCTTTTATATTGAATGTAGAAGGGCGCTTTGTTGGAAATTCTGAGGAAACCAATAATGATATTCTTCGAAAATTTTGCAGCCATGGGAGGTTAATCGATGCATCAAGGTTAATTGAGGTCATGGCACGTCAAAACCAAATTCCATACTTCCCTTCTTGCACAAACTTAATCCGGGGCCTTGTCAAAATAGATCGATTAGATAAAGCTGCGAAAATTCTGAAGATCATGATCATGTCTGGGGGGGTTCCAGATATTATAACTTATAACATGATGGTTGGAGGTCTCTGTAAGAGAGGACAGCTAAGGTCTGCAATTGATCTCGTGGAAGACATGAGCTTGACTGGTTGCCCTCCGGATGTGATTACTTACAATGCAATTATTCGCTGCATGTTTACTTTTGGGAATTTTGATCAGGCAATTGCCTTTTGGAAGGACCAACTTAGAAAGGGATGCCCTCCTTATATACTCACCTATACAGTTCTCATTGAGCTAGTCTGCAAACACTGTGGAACCATGCGGGCTGTGGAAGTTTTGGATGATATGGTGATAGAGGGATGTTATCCTGATATTATCACCTACAATTCTCTGATTAATTTTACTTGCAGGCACAATAAGCTTGAAGATACTGCTTTGATTATACATAATCTTCTATCTCATGGGTTGAAGCCAAATGCTATCACTTACAACACTATTCTCCATTCTCTTTGTAGCCGTGGGTGCTGGGATGAAGTTGATGAAATCTTCACAATAATGAATGGAACTTCCGAATCCCCTACAGTTGTTACTTACAATATTTTGATCAATGGTTTATGTAAATTTGGGCGTTTAGATCGTGCCATCAACTTCTTTACTAAAATGATTTCTCAAAATTGTTCGCCTGACATTATAACTTATAACACACTCCTGGGAGCTCTTTGTAGGGAGGGAATGATTAACCAGGGCCTCGAATTACTTCATCTTTTATGTGGTACCAGTCGATCACCTGGTTTGATCACTTACAATACTGTGATTGATGGGTTGGCTAAACAGGGTTGTATGGAGAAAGCAATGGGATTGTATGGTCAAATGGTAGAAAATGGAATCATTCCTGATGAAATTACCCATCGTTCTTTGGTTGGTGGGTTTTGCGGGGTGAATCTAGTTGAGGAAGCTGTTCTGATATTGAAGGAGATGCAGAAGAGAGGCCATCCGGTCCGTAATATTTCTTACAAATTTGTGATCCATGGATTATGTAGAAACAAGAGAGTTGATGTTGCAATACAAGTTCTAGAAATGATGATATCAAATCGATGCATGCCAGATGGGGCAATTTATTCAACTATAATTGAAGGTGTAGCTGCTTCTGGTATGACAAAAGAGGCTGATGAGTTGCATCAGAAGCTGATCGAATGGAACATTTTAAGTGAAGAGGTCATGTGTTAAAATAGATAGGGTTTATGCAAAATTTTGACTCACTTTGTTACTTCTTATGGGCATCTAGACTACCATTTCTTTGTTGAAGTTGTATAGAATCTGCAATTTCATAAGGTGGTTCTCTTATAATGTTTTACCAGAAATTAATTCTGTTTGATAATTTCTATCATGGTTTTCTGTCTCTGAATCTCATCTGTCGACTCTTATGAATAGTCAATATCTTATGTCTTTTTCTTGCTGGAAGTTCTGGAGGGAAAGGTCTGCGTTTATCTACATCAACTAAAAACATGAGTTTTTCAAATTGAACTAATTTATATGGCTATGCTAAATGCTATGGTTAAAAAGTTTATTTTACGTGGACTTGGTGCTGTTCCTATTTTGGCAAGATAGGAGATATTTAAAATTTAGACACTCTTCCTTGCAGAAAGTGAATTATCTGTTTGTTGTTTGCCATTTGATCCGTTGCTTCTCGTGGTTCCAGAGCTTATTATGATATCTATGTTAATAGCTAGATGTTAGGCGCCGCTAAATGTCATGAGTGATGGAATTACAACTGGTTCTTTAGCCATTCAAGATTTGCTCCCAGAAATAAAAGAGGGGGAGGGAAACTGTATCTTCTCTCTTATATTTTATGGTCCTCTTGTTTTCATTTTTTGGTTCACAAGACAAGCCCCAAAAACTTCCAGTGAATGTTAGGAAGGAAAAACAAACTAGATACTATAAAAGAAGAAAACATGTCTCTAGAGCAAATGTTTGCATTAGTAAATAAAATAGAAAAGGTTTAAAAAACAAACTAAAGTTTGCTATGTTCTTCTGTGCTGTGTTGCAAAGCAAAAGATCAACCCTCCAGGTATTGCCAAACCTGCCCTGCAAGGCAATTTGCTCATTGTTGAGGGGACACAACCTCGAACTTCGTCCGGAACCTAAAATGGTCTTTTAATCCAGCTGCATATGTTTGTTTCATTTGTAGTCCATCGCTGAATTACCTGCTACAACTCATTCTTTTTCCTTTATAAGGATGCCGCACTTGTAATCTGAACCCTTTGCACATTCAGGATCTACTCTCAGTTAACATGGAATGATTTCAGGGTACCATGCAAAACTAGCAAGAACACATTCAGAAAAGTCCATGAGAGACTGAAAATGCACTGAAGTATATACCAAAAGCTAGTTCTTAATCTCAGACAGGGTAAGCTCTTTGAAAACATCCAGCATGGGAAAGGTTCTATTCAAACGTTTGAACGAATCTTCAGAAATAGCCCTTAAACTAAAAACAGAGTTGGCAAGCTCCATAGCTTCAGCTCGCCATCCTGCAAAACCAATTCCTTCAATCAATAAAATGTAGGTGGTTTCGTTCGGGCGACATCCCTTTTCAACCATTTCCGTGAGCACTTGAATGGCATCTACAACTCGACGTGTTTTGCACAATCCAAGAAGAAGAATGTTATAACTGATAACTGTAGGCTGAAAACCGCCAGTTTCCATGTCTACCAACAACCCAATAGCCTCATCTACCATCCCATCTCTGCACAAACATGATATGAGTGAATTGTAAGTAATCTCGTCAGGTTTAATTCCCTTGCCTACCATCTCTGATACCATTCCCAGAGCTCTTACTCTGTCTCCACAATTCCACAATGCACTGAACATGGTGTTGTAGGAACTCACATTTGGAGGGCATCCCACTTCACCTAGGTTCTCAAAGATTTGCAAAGCCTGATCAGCTTTTCCACTCTTACACAAAGCAGCCAAGATTGTATTGTAGTTAACAATGTCTGGCAAGCAACCATCAGATATCATGTAATCCAGGAACTCTATTGCCAAATCTAATCTCCCCTCCTTGCAGAAAGCAGAAACCAATGGATCATAACTATAAGCATCTGGAGTTAACCCTTTTTTCTTCATAATCTTCAACACGTTTACCGCATCCTCAACTTTGCCATCGCGGCACAGCGTGCTAATCAAAATGCTGTAAGTCACAACATTAGGCTCACAACCTCTTGAACACATATTAGTCACTAGCTTCTCCCCTTCTTCCCATTTACCACGATTTAAAAGTGCTCGCAACAAAATGTTATACGAGATTACATTCGGTGGGCAGCCCTTGGAATCTAAGCTCCTAACAAACTGAAAAGCTCTATCCAGCATCCCTTCTCTGCACATTCCCCTAATAACTGCATTGTAAGTATACATGTCAGGTTTAAGCCCTCTTGATAGCATCTCATCTAAAAGCTTCATGGCTTCATCAATTCCACCATCAACAATGGTTGCTTCTATCAAGATTGTGTAGGTAATCACAGTTGGCCTGCAATTGTCCTTCACCAACTGATCCATGACCTTCAAAGCTAACCCAAGCTTGCCCCTACTACAAAGACTCCCTATCATTATATTGTAGGTCACAACATCAGGTGAAAATCCCTGACTTCTCATTCTATCAAGCACTTTGTTTGCTGATTCGATCCGATTTGCCTTGCAGAACCCGCTAATCAATGCATTGTATGAAAACAAATCAGGTTCACCATATTTTTCCAAGATTTGCATAACCCGGATGGCCTTTTCGATATTTCTCGAATTGAAGAACCCTTTAATGAGCTTTGTGCAAAGAATGACATCAGGTTTGTAGCCCTTGTTTACCATAAGGTCAAGAAAGTAAAGTGACTCGTTGAACTGGCCTGCTTTGCAAGACCTGCTAAGGACCTTGATCAAATGGGTCTCTTTGATATCATAGTTTGGCAAATGGGTTGGTTTTGTTTCAGCAGAAACCATTACCTTTGTTAGGTTTCTGGAGCTGTTTCTACCATTTGATGAAATACACACTCTGCAGCTCACAGCAGCGTTGGTGTGAGGTGAATGGGAAGTGAGTTTCAGCTGGGCGGTGGTTGCGTGGAGGTTCTGAGGCAATAACTTGGTGGAAACTATTGTCATTGATGGTGTTTGTGCGCTCATGTCATGGACAATCGTTTTGCATAAAATTTGGAAAGATGGAGAGAGTGGCTGTAAATGTGCAGGGAGCAAGCAAGGTGACCAAACCAAATTGAAAGTTGGCAGTTGAGAAGGTGATGTTGCTGGTTGGAGTTCTTACCTCATATATATCACAAACAAGGGTTCCAATCGATTGGATTTCAGGACGAGAGTTATGGATAGGATAAGGAATCACATCGTACGTTGCAACTTGCAAGCTTTGGGTATTGGGCCTGGACACAATTACTTGAACTCCCGAAGCATGTGTCCGGTTCTGATAGCAAAGTTGTTCGCCCATGGCCCAGCAAAAGGTGAGCTAAAAATGCTAAGACAGTGGGCCACACCCAAGTGGGTAATTTGCTAATTATCACCGTTGATTGAGTGATTTCAACATTGCGAGCTCCTCATACATCAATAGCTTGGAGTCGCCCACGAGCACACGTGCGACTCCCATAAGCACTGGCTTCAACAGGAGAGCACTTCATTTGCAATTTTGCTCTTATAATTCCGCAATATAGGAATGTTTTTGTTAGTCTGCGTGCTACAAAATGTCCGTTAGCATGCCATGATTTTATTGCAAGTCTCTGATATATCCTTTCCTTATACAATGCGAAATTAGTAGAGTAAATTTTGGATATATCCGTTAACACAGTTCTTTGCAAGGCTGCTCTGATACTCAGCAATCCAGACAATACAACATCCTTTAACAATATGGGCGTATGTATTAAAAGGTGATGTAACATATCGGGAGATCAGTATCTTCTCCAGCGCCAAAGGGGAGAAAATATCGGATAACCTGGTTAAGATTAAGAATTGATCCAGGGTCTTAACTCTCCCTCATTTAATGGTCAGATGCTTCAACATAGCCCGTTAAACAATCCCAAGTTGAGGACCTTTCTGGGCACACCTTATTCAGCAGAGCTTTCAGATTTTCTGTTCTGAGCTTCTCTTGTAATTCAATCCGACAAGGATCAGGGATTTGCTGATGCAGGTAAGAGTAACATAAGCATCCAGGCAACTTGATCAAAGAGGACTGTGTAAAGTCAAGACAAATTGCATATGGAGGAAAATTTCCATTACCTTAATCAACCATAACATGTAAGTAGCAGAATGCATAGCCTGTGCTTGGTAATCGTCAAAGCTATTATCTGGAATGATTGAGCAGGAGTGGAGGAGATGTAACTCATCGTCCATAAATACACTGAAGTCATTATTCATGCAGGTTTTCTGCTTCCCATGGTTGGACAGACCAGTGTGATCAGTTAAGAAATGCTTTATCCAAAATAAGGAAAGGAAGCGGCGATGAAGCCATAGAGCCTGTTTACAGTGAATACCACAGAAATGAAAACTCAGGGGGTCTAAGATAATTGGTGAAATGAAGTCTACCGTGTTCCTGGAAAATATTGTTACAATTAAGAGATGTGTATCACCCACCTCTCTTCCTATGTAGCGCTTTATCAGCATTTCATCCCAATCAAGTTCATCCTATCATGCCCACATTGTTAAGCAGTGAATACAAATGTAATTTCAAATAAAAGGAAAAGACAAAAATTGATATTATTGATACAAGAATAAATTAGAAACGTTCATGTAAGTAACAGAGCACTGGCCAGGTATCTAAAAAATGCTTGCCTGCAGAAAGTGACGGTGTCGTAAATTGTCGAAAAGAGATGAAAGAAGATTTGTACCTTCCACAGTAGATATATTTCAACACTGTAACCAGAAGATGATATTTCTTGTTCATAGCATTGGTCCTCTAAAATCTTAAGCATTAGCTGCTGCAAAACAATAGAAACAAGGATCGTGAGGGGAATTAAAGTCCAGCTCGTTTGAACTGGCTAGTTCCACAATGAAGAGCATTGTGTTCTTTTTTAAACCTATGCCTTGCTAATTCCATGCACACAAATGTAAGAAGAATTACAATGATTAGCTATCAATCAAAATTAGTGTTATACAAAAGAACACTAACTCCACATCAAACTGAGGCAACATCATTTTGTGAGGATTTATACATTATTTAAGGAAAAGATGATTTAAGATCACATTTAAAAAATTTGTAGCCAAGATCATACCATGGTATTATGATCAATGAATCTTTAATGAGGAGGCAAAACAAAAGAAAACAAAGACTCACACTACGATAATGGAAGCAACTATGATCAGCAACATGCAAGTTGGCCCAGTTTCTGGATCTCTTTAATTCATGTAGCAACTGCAAGCACACATTTTCTTTATAAGAAATGGCAAGCAAGCACACATTTAGGGTGCATACAGTTCACATTACCCCCAAGAGGCAAAATGATTTCCTGTAATATAAGTATGCATGTTGGAATAAGAAACTGAATGAAACCAAAAAACTTATGTGTCACAGTTTTAGCAGAGGAAATCAGATTCACGTTTTTTGAGAATCAAAGGCTAACATAGAATTCTCTTCTGGCACTTTTCAAATTTATAGGAGTGCAATTTGGCTCAGAATTGTTCACATCACTACAATATGAAGAGTCCTAGAAGGTAACTTGAATTATTCCCCCACAAAAGAGAAAAAAAAATGATGAGATCTAACCTGTTCTCTTGTCATGTAGGAAACCAACCAGCAACGATGATTCCATGCACGGTAATTCATTTTTGACCTCTGTAAAGAAATATTCTAATTATAAAATAGTAAACAATGACAGGGAAAATTATCATTTACCAAATAAAAGAAGTAAACACCTAAGGAAATTGTGGACTGCCATAAAGAATAACCATTGCTATCCATGAACACTGTGCTTTATGTTGGACAAAGAGAGTGAATTACAGATATTATCAGCTAGTTTGCTACAGAAAAATTGGCAGCTTAATTGGAAACCTTATTTCACTGACAAGCTGACTGTCACATGGACAGATTATAAGAATTGTGTTGTTTTCTCTAGGAAAGCAATAAAGAGAATGACCACAAGTAACACATGTGATAATAAATCTTGATAAAGTTCAAGTAAACCTTTGTAAATTAAAAGTATGCAGTTCCCTGAACTGAATATAAACCTCAGCTATTTTCTCCACCAGCTCAGACTCTTTGGTCACAATCTCTGGCAGAGTTGAACACTTTTCAGAAATTGATTTGATAACCCACTTCCTGCAATGATCGATATGTTCATAAAATTCGAGTCTAAAGCCATTATATGGGAAAAATAAATAAATAAATAACTATAACGAGAGACTTGATTAAACCATACCTAGCTGAATACTTATAAATAAGAAACTTCACACCAGTTATTAAACATGCGTGTGCATACATAAATCAATGCAGTCAGTTGAGAAAAAAAAGTTTTCCCTATATGTCTTCTTGAAGTCAACTATGGCGGTACCCATAAGGCAATAACCAACTACACTTGTCAATGTTTTTCTTGCAGATAATGTAAAAAAACCTTTGTTAAAATGTTACCTATGGCCCCAAGCATACTCAGACTTAGGTGAATATGAAAGAACAAGTGCTGACAAGAGAAGTTCATCCAGTAATGCTGAGAGCTTATGCTTCTCCAACACCACGAGCTTCCTATGTCAAATATACAAAATCAAGTAGGTGCCATGACACTGTTTCAAAAACATAAATACACACACACACATAATGAATTGGGCATAAGATAACAAATAAACATATCATGATCCTCGATTCTGTACGGGTAGGGCATAAGTTTAATTCACAAGCATATTTGATTTTATATTTAAAAAGAAAAGTATGTTTGAACAAGTATAGCAAAGAGAAAACAAGTATAACTGAACCAAAAATGAAAAGAAGGAAGACCTGGAATGCCACGCAGTGCCGAAATCACAACTTAGCAACAAAAGAGCCCTGCTATGCTTCATGACGGCACTTTCAATACTGTCATCCAAAGATAGTGAGGTACATAGAGAATTCTCAGCCCCAGATACATCAGAAGTGCTGTTCAGTTCCTTAAACTGTCTATTGGCTGTCATAAATGCATCCTTAGATGCCTTATATAATGGAAGAAGAACTTGTGTTGAAATCCCCAACTTATGATCCTCATTCCAAAAAACTGAATTTCCATCAGCTGAGCTGTCAGATGAGGGTAAGGAATGACCTGCCTCTTCGTTCAGCTGGAAAAACTGGGATGGGTGAACAAATCCCACCTCATCGCTGGGTTCAATCAAGTGGCAATACAATATATAAGACAGTGGCATAACTACACATTCCAAAAACATATATGAGAACCCTTTAAAAAAGAGAAGCTATACACAAAATCATAATGCACCCACAATACAAATACACCAAAAGCATAAACTTTAAAAGATTTAAGCAAAAGAATGAGTATACTTGGCGGGTCCAGGAATTTTACTTTTGAGGGTCGACATGTAAAAGCTCACAAATATTTTTTAGACAAAAGAGACCTGTAAAAATGAAACGATAACATTATAATTCATATATAATATGCAATATTTGCCTTTTCCTTTATGAATCAATACCACTTGATCACTTGTAAGTTGTTTCTATGCTACTCCTTCTTTGGCCGCGTATTAAACAAAAGAAATCAAGATTTCTTTTGCACTCTCACAAAGATCACTCAGCTAATCTGAAAAATTAGAACTTCTTGCATGGACGTTTAAATTATCTAATCTCAGCTCTATTTTAACATACTCACACCTTGTGCATTCTGTCTCCCCTTTCTAAAACCATTAGTTCCAACATTATTTCATTTGGGGTCTAAAGATGTAAATATGCATGAGAGATGGCTCTATGCTGCAAAACCATATATCCCAGTTCTATAAGGATCAAAAGCAAGAGACCAAATGCGACCTTTGGTTTCTGTTTCCTCTCCTGGGTCTTTCATGTAAGCTTGTGAGACCATATAAATTAAAATCATCACTTTGCTGATTGCTAAATATGCGTCCCCTTTTAATGTTTCCATTAACTCCTTTTTTGTTTCCACTTGACAGTTGCAGAGATCTCAAGCAAAATTGGCATAAACTAGGGGCACCTAGGCAACAATTTTCCATCTCCAAACCGGTCCATTGAGCTCATCAAATCCATGAATGCAGGGCGTGTGAAGCTCTACGATACCAACCAGCTAGGCAACTCGCCGCTGCTGCTGAAACATGGCGAAGCTCGCACCAGGACCTCCGCAGCCTTTTTCACGGTTTCCTTTCCAAGGGGTCGATTGACCCCAGTGACCCATGGTGGCTCCGCCACACAACCAAGCAACCAATAAAAACTAGCTATTAAAAAGAATTATGCTGGGCATTTTAGCAAACGTGAAGTTTGCATCACTGAAAACAGAGATTCAAAACCTGCTATCATTTGATTCTTTGCTACATAAAAGTATGAACGACTTACATGTGAGGATCGGATTCCAAGATATGTTCGAATTGATTCAGAAGATCGACCATTTTTGCTTCGGAACGCAGCTCGTCTTCGGTCATGGTTTTGTGTTTGGTTGCCGAGAAATACAAAGCAAAAGCCGAGGGAAAATGAGAGTGTTTATTGCATATGGAAGATGATAATTAACATGGTGAGTGATCAGTTTCGAATCTGATATAGTGGGACAAAAAGGTAAATTCATTAAAGAAACCAGGTGGAAGGTTTCCATTTGTTTGTCAAAATAAGTGCAAAGGAAAACTTATGGGACTGGTCGTAGGTGATTTCACGTTAAGCCTAAACCATTGGGACACGTATGCATCTCTCTTCTCCGAGCCTTTTCACATTTTCTTTTTTGTTAGAATTTGAGCTGCTATTGCTATTTTACAAATCTCTCTCTCTCTCTCTCTTTCTCTGAGAGCTAAAAGTGCATCAATCGCCGAAGAAAATCTCTCTCATTTAGTCTCGCTTTTTCCCGTTCTCGCTAATCACTTCAATACCGCAAGGATCTGGTGTTTCTTCCACTTCAAACCTTACCCTTTTCCAATCACATAAAAAGGCATTGAAACAAATTTTTTATAAAGCTCTTGGGCTTTGAATTCTGAATCTAGGGTTCTGTGATCTGTATATGTGTATCGATGAGTATGGAAATCGCGGTGGATGCGGCGTCGTTTGACGCCGAGTTGTTGCAACTTACGGAGGTGTCCCCTTTGGCCCTCAAATCGAATCCAAGCTACGTCGAGTCGCTCTTCGAGCAGTGGCTTTCGCTTCCCGAAACTAATCGTCTGGTACTTAAAAATCCCTTTAGTCTTCAAAATTTGAAATTGTTTGTTTTTTTGCATTGTATTGGTTTCGCATCTTATTGGGTTTCGAAGAATTTCTGGCTGCATTTTTTGTTTATTGAATTTGATGAGCTTGGTTTTTTTCTATTGAAATTTTGAAATAATAATTTATGTGTTTGTATGTGTATGTTTTGAACACATAAAATTTGCATGGATTTGTATCTGTATTTGTGCTCATGTGTGAAAATAATGTGAGCTGGAAATAATGGTGCGGAATTTATTCTTGTATATAGTCATTTTCCTGCCCATGATATTGAATTTGTTCAGAAACGATGTCATTGTGATTGAAGAAGCATAATAGGGCACATTTCAGTCATGTAAAAAGGGATAAAATTTGTAAAATGTAAGCGCGGTGTTTGTAATTATGAATGCTTTAAAGCACTTCTTTAAGCATTTTTAATTAGGAAACGTATGCTGTATATCCTATGCATTGTTTCTTGCTTTTGTGGTGCATGATAATTATTTCATGTTTCCTGCCTTTATGACTGCAGGTGACACAATTGCTCGCTGAAGCAAAGGCAGGTGGACCCTTAACTGTCCATGGCAACTCTTCTAGTCCGCATGCCACTGCAGGCAATGCTTTGCCTTCCATGTTTCCAGCAGGCAGTGCACCACCACTGTCACCAAGAAGTTCATCTGGCTCCCCTCGCATTATGAAACAGAGGACTGGCCCTTCTAATTTAGGTTCTCCCCTGAAAGTAGTTAGTGAGCCAGTTAAAGAATTGATACCTCAGGTTTGACAAATCCTGATGTTTTCCGGCAATCTGATGCTACTATTTTGCTATATAATTTCTTATGCACTTTCTTCATTTGAACTTAACTAGGTGTAATGATTTTTTTTAGGAGAAGGTTAGTAATTTTTTTTAACTTGGATTTTTGTACCACTTGCAGTTTTACTTTCTAAATGGTCGCCCACCTCCAAATGAACTAAAGGAGCAATGTTTATTTAGAATAAATCAGTTTTTCTCTGGAAACGCGGACGGACTGCAGATGCAAGGTGAGATATACGTAAGATATGAGTTTATGTGTTATTACTAGAATGAGCTGTAATTTTCTCTCTGGTATATCAGAATTTAAATCAGTTGCTAAGGAAGTTTGCAAGCTGCCTTCATTCTTCTCCACGTCTCTTTTCCGAAAGATTGATGTTAATAGCACTGGATTTGTAACAAGGTATTATTCACTTTCTTTTATTGCTTGTGAACGAATGTAGTTTCCAAAGTGTGCTCCCTACCCCAACCCCCACCCCAGTCCATGTCTGCCCTACTGCGTTTTATTTTATGTCCATGCTCTTACTTTTTCCATTAATTTGTTTGTAGGGATACATTTACTAATTATTGGGTCAATGGCAACATGTTGACGATGGATATAGCTACTCAAATATATTCAATCTTAAAGCAACCAGATCTCAAGTACCTTACTCAGGTTTTTGTTTTGTTTTATATTCTTCTTCTCCTTTTATGTTTTATTACAGATCTATGTACAACCTTATATCTCTACAAATATGAATCATGATAAATGCAATTTGTGCATTACCTACTATCCTAAATCCTACTCCTGTTTGATATCAGGATGACTTTAAACCTGTCCTTCGAGAACTTTTGGCAACTCATCCAGGGTTGGAGTTCTTACAGAGCACACCTGAGTTTCAAGAAAGATACGGTTTGTTCTCCACCTATAATCAACCTTTTCCTTATACTGTTTTGGTATTCCATTTTTTTTCTCTGGTTATGATTGATGCAATAACTTTAGCATGATGCAAACCTTAACGTGAGATAATATTGCAATGGGCCAGCTGAAACTGTAATATACAGAATATTTTACTACATAAATAGATCTGGGAACGGTCATCTCACCCTCAGGGAGCTGAAACGTGGAAACTTGATTGATGCAATGCAACATGCGGATGAAGAAGAGGACATCAATAAGGTTTTGAGGTAAAGATTCCGGATAGGGACTTATTTGTGTTTGAAAGTGTGAGCAGTAAAATGAGGAATCACCATGTCTCGTTTCTTTCACACAATCTGGAATAGTGTGCTAGAGTGTGTTCCTCACTGCATCTTTATGTACAATATCTGATATCAAAACTTTTTGGTCTTCTTCTAACCCCTTTATTTCTTATATTATCTGTTACAGGTACTTCTCTTATGAGCATTTTTATGTTATATACTGCAAGTTTTGGGAGCTGGATACGGACCATGATTTCCTTATCGACAAAGAGAACCTGATAAGATATGGTAACCATGCACTTACCTACCGGATTGTTGACAGAATATTTTCTCAGGTTTGTGTCATGAAGCTTTTGTGTCAGACCGACTACAAGAAAAACCTTTCTTTCAATAAAAGCTTAAATCTCGGTCCTCTCTCTCTTTCTCTCTCTCTCTCTCTCTCTCTCTCTCTCTCTCTCTCTCTCTCTCTGTGTAACAGGAAGACAAAAACATGCAGTCTTGATTATGTATTAAATGAGTTTTTTTGGTTCCAGGTTGCAAGAAAGTTTACTAGCAAGGTTGAGGGAAAGATGGGATATCAAGATTTTGTGTACTTCATTCTGTCAGAGGAGGATAAATCGTCCGAGCCTAGCCTTGAGTTCTGGTATATCTTTACCTCTTACCTTTAGCTGTTAATTAATTGTAATTGAATGTGTGCTCTCAGTTTACTAAAGTGATGGATGGAGGATCTGCTTGATTTAACTTTATTCAGTTAATTATTCTATCAGCTGCCTAGTAGCTGTGACACTACATTGTTCTTGTTAGGTTCAAGTGCGTAGATTTGGATGGAAATGGAGTTCTGACACGGAATGAACTGCAATTCTTTTATGAGGAGCAATTGCATAGAATGGAATGCATGGCCCAAGAGCCTGTTCTCTTTGAGGATATATTATGCCAGATAATTGACATGATTGGACCAGAGGTTTGCCTTTTCCTGTTTGTACCTTTTTCTGACTGTTCCTTTTTATTGTTATATTCTTCTTCTTCTTCTTCTTATTTTTTTTGGAGAATAAACTGAAGTTTATTAACAGAACCTGGATGTACTAGGCTGAGGACATGCAGTCCTTATCGAAATACATTATAAAATAGATAAAGATCACTTGTACATGAGCAATCAAAACCAAGACTAACCAATTTATACACATTATTCTGCCTTCCAATTCTTACTATATTTGAGTAACCCCCCTCCTTTCCTCTCCTCCTTTTAGGTTTATTGCTTCAAGAAAGTTGTATAAAAGAATGGAATTCTAGGAATCTTTTATGCATGTTTCTCCAAACGCACCATTAGTTAGATATGGTTTTACTGTGGTTGACATGAAGTTTTGTTCTTGCAGAATGAGAGCTATATCACACTCCGTGACCTGAAAGGCTGTAAGCTTTCAGGAAGTGTCTTCAACATCCTTTTCAACCTTAACAAGTTCATGGCCTTTGAAACTCGTGATCCGTTTCTCATTCGTCAGGTACAGAAAACAAATAATCCTGTCATGATTTGAAATTGGAAGAGTCCAGATAAAAATGTTAGATTAGCGGACTGCCTTACCATTGTTGATGATTGTCTTGCTGATATTGGATGTGTACAGGAACGCGAGAATCCAACCTTGACAGAGTGGGACCGGTTTGCGCATAGAGAATATATCAGACTTTCTATGGAAGAAGATGTTGAAGATGCCTCCAATGGAAGTGCCGAAGTTTGGGACGAATCGCTTGAGGCTCCCTTTTGAGTTCAACTTGGGTAAGATAGTAAATTTGGTGTAGCTTTATTTATTTTTACCTTTTCCTTTGATGGTGCAAGCTAGGTGTGGAATATGGCATAATATCCTCCCTGGGTAAAGATTCTTAAAGTTCTAAAACGAGTATGAGTTCCCTAAAATAATTATGGTGAATTTGTGTGATGGGCTGATGGGAAGCATCTTGTTAGCCTCAGTTTCTTAGACTGAAAATTATATAGTTGAAGCAGATGACAATAACCATAGGTGCAGATCCTAAACAACTTATAAGCAATCATCACAAAGATTTGTTGTTTGACTTCACATGCAGTCATGGATACTTTCATTTGTGTTGCATTTGATTTTTGGGATACTAGCTGAGACACCAATCCTAAGTCCGTAGACTCTCTCAGATCAAACATCATAACTTTGTTTGTATGGATCACAAGTTCCAATGCATCAAATGATGAATTTATTGTTCTGCATAATTTCTTTTTCTTGTCTCCATTACTTATGGAAATTTCACCTTTGCATTTGTATTTCTTTGCAGGAATAGACTAGGAAATTTCAGATTCTTCTTAAACTGGTAATCAGACAGAACTGACGACTCATAGAATCAGTATATTGAACAAACTGTGGCAGTTGTGACACCTATACTTTATTGACGGAAAATTCTGAACTTGGCGGTGTCAGGGTACCTTGTGCCAGCAGTAAAACAAAAAAACAAAAAAAATGGTCTGCGTGTTCATGAATTAAACAAATGATGGGTCAGAGTGCAAGCCCCATTGCCCCGTATCGTAGCATGCGGAATAGCTGCCTGCTCAAAGATGATATGATTAACCACGTCCAGTTGAAAGATAATAACATCCTTAACATTCAGCCACCCCTCTTTCTTCCCTCTCTCTATTTGGTTCAATTGTTACCTCAAGTTGTAAGATATCACTTATTTAAGTTTCTTATTTATTTTTGTTATAGTGGTTGGTTGTTCAAAAATACATTCATTTGTAAAATTTATTAGGTGGTGTCAGACTTTCTTTGTTAAGAAATTTTGAGTTGGATTTTGGTTATTATCAATTGATATTCTTGGTTTCATTTTTCGATATTTTCTATGTTAGTAAGCATTGACTTGATGTTCTGAGTGGATGCCACTTTATCTCTCCTCCATTCTATCTACAACCATTTTTCGGTACCCAAACAAAAAGCTAGGGAACCCATGACTACAGGCAGATGGAAAATTCAATTGGAATACTTTGTTGAATTTGAATAGAGGCAGGTGGAAATTTCAATGGAAAGTCGCATGACTTTAATAACTGCACTTTCGTGTCAATTGCATTGCACAAAGCATCGCTGTTTTGATAACCAGGAAGCCAAAAGCTACTTTCTCTGATGTAAGACAAGACAAAGACAAAGGAAACATCATCTCTTAAACTATCATCTTCTAACCGGATGTATAGAGGGCTTCAATGTATGTTTGTTCTTTCTCCTACCCTTTTTTTTTTTTTTTTTTTTTTTTTTTTTTTTTTTTTTTTTTTTTATATGCGTACTGGTGATATAAAATTAAGATTTCAACTTACAATACAAAATCCAAAATTTTGGGATGAAATTCAAATAGATCCTTTATTATTATAAAATTCAGTATAATTAACTTGAGAAATAAAATGTTTAAAAAATAAAAATGACTTTTATGTAAAATTTAAACAAAAAACGAAGACGTTTGGTTTATCTGGGTCTAAGTCCAATCCAAGTCCAAATCAGTTCACTCAACCAAGGGAGGTTTGTGCAGCTAAACGCCCAATCACACGGACGCAAAACCCTGGTCTTCCCCAAACACACAGAGAACCTGAAACCGTAAACTTGGTGCAGCCGCCGGTGTTGATATCGCAGCAGGCAGAGATATGAAGGTGGTGGCTTTAGTAAGCGGCGGCAAAGACAGCTGTTATGCCATGATGAAGTGTATCCAATATGGCCACCAGGTTTCACCACTTCCTGTTTTGGTTCCCTTAAAAACGCAGGAACATGAAAGAAAGATTAAACTCTTCCTTTTCTTTCATGTTGTTTTCGCCTTGTATCTATTTTTCTTTCCTAAAAATGCAATTTTTATTGCTTAGTTACCTACCCAAAACCTCTTGCTGAACTGAGCTTAACTATTTGTTCCAACTTTAATTTTCTTTTTGTCAGAAAGAAACAAAGAATATAATAAGTTGCACCCTCTATCTCTTCTTTCTGTCTTCATATGTTTGCAGAAAATGAAAAAAAAATATATATATATATATATTTTTAAATGCCATCTTTCGGAGTTTGAAGACTCATCTGTGCTTGTTATTACTCAGATTGTTGCAGTGGCAAATTTGATGCCGGCTGATGATTCGGTGGACGAGCTTGATAGCTACATGTATCAATCTGTAAGTCTCTCTTTCCTTCAAATATTTATTCTTTTAATATGAAGAGCTAAGTTGTGAAGATGCATTTGTCTGGTTAAAGCTGGCAATGTGATTCTCGAGCTATTCATTACTTTCCGTAGGTTGGACACCAGATAGTTGTCAGCTATGCAGAATGCATGGGAGTTCCGTTGTTCAGAAGGCGAATCCAAGGATCCACAAGGCAAGACTTTTAAGAAGGGAATTTGGTAAAACAAATTATCTTAGATTGAGAAGTTGAAATCTCTGTTATTATTGTTGACAAAGTTCCTTCCTGTAAGAATTCTTATATCCACTTGATTGCTTGATTGTGTCAAGCTTGTTTTTATTCTCCCATGGCTTCTATGGATTATGTAGGCATCAGAAGCTTAGCTATAGAATGACTCTTGGGGATGAAGTTGAAGATATGTTTTTTTTGTTAAATGAAGTGAAAAGACAGATCCCTTCTGTCACAGGCGTATCGTCCGGTGCTATTGCATCAGACTATCAAAGGCTGCGGGTGGAAAGTGTCTGTTCTAGGTTAGGGCTTGTTTCTCTAGCATACCTGTGGAAACAAGATCAGTCATTGCTTCTTCAAGAAATGGTAATTTGTTTATTAGCAGCATGAATGCAGTCCATTAAGATAAGATTATTTTAACTCACAAACTTTTTCTGCCAACTAGATAACTAATGGGATTGTGGCGATTACAGTGAAGGTAAATTTTATTGTTGAACATTTGTTTTTTTAGTTCAAATGACTTGCATGTTTATTTTGATGTTTTTGGGGTTGGAGCCTAATACTGTTTGAATGTCATAGGTTGCTGCCATGGGGTTGGATCCCTCAAAGCACTTGGGCAAAGAAATGGCATCCTTGCAGCCCTATCTGCATAAGTTGAAAGAGTATGCCGTGCTTTATTTTCTTTCTGTTCGGGTTGGGGGTGGTGGGTGATGTTGTATACTGTATATTTTCTGCCACTATGGAGATCCCACAGAACCATCAACTCACCCCAAACCCCTAAACAGAAATTTATCCAGTATCCTTCATTGTATTTGCTAATCTTCTATTCCTTGGTAGGTTGTATGGGATTAATGTATGCGGTGAAGGAGGGGAATATGAAACGTTGACACTGGATTGCCCTCTCTTTGTTGTAAGTTCATACCATTCCGCAAAATTACAAGAATAGATTCAGTTGTACATAACAGGTGCTCAAAAATGCCCATTGTGTGCATACCAGTGTGCAGGATCTGAAATGTATTACTTAGCTTTATCCTTTGCTTGAAATTTTAGTTCTTTCCAATCAATAATGTCTGCTAATTACTGGAAGGTATTATCCCTACTTTTCTTGTATACTGTATTCTCATCACATTTTGGAAGTTCAAATGTAGGTCACTTGTTGCATTTTACAAAGTTTTGGAGATTTTAATTTTTATATCATTGCCTTCTACAAAATTTTGAAATTTACAGAACGCTCGAATTGTGCTGGATGAGTTTCAAGTTATACTGCACTCAACAGATTCCATAGCTCCAGTTGGGGTGCTTCATCCCTTGGCTTTTCATTTGGAAAATAAGGCACAATCCTATTCTTTTGGAAGCAGTGACAAAACCCATGAGATGTATCATGAGAAGAAGGGTTTTGTATGTGAAGTGCAAGGAGACCATCCCCAAGGATGTGATGCTGCATGCCAGGATGATGCCCCAGTTAACAATTTGGTTGAACTTGCTGAACATAAACCTCACATTTCAAGAACACAAAAGGGTGATACGTTTTCTATTTGTTCCTGGTTGCAAGATTCATGTACAACTTCCACAGGTAAACAGTAAATGAAATATACTTCTGCAGTTGTATTCCCTGCCAGTGTATTGCCCTTCAGATAGTATGATTACAATTTACTAGTGTTTTTAATATACAGGTTTGCAAGAAGATCTGGAGGCTGTTTTAAAGAAAATTGAATCACTACTTGTAGAAAATGGTTTTGGTTGGGAAAATGTTCTGTATATTCATCTTTATATTGCTGATATGAATGAGTTTGCTACAGCAAATGATACATATGTGAGGTATATAACTCAGGAAAAGTGTCCTTTTGGAGTTCCATCCCGCAGTACAATTGAACTGCCTTTGTTGCAAGTGGGTTTAGGTAGTGCTTACATGGAAGTTTTTGTGGCAAATGACCATACCAAAAGAGTTCTACATGTACAAAGTATATCTTGTTGGGCACCCAGTTGTATTGGACCATATAGCCAGGTAAAAACATATGTCATCAATAAGTTTCAGTCAACGAAAACAAGATTCCGTATTGGCTTGGATGCGAGACTTGCCTTGCTCAGTGTTTCCCATTTGAGCACCTTTCCTTATACTTTTATTTAAAAATGAAAAACAATAGTTTAGCATATTTTCGTGATACAAAACTCCATTAATTTTAAAAATGTGGTTGATTTTTTAATTTCAATCAATTTGTTTGCTTCCAGGCAACTTTGCATAAGGAGATACTTCACATGGCTGGACAGTTGGGACTCAACCCTCCCACAATGACATTATGCCAAGGAGGCGCCATTGATGAGCTGGAAAAAGCACTTGAAAACAGTGAAGCAGTGGCTAAATGCTTTAACTGTTCAATATCTACTTCAGCTATTGCCTTCGTCATTTACTGTTCAACAAAAATTCCATCAACAGAGAGATTTAAAATCCAGGACAAGCAGGATGCGTTCCTTAAACAAACAAGGGTCTTCAATTTGGATACAGGAACCAATTCTGAAGCATTTGATCCCATTTTTCTATATGTCCTTGTCCCTGATCTGCCAAAAGGGTATTGTTCTGTCTCCATGTTGGGCCTTTCTTCTTCATATTATGCACTCGGAAGAAAATCTATATGCTCTTTGCTCCTCATTTGGTTTGATTGATTGTGGGATCCTTCTTTCAACAATTCGTGCACATCTGTATATTTAAGTTTTACCAATTAAAATCCCTTAACTTCTAAAAAACAAAGAAAATGCCTTAAATTGCACCTGTCAATTCTTACGAAATGCTAATGATAGATTGCTTTAGTAATTCTGCTGTACCTGGCGACCTGAAATATGGATGAAATTTATAATCAGGTTCCATTCTCTTTCTGGCATTGCAGGGCCCTTGTAGAAGTTAAGCCCATTCTGTTTGTTGCAGACGATATTGAAGAACCAACTGGAGATGTGAAAGAGCAATCTTGCTCAAGCACTCCTGGTTACTGGGGTTTTCAGCATGCAGAGTGGCATGATTCTTGTTTTCAGAAATGTGTTGTTCCTGGAAAATTATGTACAGTCATTTTGTCTGTGAGTAGTGAACCTGCTGCGACCATCTGTCATGACCATCTAGTTGGTGACAAGAACAAATGGGATAATCAAAATTCTCTCACAGAGTGGCAGATGGATAGAGTGTCAAGATTTTGCATATATCTTCTTGATAAAATTATCACGGAGAGCGGTTTCTTATGGGATGACACAATGGTTTGTTTCTTGTCTAGATACTCCTTTGTTTTCTGTTTTTTATGTTTTCATTACTATTATTCTCATTGTGTGTCGTTCCTTGCATAGTATTTGAGGTTCTACTTTCCAACAAGTCTTCAAATGCCTGCAAATGCACTCTCACTCATGTTCACCAATGCATTCGATGAACTTGCTGCAATGGGTCGGATAATCAAGACTGGCAAGGAACCCATCTTCAACCTTGTTCCCGTCTTAGGTGCCGGGAGGTCTTCAGCATCCATGGATGATATAATCACCTGTGAACTTTTAGCTCGGAAGTCCTGAGTTTCATTGCTTCATGTAAGGGTGAAGATCCATTGATTTTCTATCTGGTGTTGGGTGCAAATGCTGAACTATTATTTGTAATGGGATAAGATAAAATCATGAGATATTTAGTCATATACCCATTTTTAGCACTAATGATATAAATAAACTCTATACCATTTAATTTCTATAAACAAACAAAAAAAACCCCAAAAAATGACAGTTGGTCCTATTGAATTTAATTTTGATTATTAAATTATTTTGATGTCCTATTGAGTTTTTTTGGTGTTTTTTAACGAGGTTTTGGGGTTGGGCTTGTTTTAAGAAATCGATAGTAGTTTTGTAATTTATAAGAAGTTAAAAGTTTCTTTGTTATATTGTAAATGAGTTTTTTGTGTATTTTTTAAGTTCATTTTATATATAGTTTTTTTTATAATTTAAGCCCTTATATTAAGTATAATAGTAAATCTCCCTAAAATCATTTGGTTTAATCCAATCTACTTGAGGCTGTTTTAACTTAGGAAGATTTATAAAGCAAAATTTGTGTGGATCCATATTGGATCCGAATATCTATTGGGGTCGGGTCGCAAAAGAACCCGAAACCATAAAAATGTATGTATACATTTGAACTTAAGAAAATGTATACTTTTGGAGTGATGTGATTTTGGGTTGGGAGGCTGAATTGGGCTGAGCTGAAAAATCTAATTGTGGGGTTTACTTTGAGTTGGGCTAGTTACCCCAAGGGGGTACCAACCTCAAAACAGTGAGTCCAGAATTACAGCGTGTGTGCCGTGTACTACACACTACACGTGGCTTGTCCTGAACTGCAAATGGACCAACTCAGTTGGCAATTATTTTCCAATAATAAGACAACCGACCTTGGGGTCAATCCGTGAATATTGTAAAAGACTCTAAGACTTCAAGATATAATCCTCTGTACGTAAGTTCAAGGTCATCTATGAGCTCGTTCACAGTCAGATAAAAGTCTCAAAGTCATGGAACTGTTGTCCAAAATAATAACATGATTAAGAATGTACGAAAGTAGGAGAAGAGAGAAATCAAATGTTAGTGGTGTTGTGTGTGTAAAATAAGGAACTCAAATGTGAGTGGTGTTGTGTGTGCAAAATAAGAAAAGACAAACCCACCAAACACAACCTCATTAGTCATTTCTTCATTTCTGCTGTCTGCTGGCTGCTGCTCACTCTCATGCATAAAAATTGGAGGAGTTAGACAAGAAATGGGGTGAGCTTCAAATCAGGACATAATGGTTGATAAAAGGCAAGCACCGAACCGAATAGGTTGAAAATAATGGGGTTGGTGAATTAGACAAAATCCTTTAATTAATCATGTGTAATGTTTCGGGTTTGGCTTATTTCCAACCAAATACCCCGACTAATGCCTAATGTCTTGTCATTCTGAAAATAAAATAAAATCTTGAGTGGCAATATCTCTCTCTCTCTCTCTCTCTCTCTCTCTCTCTCAGAGTGGTCTAGGGTAGATAATATGGATAATGGAAGTTGCATCTTATATAAGATTGGCTTGGCTTGACACTCAACACCCCACCACCCCACCAATCCAATTGATGGTATGCGCTACAGCCTCTTTATTAGTTATCTGTAATTATCAGTATGCTATACTATGCTCTTGCAATTCGTTTCAGTTTTACACCCAACAGATATATTATATATACACCAACCAGGAAAGAAAAAAAATGCATAACTAATTTGATTCACAAATTTTACCTAATTACTTTGGGATTAAAAATATATTTTTTTCATCTTATTTTTACCAATGCCAACATATGAAATATTTGAAGTGCTTTTTTGATCATATAGCTAGCAAAAGACTGAAAATCAAAGGAGAGAAATAGATGATCATTTTTTTCTTTTTCTTTTGTGACAAACAACAATTATGGGTGGCTAGCTTGTTACCATACGTAGAAGGCTGGTTGTCATCATCATAGCCTCATTTCATCATATCCTGCTCCTCCTCCTATATGCATGCTTTTTAATTAATTTTAATTCAACAACTATATATATATATATTTATTTATTTATTTATCTACAACACAACTGAAAGAATTTGCCGATGCAAGATTTATATATATATATATATATATGGGCAAGTGTGGGGGCTTTCATTCTGAAAAAGCAAAAAGAAAAGGGCTTTAGGTTTAGTTAATTATAAATTTATAAGCGAATAGCCATAGCCACATGCATGCGTGAGGGGAGGGGACCATGGACACCATGCATGGCCTGGTTTTGTGTTGTGACTCGTGAGGGCAAAGCCAAGAAAAAAAGAAGCGCGCCACAGAGGCAAAGGCATGTTCCGTTCCATCCATCTACTAGTTCAGAAGAAGCATCAAGGGCAACTTATAAGCATATATATATATATATATATACTCGTACGGCCTGTGTGCTGTGCTGTGGCCTCTCCTCTCCTCAGACATATCTATATATTATTATATATGGTCCCCGAGGGCCAATGCCTCATTAATAAAATACAAAATACACAAAACAAGAAACAAACTTTAAGGATTTGAAATCAGAAAGAATAGCTTTTGTTAAAAGAGAGGCATGAAAGATAAGTAGAATAACATCAAGTACACATGAGGCACAACACAATTTCACAAAGAAGAAAGTGGTTAACGTTGTTCTCGTTGTCCGTTTAGTAGCCTAGCCTGTGTTGATAGTGAATGTGAAATGAATTCTATCCACTTTCATACGTACATATAATGTATATTGATTCTAAAATTCAAAGTATTCCAATCATTCTTGCATAAGAGCGAAGCAATGTATGTGCAATATTAAACTCATACATAACATGACGGTCACACTCACATAAAGTAAATTAAACAAACTATAAATTAGTTAAAACCATACTTAAGTATATATAATATTGGCAAACTTAAGTATACATGAAGAATTCATTTATCTAAGTATTACCCTTAACTACACTTTGTTTTAGAATTTAAAATTTAAAATACAGAAAGAACCCAATTAAAACTACTTAGTACGATTGGGATACCAAGTACTCCATGCCATTTTTAAAATAGAAAATTTAGATAATTTTAAAATTGAGAACATAAGTTGGGTTTAATCCTCGCATGTTGTTGATATAAGTCCTTTGACTTTTTTTGCCAAATTGGATTACATTCCATTTTTGTATTTTCTGATGTAGATCTATTGTTATTATTATTTTTAAAATTATCTAGTTGTTCCTATTATACCCTTGAAGTACAAATCGTGTACAAATTAATTTATAGGACAATAATTACGATATCTACAATAATTATCTAGATATATTATTATTATTATATACTCTTGTACATATATATTATCCTATAGTGTAAGTATATTGTCATCTTGCCTATTGCATAGGTATTTTTTCATATTTTTTACAATGCGTAGTAGTATTTTATGTACCTTTTTTTTAATAGGTAGTCTTCTAATTTATGTTCCTAACTTATAGGTAACACGATTTATCACTAAGTTTTTTTCGTTGCTAATAATAACACTATTTACTTGTATGCATAATTTCATGTGGGTGCTTGTTGATTGTTATAATATGTGGGTCTTTACTTATAATTGATTAAATTAGATAAATATTTTCAAGGAAAGAATTCAAAATTTAAATTCTGAAATTCAATTACAAGGAAATAATGCATTAAATTTAGATTTTCAATGTGTTTTCCTTACTCAAAGGGTAAATTTGACACAACAAAAAAAGTAATAAATGTCAAAGAACTTACATCTAAAACCAAAAACGCTCTAAATCTAATAACAACTAATCATTTTGGACTTATATCTAAGATGATGATTTAAAAATACCGGCCAATCAAATTTAACGTGAGTATTTGATTAGAGGCTCCTAATGCAATCTCTCAGCAACCGTACGTCGGTGGTCCTTTCTTTCTTTAGAGGATGCAATTATAAATTTTATCATTTCTATAGTTTTGTTTGAACAAGTCCCTTAACTTGTTGGTTTATTAATTTTATTCCTTTGCGATTAAGTATAAGTACATCGTTATAAATTATAATAATGTGACATAATTTAAGGCGAAACGTTGTAATTAATTTCCTTACGAAATAAATATTAATAATCACAACCGTACATCCAACCGGTTGATTGCATGATATGATAATTTAAAAAAAAAACCATGTTATGATTAATAGATGTAGATTGGTTTCTGATCTTAACAATCCTTGATTTACAATCCAAACCATCCGGTAGAAATAGAAAGTCCAAAGTTATAAGGTATGTATTTATGAATTTTACTAACTCAATAATAAACCTTGAAAAAGACACAAAAAACACACAAATTAATTGGATTGTCAAGTAAGGATATAACTTCATGATTAATAGAGCAGTTTGTGTTATAGAGTAATAATCAAGCAATTTATCTAATTTAATATCTATATAAATAAAGTAAAAGGCTGAGAATGGTAAAACATTCAAAATAACAGAAAATGTCATTGATTAATGTACATACTAGGAATTAAAATTATTAATTAAATAAAGATAATATGGTAAATTCACACTTTTTTATATTAAAAAAATTAAAATTAAAAGAAAAATTAGATAATAAATCATATTTTAATGAAACACAACTACGTATTATTTTTTTTTAATTTTAAAATAAAAGAACGAAGCTTTTGTTGATAATTTTTACCTTTTTTTTTCTTCTTCTTTATTTAGGAAAGAAGAGAAACAACTTTTCTCCTAGTTGTGGGGCTAACCACTTTTATTCAGACAAAAAAAAAAAAAAAAAAAAAAAAAAAAAAAAAAAAAAAAAAAAAAAACTACACCCCTAAATGAGAAAACAAAATAAAAAGTAATAAAAACTGATAACGTGAGATGGTTGTTTTCGGTCCAGGATTATTGATGGGGGAACTGGAGTTGGTAAATTGTAATAATTTATTCCCATACCAAAACAAGAAAATTGCCGGGGATGGCGAGGAAGTAATTTAGTGCCAAAAGGGAGGCAAAAGTGTAATGGCGCTCTAAAACTGTGACAGAGAAAAAGCAAAAGTGAAGAGACTCAACCTGGAAATACAGAGAGAGATCTGAGGTGGGGGACTGAGTCAGGGAGCGAGTCGGGTCACGTCCTCTGCAGTTGTGCTTTCAAGGCTAATAATACTGTGGGAACCAGAAGAAGAAGGATAATAAGATCATGACTGTTAGATCCCGTATCTGAAAACCCACACCAACCGTCCGATTAACTTCCATCTCTCTCCCCCTATCCCTCTCTGTCCTTCTACAGCTCAATTTGGAGCCCACCAAAGATAAACAACCAGAGGCAACAACAGAGAGCTTAGCTTCACTTGAAACCCAATCCATTTTTTGCTTTCCCAGGTATTTTCTTGCTTTTTTGTTCTATTTTTGGAGAGCGAAAGAGAGTCATTTTCTATTTGGTTGCTCGGAGAATGAAATATAAAATAAATGAAACTGAAATTCTGATTCTTTTTAGGTGTTATTTGGAAAAAAAAATGTAGATAATTAAGTTTAGCTATGGTAATAGGTTGTTTCATTTTCGTTAGATACGGAGTATATAGAATGAATTGTTTTGTTATACAATTTTCGGCAACCAAGAGAAAGTAATGATTTTTAATTTGGGTTATTGGTGCATAAATCTGTGCTTCATTTGTACAAGGTCGCTCGGTGGTCTAAGCTGATTTTGTTTATATCTCTTGTTTCTTTCTTTTACAGATTTGAGGCTGTCTGGTAGTTTCTATATACTATGATGGAGCTCAAGATCCATAGCTGGGATTCGGAGATTGAGCTGCAAAAATGCTTAAAGCTTTGGCAAAGGTGAGATAATTAAGTCTGATTTGATTCCGAAGCGGATTATCCGGACTCAGTTCATATTGAGTCTTCTGGATTGGGAATCCATGGGGCTAAACACTAGTAAAAAGAATCCTAAGTTGGTAGATTTTGTTTGTGTGAAACCCTAGGCGTCGTTTGTGGTTCTTGGAAGTGGAAACTTGAAGATATGAGAACAGTTGTTTTCAGTTTTACTTCCAAAAATGAAAAATGAAAGCAACATTAGCTTCGGAACTGAGAGAACAGTAAAATCCATAGAATCAATGGAAGATTTTTCTAAATATTCCCAGAGTCCAGCCCATTTGGCGGTTGCACGCCGTGACTATGCTGCCCTCAGGCGCATTATCTCTACCCTCCCTCGGCTTTCCAAGGCCAGTGAAGTAAGCACCGAAGCCGAATCTCTTGAGGCTGAGCTCCGAGCTGATGCTGTCTCAGCTGTCATTGATCGCCGAGATGTTCCTGGTCGTGAGACTCCTCTTCATCTAGCAGTGCGTCTCCGTGACCCAACCTCAGCCGAGATTTTGATGGCGGCTGGTGCTGATTGGAGTCTTCAAAACGAGAATGGTTGGAGTGCTCTCCAAGAAGCCGTTTGCACTAGAGAGGAAGCAATTGCTATGATTATTGCACGGCACTACCAGCCCCTTGCTTGGGCTAAATGGTGTCGTAGACTTCCCCGTATTGTTGCCTCTACGGCCCGTATTCGTGATTTTTACATGGAGATAAGTTTTCACTTTGAGAGCTCAGTCATCCCGTTTATTGGTCGAATTGCCCCATCAGATACTTACCGCATTTGGAAGCGTGGTTCTAATCTTCGAGCTGACATGACCCTTGCTGGCTTTGATGGGTTTCGAATTCAAAGGTCTGATCAAACATTTCTGTTTCTTGGAGAGGGGTACTCTTCAGATGATGGCAATGTGAATTTGGCACCTGGTTCTTTGATTGTTCTTGCACATAAGGAGAAAGAAATCACAAATGCTTTGGAAGGAGCTGGTGCCCAACCAACCGAAGCTGAAGTTGCCCATGAAGTGGCCTTGATGTCACAGACAAATATGTATAGGCCAGGCATTGATGTTACTCAGGCTGAGCTTGTTCCCCATTTAAATTGGAGGCGACAAGAGAGGACCGAGATGGTTGGAAATTGGAAGGCCAAAGTTTATGATATGCTTCACGTGATGGTTAGTGTGAAGTCAAGGCGGGTGCCTGGTGCTATGACCGATGAGGAGCTCTTTGCAGTGGACGATGAAGAAAGGGTGGCAAATGGGGGTGATAATGATGAATATGATGATGTATTGACTGCTGAGGAAAAAATGCAGTTGGATTCTGCACTTCGAGGGAACTCAGATGGTGCTTGTGAGGATGAGGTCTCTGATTGCCATGAAAATGCTTTGGGAGGATCCTATGAGAATTGTGAATCCAACGGTGTTGTTAAGGAGAAGAAGAGCTGGTTTGGTTGGAACAAGAAAAGTTCAAAGGGAAATGATGATTCTGAAGATCCAAGGATTTTGAAGAAGTTCTCAAAGTTGGCCCCAGAAGGTGGCAACCAGAAATCACTTGATCATCAAAAACCATCATCTGAATTTCCTAGAGATGATATTGCAGATGCTAAGAAAGGAAAAGATAAAAACAGTAAGAAGAAAAAGAAGAAAGTGGCTAGTGATGCTAAGCATGAGAGTGAGTACAAAAAGGGTCTGAGGCCTGTCTTGTGGTTGACACCAGATTTCCCTTTGAAAACAGATGAGCTTCTTCCTTTACTAGACATCTTAGCAAACAAGGTCAAGGCTATAAGGAGACTCAGGGAGCTTTTGACTACTAAACTGCCCCATGGCACTTTTCCTGTCAAGGTAATCCAAAAGTTTTAGCTTTATAGACTATTGTTTCAATCTATTTTCCATTGTTTGTTTATGCAGTTTTGTTGTTGATTAGGTCATGCTATCCACTTTCGATAATAAATCACCTCTTTTTTTAAATAAAATAAAAATTCTATAATAAATCACCTGATAACATTTTTGTTTCATAAACCAGTAAAGGTTTTCATGAGTTTAGGAATAAGATTCATTCAAAGGCTAATGAACATATTGTTATAGTTGGTAGTGGTCCAAAGCTTCTAAATGATCATTTGGATACTGAACCTTGATTTGTGCCTTATTGTTGGTTGGGAATGGTCCATTTTCAAGTCATATTTGGTCGACTATTGTGTTTGGCAGGTACTGTGCTTTTTAATTAATCGCTCCAGAAAAGAAAAAAATTGTCCTGAAACAAGTCTCTTCAAACTGATATTGCATGACTAATCTTTCTTTCGCAGGGTTCAATTTTAATTGAAAGAGTTGCATCGTGTAAATCTTTCTTCAGCCTTTGAATGTCAACCTAATGTTGCATTTCCCTACTACAGGTTGCTATCCCAATCGTCCCAACAATACGAGTTCTTGTAACTTTTACGAAATTTGAGGAGCTTCAGCCATTGGAGGAGTTTTCAACCCCTCTCTCCAGTCCAGCACATTTTCAGGATGCAAAGTCAAAGGAATCAGAAGGATCCTCGTCATGGATATCATGGGTAAGAGGGGGTCGTGGTGGGCAATCAAGTGACAGCGATAGCCACCGATATAAGGATGAGATTGACCCTTTCCTCATACCATCGGACTATACCTGGGTTGATGCCAATGAGAAAAAACGCCGCATGAAAGCCAAGAAAGCTAAGAGCAAGAAACACAGGAAACATGCAACAGCCAAGGCTAGTGATGGGGGACATCAGGCAAGTGAGGAAGAATAGTTTTGCATAAATTACAGTCACTTTGCCTCTAAGAGGGGATTTGGTGGGACAAAAATGAGGTAAAGCCCATTCTTGTGCACTCCTGACCTATATTCTTCACTTTGGATTCTATCGTGGAAGTGTTACCAGATACGTTTTAGGCCCTTAATTGTTGATTTAGAAGAAGGGATATCTTCTTCAATTGTTGTATTGTTATGTGCTGTGAAATCGGAGAGGAACCGACTTGTCTTTTTCTAATAGCTTCTCTCATTCTAATTTATCGTTCACATCAATCTTTTTATCCAAGTTGTTTTTTTGTCAAGTTCACATTTTTGTGGTTGGTAATCTTCGCATGCGCTTGTCATTGTAGCTAAGACTAGCTGTTTTGGTTCTGCATGGTTTGCACTTCTAATAATTTACACGAAAATGATTTTAACTTTCACGAGATGATAACAACTAAGTTCGGTTTTGTCAGAACTTATGCTGCTCATTGCACCTGCCTATTAACCTTTCCCTCACGTTAGAACTTCTGCCTGACCTGACCTGTCTTAGAAAACTGAGATTTGGGTAAACATTTAGCAAAAGAGATTTGGGTTTATATCAAATTAGAGAGAGAGCAGGAACGTAGAGGAAGGCCACTGACCCCCTGGTCTACCGGTGGCTGGCAGTGTACGGAGTTGGGATGATTTCATCTTCTTTTTTTCAATGAAAATTGAGAGATTAAGATTAAATTTGAGACCTGGTTTCCAAAATCATGTTTGGGGATCCATAAATCCAATGAAAATTGATATTCCCAAACCAACCCTTAGCGAAATTTCTTACGCAAAGAATGCACGTTACATAATACTTCTCTCAGGTGGTCTTTCTGATCGTGCCTTCATATGCATCCTTCTCCATCTCATTAAACACATAATCTTTCAAGAGAGAAAAACTAATTTGTATCAGTTTTTCTAATAATATATATGTAAACTATATGAGGTGTATAGCATAATCCAAATACCTGATGAAGTCATGAAAACGCAGCAAAAACAAGTCTTCTACTCTACGTCAGGGTTCTAACTTTTGTAGATGCTAATCTAATAAAGTCCCACCCATTAAGGAGTTCTTATTAGGACGTCCGGAATTTCTAATCATAAGGACGCCATTGTTTTTCAGTTTTCTTCACTGCTTTCCTCCCTTTCTCGGTTTTTCTCCCCGTCTTTTTTATTCATATGCTTCAACAAGCAGTGGGTATACAAAACAAACTTTAGAGCTAAGAAATATAGCTGCAAGAATGGCGTCCATACGGTAAGAAAATCCGGACATCCGGATAAGAGAATAACTGGATACATATATATACCTATATTTTATATTTTTATTTTAGGTAATTTACAATAGTAAATCTCTTGTGAAGTGAACAACATAAAGTGCGGGAAGTTCTACTTCTACACAATAAAAAATGGAAGTCAACACATTTCTACTTGTATTATCGCACTCAACTCGAACACACTCTCGAGCAAAAGTAACCAATGATAGACGTTCTATGTTAAAAGTCTTTCCTAATGGATCTTTGCTTATGTGGGCATGTACATAACTTACATGATTAAGAGGTAGATAATACATACTGATATACAGACAACAAAATTGTTGACCCTAATGATTTACATATCTATAATTCTCATTGCCTGTAGTTTAGATGGATCTCTACCAGAACCGGTCCTTGTTGACACTCAAGTATCCGGCCATAACTTTCCCCCCGGTATTTCTCATTCCATCTATAAGGAAGCACCAAGTGGAACCCAATGCTCCAACAAAAAAGTCAGCTTCACTTGCCATCAAGAAATTGACAAGTGGATAATTTGTGCTAGTCTCCCTGCCGAGACTCGTTTCATAAGTTGCCATTGTCATGTTTCCGACTTGGCGGGTCACGTTCGTGTAGTAAAAGTCCCAGTGACGGTAACTTCTGGATTTGTCAATGACTTCCTGAAGATTGTTAATGGTTAGTTTTAAGCCTCATGAGCCATCACTTATAAAATTATTTGGAAAGATGATGTTAATGCAACAAAACTAAACCTGCATTTCAGTGGAGAGCCAAACACTCTTGAGCTGTGGGAAGCGCTTTCTAATGCGGCCAGCAAGACCCATGTATTCTTCAAATTCAACTACCTTCATTTCGCATGCTTTGTCTCCCATTCTTACATGCATGCTGAGTAGTGGCCTAGGCATCCAAGGCTTGTGACTAGACCAAACAAATTCTTCAATATCAGACCTTTGATCGACTGTAGCATCCTGCAAGAAACGTCTAATTGTAAAGCATAATTGTTTGTTTACCTCTGTCCTGCAAGAAAAACAGGGCAGATGGGATATATGTCCAACAAACCTTAGGCCATTTCCCTTCAAAAGTTGTGACGACCATATTGGCAGCTTCCTTTCCAAATGCAGTATGACGAGCAACATTCAATAAGCCACATGTGTACTCAGTTTGAAATCTCATCAAGTATCGTACTGCCTGACATAAATGTAACAATATACAATCAAATATTGAAAATCAAAGTGATTATGTGTAACTGAATAAAGGATACTGTTGGTGCCTCATTCGAAAATATTAATGCTGCAAGGAAAATGCTCAATGTGTCTGAGTGTACCAGAATATGGGATCCGACAATGTCCTCTTGAAAAAACGGGGGAAGAAAACTATAATGTACGTATGAGATTTGCATTTATTTCTACATTTTCATGAAAAGGGTGGGCGTCTGGCAGAGCTTTCGTGTCTTTCATGAATATATTGGATTTATAAAAGCAAAGATATAATTCATTTATAGAAGACCTATACAGATTACCTGTGCCCTCCACCACCTCCGATCCATTTTGCGATGATAAGCAACTAAACTTCCATTGATGTCTGTGGTAGGTTGCAAATGATTCCAAGGATCACCCCATATTCTGCATTAAATATTTGGCATGGTGACATGAAAAAAGTTATGTGCTGCCAAATACTGAGAAGTGAACTGAAAATGAAATTGTTCTAGATGAAAATTTTCACCTAGGTGTAGGTCCAGCCCATATTTGCTTTGAATTATAACTTTCTTTTGCCTTTATTGTGCCTTTTTTCCAGGCTTCTTCACTTCCCATAAGCTCGAATGCGCGATCTCGACATTCTTGGGATGTTTCAGGAAAGAAGTAGCAAGACCAACTGGAGCGGGATGAATCTACAAATAGAAAACAAGAGGTCTATGTTGATGTTTCAAACTTGTTCACTATGTGATGAGAGCAATAGAAAAACAAGAAAATAAATTTTTTTTATAAGAATTAAAACCATTTAAAACCACTGAAGTGAGATGTCATGAATCGTGATATTAACCTTTACAACCATCATGGTCGGCCCGATTATAGTAGTTGGTAACAAGGACCCTCTTTTCATTGATTGCAATAGCTAGAAGCCCACACATTCCAGCAATCTGGGCCCCAATTCCAAATCCAGGTAATCTTTCCCAGTCAGCTACAAGAAATTTTACACTAGGATCCCTGCAGTTCAAAGGATGTTGATGCATCCATATGTCTCGTTGCACTTTTCTGGTCAAGGGGTAATTTTCTTCATCAGAACCTGTAATCTGAAGAAACTTGCATATTAGTAGAACTGTGGAAGATTATAGAACACAACATCTTATCTCACAGAGCAACATCAAAATTCAAAGTTATGCAGTGATTAATAATGTACAGACGTGTCAATATAGCAAAACATTATGTGCTTAAATACGGAGCTCATCAACCATGTAAGATTAGAGGCAGATGGGTTGCGGTTCCTTTTGCATTCTTGCTAGCTATGCAGAATGGGGAATCCTGATAAAAACAAGAACTGATTGGTCTTGAAATTCAGGACCCAAGATTCTTAAGTTCTTTCATTGTTGGATTATTGAATTGAATAAACATGTGTGTGTGGACACGAATTAGCTCATGTGCAAAATGCATATGTACAAATCAGAAATATATGCATGATTTCATTGACAGATATGGCTCATTCTTCCAAATTGTTGTTCTACAGTAATAAATAGTTATTGAACTTCAAATCCTAGAAACATACCCAGGGAGCATAAGCACCTTCAGATGTAGCTTGATGCTCGTTAGTTGCAGCTGCTGGGTACTTGGCCAACGACCCTTTCCAACTTGTCCAGGGAGGATAAGTCTCATTCTCAGCACGCTTATCGAGGGGCTCATTTACTCGTGTTTTTAACTTGCAATTTTCCAAATGAGGGGCATTTGGCACACGAGATGTGCTTACTCCAAGTCTCTGCAAGTCATCACTTTCTCCAGACTCTGATTCAGTCAGTAAAGCACTCCAAGCTGAATACAACAATGAGACTGACTCATTATTGATTATTTCTTCACTTCTCAGTGAATCAACTATGCTCTCTGTTCTGATTATCGGTTTAAAACTGCAGTTTGTGCCTGCAACCATATCGTTAATTCAAAACCAGAAATTAATCTCTTTGATAGATTGCTTCAAATTTTTTTTTGGTTAAACTATTCAATGCATGCCAATGATTGAAAGCACTGTTCTTCGGTTCGTAACCCTTTGGAAGCACTGTGTGGCCAGGAGCAAGCCGAACTCCGAGCGGGGATTTATCCCACATTTCGGGTGTAGGGACACCTCGTGGTATTTACCAAAAAAAGAAGAAGCACTGTTCTTCTTATCTACAACGTAGGTGTGAATTGAATCTGGAAGTCACAGAGGTGCCATGAGTGTTTTGGAACTAATGTCAAGGGTCACCAAAAAAGAGAGAATCTAAAGGCATCAGATTTACACCTCGTCATGGGAGGGCTTATCTTCGTAATCAAAGCAGACATTCAACTAGCAAGTATAGTCAAAGTCAAATATTGAAGTGAAGGAAATGTGTTGATGAAGAAGCCATTCTAACTTTAAGTGGCTTTGAATACACCTTTTAATTAAACCTCATTAAGAAGTTTCTGAACGACCAAACTCATTAACGTTCGCAAATTTTATTTCTCTGCCTTCTGTCCCTTGCATAATTATTTCATTCCCAACTTTCCTTTTCCTTGGATTTAAAGCAAGCAAGGCAAGTAGAGAAAAGAAAAGGCAGAAAAGACCCACGTCCATTAAAACAATGAACTTTAAAGAAGACAAGAATTGAAGATTTTATCAGGAAAATTTGACTCACTGATGATCTCTGAGCTTGAATTCCCAGCTGAAGCACCCTCGGAAATGGTCGAAAATGAAAATCCACCAAACTCAAAAGTACCAAAAGAAGTAAGAGTAGCCAGAAACAGAGAAGTGAGACAAACTCCACACAGAAAACCAACCACACAAATTTGGCATGGAAATGAACTCCCCATTTGCAAAGCCTTCTGAGAAACAGCTCTCTCAAGCGACTTCTGATTTAATGGTTCCATTTTCACCTTTAAGGATAAATCAAAGAACCCAAGAGCTACTCTGAAGCTTTTTTTCACCGGAATTTCATGAGACGCCAACTAACTCATCACTGCAATCACATGAAGCAACTTAACTTTTAATTATCTTATTTTCTTCTTTACTTTCTACTTTTGTGTATGAGATTTTCATAAGCAAAGAAACATGAGAACAGGGCTTATGCCAATCTACCAAATAAAGGAACAAAATCACAAAAATTGTCAATCTCAACCATCCATATCACCTTAAAATTTGGTGGCCCACCTTCATCTTCCTTCCAACTGCAAAAATAAATGAAATTTCCAATCAGAAATGCAGAACTCGAGCCAGAATATTGCACTAGTGATGGAAAATATTACTATCATCACTGCATTAATAATGAAAAATCAGCAAATTCAGTAAGATAGACATTCAAAAACTATATTTTTTTAATCAAATTTAATTTTGCTGGTTAATATAAGATTAGTAAAGACACCATTAAATGAAGATAGAAATTGCAGAAGCACAGGGACCAATTTTACATTTTAAAGTAAAATATATATCCCCAAAAAAAAGAAGATAATAATAGAGAGAGAGTATTAGAATACCATGACTCACAAAATATCTTCTTGTATCAAGTAAAAGGAAAAAAATTTATATAGTTCACTTGGATGTCAAAGAGAAACGGAAGCAACAGATAGGCAACAAAACCAAAACGCATAAAGAGAGCCCATGCAGAGAGACAAACGCCACAAAAGAAGCAGCAAACAGTTTGGAGAAAGAGATAAGCATGGCCAAAAGCAACACCAAAACAGAAAATTTGGAAAGAGTTTTATCTTCAATTATGTGTACCTTTGATTAATTGAGAAAAAAGAAAAAAGAGCAACCGAAATTGAAATGGGTATCTCAGCAAAACCAAGAAATACAGTACTTTCAGAGAGAGAGAAAGTTTGTGACTTTCTTTGCGTGTGTGAATTTGTTGAGTTTCTCAAGAAGGAAACAGACATCTCATGGCCATCCACTCGACGTTGTTAAGATTTTTATGCAGTTTGTGCAAAGAGACTCTGTCAGTGTCTAAGATAGAGTGATGCACAGTGGACACATGGCATAAACCCAACTCAAAGAAAAAGATGGTGTTTTTATGGTGCAGGTAGAACAAGACCTTTAATTTCCAGCTCGTTACCAAATACCACCTGCCTCCCAAAAACTACGTTTCATGATGAACCTCTCCCATTATTATGAGTTGTATTTGTATGATAAAGTTTTGAGTGCAAATTAGGAAAAGCTCTTAACTTGTAAAAGACACGAATTTGATTAATTGATTCCATCATTAAGTGTATTCGTATGTTCTAGACTTGACACTTACACTTGCTCCTTCCCCACTTTATTTTGGTCCTATGAGAGCTTAACATTTATTGGGTATTTGGCCAATAAAAAAATGAAAAATAATAATAATTAGTTGGTGCTCTGTATTATTGATTTCGTTTGATTAAATTATAATTATGTAGTTGTTGGCAAGCATTCTATTACCGTCCCTGGCTGATCATGCGTATTTAAGATTGGAAAACTTATTTATTTTAATGAAGGGTAATGATTTCCCCACTCCAATTTTATTCACTTACACTAATTTTTTAGTTATAAAATATAGTGTAAGTAGATAAAATTGGAGTGAGGAAATCGTCACCCTTAATGAATTGATAAAGACTCAAAAGTAAAGTCGTAGAGGGTAGTATAGTAATTGCATGTGGGAATAGTTTATACTTGTACATCCAATTTGAAAAGTCCAAGTTGATATGATGAGATGCTAATCTTGACACAAGGCCAGCCACTTGGTAAATTTCTTTTTATCCACCGACACGTACAGCAAAAAGATCCCAAAACTAGCGTTGGACCACTTATTGTTGATAATAATATTATTATTATTAGAGGAGCTTAAAAAAATCATACTTGTAAAACAATTAATGAATATATTCAGTTGCGAGATATATGAAAACTCCATTTTCACAAGACTAGGACTTTGTCCGGGCTGCTCGCCTCTCACTTGGGATTTATAATGTATCGTTTCTCTTGGTTAGTGCACAAGTGTTTCTTATTTTATGTTCGAATTCGAATTTCTCTCTTTATGGTTTAGATTAATTTAAAATATATTATAGCTTGTATAAAAAATAAAAAGTTACCACTTACAGCCAGAGAAGATAGAGCAGTTATCTGTGGCACTCGACGACACTGCGTTCCATGACAATAAACATTTTTGGAGGACCTACTTGTGGATCCCACCGGCTTATTTGGCTTATTCTTCGCGAGTTACGAAATGGCTCTGTCTTCTCTCCTTTCGTTGTCAGTTTGTCACACTGATACATATGTTATTCGGTCCCACGAAAATAATTGTGCAATTTAAAAAGCAAGGACTAATTTAATTGGCATTCGTGCTCCACTAACTTTCAGAACAAGCCGCCAATTAGGCTCCACCGGCCCAAAACAACTGCCCCGACTTGGGCTGGATGAAATTGACACCCCCTCTCTTCTCAGCCCACCCGAACTAACTTCTCTTAAATGAAGCCGAAGAAAATCTCAACGGTCATATTTTCAAGCTCCAGATTCTTCAATCAAAGTCTCTTGTGACCGTTGCGTCCTCAGTCTTCTTCGCTCTCTCTCTAAAGTCTAAACCATGAAGACCGCTTTCTAAACCACACACTCTCTCTCTCTCTCTCTCTTGAAAGCAAAAGGCATCCGAAAGAAGTCAGCTGTAAAAGCAGCTAATCATGGGGTGCTTTCCAAAATGTTTCACTAGTTGTAAGCGCCGAAAGCTCAAAAAATCAGTCACCGTGACTCCATTTAAACACCAGCAAGTAAGCAAAACAAGCCCTCCCGTTTCACATAATCACATTTTACTAATTGTAGTGTAGACTCTGCTATTCCCAATTTGGATTTTACTTATCTGAGATTAATTTGTTGCAGAGCCTTGAAGCTACTGAAAAAGTTGTTCAAATTCAACATGCTGAACCCACAAAGCTAGAAGACGTTTTGGAAGCCATTAAACTCACCAAAGAATCAAAGTAAGCTCTATCCGTTGTTATAGCTTCGATCTTGATTCTGTTTCTTTTTTGGGAGCATCTGTTTCATTGAGTTTATGCCTTTGTGGGTTTTTTATTATACATTTTTAAAAAAAAAGTTAAATGGGAAGGGGTATTTAATATGTGGGGATTTATTTATGGTAATTAATAAATGTATACAGAGAGGAGGAGAATGAAGAACAATCAAAGAATGATGCCAAGAAGAAAGTTACGTTTGATTTGAATACCAAGGTCCATCATGAAGAATCATCTACCACTACCAAGGAAGTCACCAATGGCTTGGTGGAAAGCTCTGATGAGAAAGAGGAAATACAAAAAGAGATGGAACCGATTCTGGGTTCCATTATATCAAGCGTAGCACCATCTCATCCGTTAAACAAAAGATACGAAAATTGCCAAAACAATGAGGATGAATATGAAGATGTGGTAGACTTAGATGGAAGTGATTTGGATGCAGCTGATGATTATGAAGGAGGACATGTCGATGATGAGTTTGATAGTAAGCAGCAAATCTCAATTCAAGAAGAGTCTTCGGAATCGTTGTTTTCGCTATCGATAGATTCCAGGAAACAAGTTTATGATGCTGAAATGGATGAGAAGGAGGTCAACAGTCCAATGCCAAAGCTCAGTGCCTCTAACCAGGAAGTTAATCTAATAGGATCAAACCAAAATTCTAGGGATCAATCAGTGCTGAAGCCCATTGAAAATCTTACTCAATGGAAGGAGGTCAAAGAGAAAGCAACTTCCACAGCTTCAAAGCACCAAGAGAAGGAGAACATAAATACAGAGCAAGATTGCTATGTACCCTTTAGCCCAGAGCCTACTTTGAAGCTGTCAAAACACTGCCCCAGGCCAAAGTCCGATGACCAGGGAACTGGGGTTGACACTAGCCTTTCAAGCTGGTTGGTTGAATCTGAGAACACGCCCAAGTCCAATGCCAGTAACAATTCTGTGGGGAACAACTCACTTTGTGAGAGAGTGACAAACTCACCCAGAAGCCGTGAAGATAGGCCAATTTTAGGAGCTTGGACAACTGAAGAGATAAAACAGTTGTCTGCTTTTTCTACCCCGAGACGGTCGCAAAGCCCAAGTCCGGACCAGATACCGATCATAGGCACTGTTGGGAGCTACTGGTGTCATACTGGTCAGACCATGGATTCAGACTCAAGCTCTTCTTGCAGCGGAATGCCAAGAACAGCAGGGAGAAACAGAGAGGTAAGAGTAAAGTTTTTCTTTTCTTTTTGTAAAAAATGCTATGTAATTACTTGAATTGTGGGTTAAACGTGGTTTGATTGTGCAGGATCAGAAAGTGAAATGGAAGTCTACTGCATTTGAGGCAAAATTGGAGAGAGCTTTAGACATGGGTTTACTTGAAGCTTAGCCACAAATTATAGCAATGGCGTCCGAGATGGGATATTCAGTATTTGTTATATTCATGTAATTTTGAATTCCAAGGGTCTAAATTCTAATCCGGTTGTCTGCTAGATATTTATGTAATTTTGTTATTTTTCTATTTGTTTTTTCATAAGGAAATTATCTTGCATTCAGTATTTAACTAATTAAGTACTGAAAATTTCAACTAATAAACTAACAGAGACGAACCCGTCAGGGAAATACAAAATTGAACATGCGTAAAATGGTCGCATCAATTGAAGGTGCAGTTTGTACGTCTGTGTAATATCGACCTGTGACAACTCATGAAAAATATGTAATGACTAAAACAAAGAAATTTTCTTACATGGGAAGGCAAAAGCTAAAAATCTCTGTAATACGGTAGTAGAACAAAATACTCAATACATCATTCTTCCGTTTCCCCCCCAGACTACAGTTTACCCAGGGGACGATACAACATTTATTTGTTTTGACAGTAGTCACTCCCCTATCTTTGCCTTATATTTGAATCAGTTACAAGATCCTCTGAAAGGGAAATGTGCAAGAGCTTCCTTATCTGGTCGAACATATTTGTGATTGGACATGGACCCAAACTGGGTTTTCTACACATCGTGAAAGAGCCTCCTTATCTGGTCGACGGTGGTTGGCATCAATGTGATTGGACATCGCTTATACTGTGTCAATAACGACCCATAAAAAGACATTCAGTTACATGCTATGGAAAAACAACATAACTTGATGCATGGACAACACAAACACTGATTTTCTTTGCCTGCTTGGAATATGCAGACATAGTGATGTACTTGACAGTATGCAATATCAGTTTATATACTTCACTCCAAAGGGCAGCCTTTGTCACACTTTCCCAATGAATGTGAAAGTGTGTTTATCCACATAAAACATCGACTATTGAAAATTAAAATTTACAGCTTCTGAAGGCCTCACCTGAGAAACATACTTGAAAATGCAGGCATAGCAAAAGACAAACCCAGAAACTGTAATTACAGATGGATTCGCACGCCTCTGTGAACAGAGAGGACAAAGAGTTCTCTCGGGTGGCAGTGGAATCCCCTCTTTGGCAACCTGTTTACAGTAATGGATTAGACTTGAATACTTGAGCAACATACCAACTCTTTGATTGATTGGAAGTGCTATTAAATTCTAAAGAAAATGATAAATTAAAGCCAAGATGGATTGGAAAACACTTCACCTGGGGAGGTGGAGGTGGAGGAGGTGGAGGGTATATGGTTGGAGCTGACATTCTCTCTTCAGCAGACTGGTACCACCATTCCATCATCTATGAGTTTAATTCAAATCAATGAAAGTTACAAAGAGAATCATGTGATAAAAAATGACTATGCCACTAGTCAAATTAAAGATTATTATGCTTGTTCCATAATTACAAAGGTCTTAATATCACATATGGGTAAGCCATGCTCACTTTAAAAAAGAATACTGCTGCAATTAACCCAGTCTGTGCATAATCGAGCACCGTGTACGTACCACTGAGCAATGCTCCTTGTAATGCCTGTATGGTGATTCATGTCAGATAGCAAGAAATGAACAACCAAGTTCAATCCAAACATACAGTGCTTCCTCATAATCTGTACTTTTTCTCATGGAATATTACTAATCAAACACAATAATAATAGCAGACTAGTTGCATATGTAAGGTCAACTACCATCATACCATGTTTCAAATCACTGTGACCAAGAATCAAACTAAAAAGACTTGATTAAAACTATTAACCAAACTAATCAAATGTAGTTATACCTTCAACCATGGAGGACCACGAAGTCTCTCACGTTCACGGCTTCTTGTTTTTGAAATTCTAGAAGATGTATCCATCTACCTTGACACCAAAAAATTGTATTTCAACTATTGAATCATATACACAGAAACAAGAAGTCATCACCAAGCCACGCCAACTATCTTTTTTTTGCTTCTTTTCAATCTCATAAATGTAACAAAATTCAACAGATAAAAGTATATCGTACCAAAAATCCCTGACTAAATGCACTGAAAAATATAAAAGGATAAATAGATGAGAACCAAAAGAAATTTTTGCCACACAATACCAGCTCTTGCCCTGTAGCTCGACAGACATGAATCCCAAGAGCATGTAATCCTAAGGAATAAAATCCAGTTGCATCCAACAAGTATAACATCTGATAAGCAAATGAAAATCCTGCATCACCAGTTCCAGGTTAGAATGTATTATCTAACCAGAGGCTCATATGGTAAAATACAGATAAAGGACCTAGAATACTCCCAAGAAGACATCAACAGATAGATTCACTGTGAAGATGTAACATCGTACATTGAAAACATAACAACATTAAGGGGACTTTAGATATATAATCTTTTAATAGACTAAGTTTAAAGAGCTTCATGTCAACATTATCTATTGTAAAGAAAAAGAACGCAAGTACTAGTCTTTTGAAAGTAAAACTTCTATAATTACACAAATTAAGTAACTTCCCTCAGTTTCTACTGCTGGTTTATGCATAACATGCACATCCTTACAAATATGTTCGAGCAAAATATTAAAAACAAAATCCAAATTGAAAGATGAAAGTTATTCTTTGCATATAAAGGTCAGCAAGAAAGATGCACACACCTTCAGTACTAGCATGTAGCAAAGGATAGCAAGCACCTATAAATTTCTGGATCTTTTTAGTCAAACGCGTTCTAACTGATGCTTCCATATCCAAATTTCCTCTTGGAATAACAGAATCCTCCCCTCTATCAAATATATCAGCATCATCAAATCTTTCATCAACGTGTCCCCATAAGCTTGCTTGAAGTCTGGCTTCCCTTTCTTTATTATAGATTGAATGCAATTTCGACTTAAAGTAAGGCAATACAACCTAGTACATATTCGTTCACAATTCAGTCCTCTTTCATATAGCTAGACTTATAAGACAAAAGAAATCCACATAGCCCTATCTTGCGAAAACACAATAAGCAGGAGACCGTACCAAAAAGACAACTGACAGAACTCTTTGGCGCTTTTCTAACCCAGAATGCTGAATTCCATCACCTGGGTTCAGGCGAGCATCATCCTTCATGGCTTTTATCTTCACAGCCCGCCTTCTTAATCCATATAGAGACTCAGAGAAGGAAGCATCTGAAGAGAATAGGACCCAGAAGACAAAATTATCGTAGATGGTAACAGTCATTGATCAGTCAGACGGAGAATAAAGTAAATTCGTAACTGCTGGAGAAAAATATGAATCAGAAAACCTGTAGTTCTCAAGCTATGAGTTTCGAGAACTAGCATGAGCAACGAAAAGAATTCGTCTTCATAGTCTAACACCCTATGGAGGAAGGGTCTTCGTAAAGCTAATACCTGTGGAAATTAACATTTAGAGATAAGATCATTCTCAGCCTACCAAACCCCAGAAACAAAGAGAGTTGCAAACAATCAAATTTTTACAAAAGAGAAAAAGAAGAAGAGAGTAGATAGAGGAAGAGCTTACGCCGATGGAATAGGTGAGAGCGGCGCGAAGACTGGCGGGGAGCTGCTGAGCCGCCGCCATCTCGAAGAAGGTGGGACGAGTCCCTTGGCCTCCCACTTGAAACAACATCTTCTTTGCTCTCTCTCTCTCTCTCTCTCTGTGTTCCTGTTTCGTGAGCTTAATAAATTTGTTTTGGGTGCAGCAGAGTAAGGACCTACCTAGTAAAAACAAGGTTGCGAACTTGCGATGCGATGCGAAATTTGACAGTTTGTGTTTGGAAGGAACACAACACCGCCACATCCAAATTCCAATTCCAAAAGCATATAGCCCGGCCTATTATAATTGGTTTTCAGAGCAAAAATAAAAAATAAAAAATCATTTGGTCTTTCTCTTTTCATCCTTAATTTCTTTTTGTTTTTTTTTTTTTCCTTTTCAAGAAACACCACATAAATTATTAGGACTACGTGCATTTGTCATCCAATTAAAAAAAGAAAAAAAGAAAAAGGAAGATGATTTCATGAACCTCAAGAACTATTTATTTACGATAAAAATGATATTATAACTTAATAAAATGAGACTATATGATTACTAATATGATTTAGTGCTAATTAAAATGAGACTATAACTCCAACAAGAACAAGGTCCTCCAAAATGGTTGAGATTCTTCATAAATGCAAATTCTCAAGATCCTTGTTGACTTTTAAATTCCTTAAAATGGCATTGACACGAGGGGAAGGATCCACGTTATGAACAATGAAATCTACCACGATCTTCTTGATAAATTTTAGTCCGCACTGTGAACCTATAACGGCAATCATGTCTGCGTGACACCAAATTTTGAGCAAAGTCCACTTATTTCCTCATCCCCAAGCTGGATGATGTCGCCGTGCATATCACTCAGTGTCAGTACTCTAATTGCCTGAAATCAAACCAATATTGATTTAATAGTATGCTAATATGCTATGCTGTTTGTTGCCTTCAAAGTTGAAACTACAAATGCATTAACACCTTACTGCCTTAGCAGCAGCTAGCTACTTCAAATTCATATTCAAACCACAGAATATATAACTCATAAGAAAGGAAGGATGATGCAGATGAGAAACACAAATAACAAACAACTACCGTTTGTACCTGATTTACCGGAATACGTATTGATAAGAGATGAACAAGCTGCTTGGCCTTGACAATAATATCCGGGTCAGTAGTCTTGCTTGTTTTGATTGTTATGTAACCAAAAACCTGATTAGTATCTGCATCCAAGTTAATTAGTATCTGCATCCAATCATGCATAATTTGAATCAACCACCGATTGATCAAGAGTAGATATTTCAAAAACAACATTAATTTATTATGACATACCACATCCAATCTGCATATGATACCATGCTCTTTTAAAGCAGATTTCACCTTCGGCCAAGCTTCTTGCAAAAATGTTGCTGCACGAAACAATGCAACGGCTCATATTGATGAAGTATTTGTTCTTTTATATAACTAAACTATTAATAATAACGATTTAAAAATATATGGGATAAGTTGTGTCGAAATCCTTTTATTTCTAGAGGTCTCAGACATGGTTGTTTTCAAACATCAGCCATCACCCACCCAACCCAACGACAAAATAAAGGGAGTATCTTCCTTTTTAAGTGTCTGAGCAGACTAACGAATAATAAAAAATACGAATAAAAGCAAGAGAAGGGGGTTCCAATGTACCATGGCATTTAGGGAAGTGCCTAGAGAAAGCGATGCCTTGAGGCTTTCCATCTTCGTTCAGCAGAGGCTCAAACCTCCTATTATACAACATTTTGGATATGTCTGGATCGCGGCTCCAACGGACTAGCAGCAAATCCATTTCTGCACAAAACAATGCAAAGGATCATCTCATTGGTTGGTGCATGTACACGTATTTGTTCTTTTAAATAGGTATACTATTAATAGTCATTATTAAAAATCTCAACAATGGTGAAACTTTGAGAGAGAGAGCATGTACCGAAGCCTTGAGGGCAGCGACTGAGGAAAGAGGTGATTTCAGGATTCTCATCTTCGTACAGTGAAGGGCCAAACATCTTCTTCAAATTTTGGACGATTTCTGGATTCTCATACCACTGCAATTCCTGTAACGAGGGTGTGTCTGTCGTTTTTGCAGCGGAGGGCGAAATTAACCTCTTCTTCACCATCTGGAGGACTTCTGGATCCTCGTACCACTCCACAGAAAACTCATAGTAGCTTTCTTTGTTGGTCTCCATGTCCATGGTCGCTCGCGCTGTGCTGAGAGAAGAAGAGATTTTAGGGTGGATTTAAGGGAGATGGCGGGAATATTTTGGGGTGGATTTATATAATTCGGGGATGAGCCGTGGTGACTAGGGCCGGGATCAGACGGGGCTGTTTTGGGCCTAGACGGGGCGAGTTGAGACATCCAATTTCTTTTATAAATTTGTTTTTGAAATAAACCTCAGCAAGGAGGCATAGTGAAAGATCCTTTTAATTAAATATTTAATTACAACATGCGGGTCTCTTGCATGTAACTTCTAGGATCTATTCAACGGATCTCAAGCCTCTGCATTTAGAGATCGTGCATATACCCGTATTTCATTATGGAGGATGATGCACGTCATCATAATACCAAAGCATCTCTTCATCAAACATATGAGCAGATGCCCTAATGATTGCCCACCAAGCTTGGAGGATACCAAAACACGTTTTCACATCTTTCCTATAACCCTCTTGATAGGCACCAAAGTATTTTTCCTTCTAAAATTGGGGATGTGGAATTGTTTTGACGAATGTCGTCCACCTTAAGTAAATTTCGTCTGCTAGGTAGTACCTACCCGAGTAAATGGTATTGTTGATTTCATACGCGATCTGAGGGACTTGACCTCTCAACACATTGTTGAACACCGGGGATTAATCGAGCACATTAAGGTCATTTTGAGATCCTGCAACTCTGAAAAAGGCATACCAAATCGAATGATGCAACGGCTTCCAGAATTATAATTTTTTGGCCCTTCCTATTCCCATAATCTCCTTGCCAGGAAGTTGGACAATCCTTCCACTACCAGAGCATGCAGTCAATGCTTCCAATCATGTCTAGAAAACCTCGAGGCTCGGCTTTTTATAAAAGCCTTTGGAGGTCCCTAGGCGTAGGTTTGCGGAGGTAATCCTTCATGTAAAGAGTTTCGATTACATCACAGAATCTGACTAAGCTCTCTAGGATAGTGGATTTCCTCATCCTAACAATCTCATCCACCTGGTCTGCAGATGCGCCAAACGCCAGCAAACGTAAAGAAGCTGTAAGTTTTTGCTCTAGAAGAAGACCTAAAACCCTAGTAGCATCATACTTCTGAACGAAGTATGTGTCATAATTGCAAACATGATGCATGATTTTATTGAACAAATGGAACTGCATTATATATCGCCCTCGAAAATCAAAACTAGAGTACAACGAATTTGGAATAAAGTAATCTTTCAAGAGATTCTTACCTCAAGAGTGCCTACGTCTATTTATGTTTGGGCCACGACTGGGTTGTGAACCACGGTGGTGTTTTCTTGATTGATGAAGTATACCCACTGCCATGACAACTTGATCATCATCTTCTTCCCACTCCCTTTCTTCTTCAGCTTGTTTATGCAGTCTTTCTTGATTTTCTCGCTCAGCATTCTCCAACAACCTCCTCGTGTAAGATATTTAGAATAAAATGTGTTTTCTAAAATTTGAGAAATGAAAGGATAGAAATGATATATTCTGAGAGGTCTGAGTTGAGGGTGTGGTTTTATAAAGGGATTTAGAATATAGAGATGACATGTGGCGCAATTGTAGCAACTGAAAATCTTATCTGAAATTTGATATTTGAATTTGATAATAAATATGGACACACGGCAACCAAAAATCTTATTCGAAATATGAGATGAATTTTACAATAAATGTTGACACATGGCAACCGAAAATCTTACCCAAATTAATCGTTTAAGTATAAAATAAAAATAATTTAAAGTAAATAGTAATTGCCATTTACCACGGCAATTGATGGAAACACTTACCTTTTGCAAGGACTAGCACTATTCACATAAATAGTAACAATCCTTGCCTACCCTTACCTTTGCATGACAAATGGGTGAAAATGCTTTTAGATCAGGCTAAATTTTCTTGTCGGCCCAACGCATGTACCAGATATCATGCGTGGGTGTGATAACCAAAAAAATTAAACAATTTCTTTTTCTTCTCCATTGTGATGCTTTTTTTTACCATTCTTCAACCAAAATATAGATAAATTCAGATTATCAATGATGCTAAAGAGAAATCTAGAATGTGCTCCAAAAAGATAATGGAAGATTAATCTATAGTACTTACTGTACATAACATACATGATCCTGATGGTCATATTTGAGGAGGAGAAAAAATCATTCACTTTTGAACAATTTCATCTGATAATTAATAGTAAGCATCTCATAGTGACTCATAAGCATAAAAAGTAAACCCATCATTCTAGGTGGTGGTGACATTTCTCAACGTAGAAAGAAAGAATCCATCCCTAGTCAGAGAATGCTAATCAGGAAACTCATGGACTAAGGTTTTATGTTTTGGTCAACCATGACCTATAGTTTAAACCACCAAAACAAGGACGGGAGAACTCCTGGAGCAGCAAAATGCATAATAAGACTTCAATACGAAGCACATCAACTGATTATACCGCTGCTTCATCCTTTCCTGGCACGTTTTGTGGGCTGGGTACCAGACTCAACATCAACTGGGTGGTCAGGCTCCTCTTGACTTTCGGTTTCTTGTGCCTTCTGCTTCTTCCTATTTGCATCTTGTGAACCTTCTTCCAAGGGAGTGCTCGTACTACTAGCGCTTATTGGTGTTTTCTCATGGTCATGTTTGGAGGTCTCTGGTTTATCCTCTCCAGGGAAGGACACACAAGATTTGATGGTGGAGTAGCGTGGTCATCCACAGTGGATGATGCGGCCTTCACCCTGCTGTCTTCCATCTTTCTCTGTTGCTCAAACATCTTTTCAAGGTACTTTCCTTGTTCTTCAATTTGCAACTGCAACTTTCTTTGGTTCTGCAAGAATTAAATATGACATCCGAACATGGAACAACCAATACACACTCTCTCCCTCCCCCATGTGTGTCCACATCTCTATGTGTGTGTGTGTGTGTGAGAGAGAGAGAGAGAGAGAGAGAGACGCATGGAATCATCAACAGAATATTTAAATTATTATTCAATAAAACTCATTTAAACAAGAAGCAAAACTGAACTCTCAAGATGTAAATTACACTGATTCTTTACACCCTACCCAGTTCCCAACAAGCAAACAGTTGTTACACATTCTAAACAGAAAATAGAGAGGCAATCTTTGTCTTCCAACTGCATACCTCAAGTTGTTCGTGAAGCCGCTTTTGGAGCTCCACCTGCAACCGCAATGCTTCAGTAATCCCCATACTCCTGCAAGAGGTGGACAACAAAAGGTGAAGCCTGATTTCAACTTAATACCTCACAAATAGATTGTAGTACAGATCTCTCGCAGAAAAGCTTAGCATTCCCAGTTGCATAGGTTAATAAATGAAACTTTTGTGCTAACAAAGAGAATACACGAAACTTCTATAACATAGTATAGCAATGGTCAGAAACTAGAGGGGATAAATGAGTAAACGAAAAGAAAAGAGTGAGATGCTTATGCTTCAATATTCTGGTGAATGAAAAATACATACGCTTTCAAGTCTAGAGAATTTGTTTCTTCAACCGGAGTTGAAACTTTCTCACAAGCTCCTGGCAGAAAAGAAAGAAGAACATAATTTACTCATAACTCAAATGCTAGATTGTTTTACAAAGAGATGTCTACAAACACACATAGACATACACATAGGGATCCTCTTTTTCAGACAAGAGAGCATTATAAAGACATAATAAAGGAACACAAATGATGTATATTTTGTACTGTAACACAATAACATAGGAAGTGAGGGGAAACAGAAATGTATAAATGAAAGTCAGCTCAGTATTTCTAAGAGTTTGAATAAAAGTTTAACCATCAAGCAACACAAAAGGCTGTTCATAACTACCAGGAGGACTAATTAAAGAAATCACCTAGAAATCAAAACATTTTTATAAATGACAATTTGGCAAGCCAAAGGTCTCAAAGATGTTTCAAGCAAAACACCTAATAAATAACAGAGGTAATATTTACCTTCTGATGACTCCGGTTTGTATCTGGCTGTTCTATATTTCTGAAATTTAAAATAAAAAAAAGGTCCAGCAAAACAAATAAAACAACCACCAACTTGTCATAGGGAACTAATCGAGGATAGAAATATATTCACATACCTGTAAATGGCTTTTTACATGATAGATTGTCAAGCCTTCAACTTTCATGAGGTTTAAAATACCCTTAGGAGTAGCTCCTGTTTGTTAGTTATTAGCCAATGACAAAAGAAGCTGTCACTTCTCATACCCATGGAAATAAAGAACTATAACATGATGACCAAAAACAAAACATGGTAGCATGTGTTACCCACGTTCACTACCATCAAGCTGGTTCACAGCTTCCACAAAGGCTTCATGAAGTTCTTGTGTCCAACGCATTCTGGGTTTGGTTGGAGGTGCAGTGGATAATGGTTCAGGGCTGGGACGAAATTCTTCAGATTGAACTGGCTGATGCTGTTGAGTCTGGGGCGGCTGCACCAGGATATCAGAATATGGGTTCAACACCTGGCACATCATTTAAAGTTATAAGTAAACATAGACAGACTAGCCCCGAAGTAAAGTTCAATGTGAAAATTCAATTTTTTGAAATCTCTAAAAGATGTATCAAAACAAAATAGTTGCTACATATTAAGGTCACAAAAACTACTGACTAGAAACAAAATATCATACCACATTAGTATTTGCTAAACAATAAAATAGCCATGAAATTATCAAAATGTTTTAGCTCTATTGGAAATACTGACTGTAATCATCCAAATAGAAGTATCAAAACACACCTTTGGTTTGGGATCCACTGCATCAACATCAATGGGAAGCTCCCAGTCTGGGTCCAGAGCATCATCAAAGGAAATTAATGGATCCCAATCAGACCAATCAGTCTTCTCAGCATGATCCTCAGATGTTATGACACCAGTACTACTATCCACCAGGCCATTCTGGTCAGGGACATTTTCAGGGAAATGAAGAAATTCCTGAAGTGAATCTGGGTACCAGGAAATATCTTTATTTTCTTCAGAGTAATTAATCAATGCTGTAGGTTGTACTTCTGAATGGGAAGAATGGGTCAGTGACAATGATTTTTCATCAACTGGTAATTTAAAAATGAATGGAGAATTTTGGGAACGCCTTTCACAAGGGGAAACTGAGGAAAAATGAACATCATTGGGCCTGGAAGATGATGAAAATAAGTGCCCAGGGGAAGAAGCCTGTGGTAACTTAGAATATCTAGTCTTCTCCCTTTGTGATGACACCTGAAAAGAATCTGGCAATCTGGAATGCTTATCATCAAGAGGGGTAGAGAGATTTGGAAATGATGAAGACATAGCTTTGGAAGACCCGAAGTTACTCATCTGTTTTGCACCCGATCTTCAAATAAATAGAGCAGTATGGATGTTCATTATTGTTTGCGACTCAAGTCTGCCAACTAGTGTCTTCCCAGCCACTCCCACAACATTATTCTTCATTGTTGTCAACATAACAGAAACTACATATACACATAAGAAGAGCTTTAACCACATTCAGCCTAATATTCACCTTCACTATCATCCAATGAGCTGATTGCTGGTACCTGTGAGAAGAAAATTACATACAGAATGAGGCTGGTCAAAGTATTTTCACCATATCTCGGCCAACAGTGGTATAAACAAAAGTAAAAGTCGCAGAGATTGAACATTTATTTATATGAGTTTAAAAGCAAACTGAAATTAACTTTTCAGAAGACTTCTGATATTTTCCAACCAACTAAATCTCAACCCCACAAAAAATGATCCATAATTTCAATCCCTTAAACAACTATAATCAATAAACTCCCACATAGCATCATAAACACGTCAATAAGCAAGCACATAACGCAAAAATAACCCGAAGAGCAAAAGCAAACGAATCAACAACGCAAAACCGCATATAATCAAATTATCTGTTCAAAATTAAAGACAGCACAGCACAGAACACGTAAAAAAAGCACACTGATTTCCCATAATTTCAGAGAAAACAAAACTGATATGGAGATATAAACTATACAGAAAAATCATCCATGTAAACAGAATAGTGGGAATTGAGCAATCTTACCCAAGAGTGAGAAAACTGAAACCTGAATCCCAAAGGCTGGACTTTGAATCAAAGTTGAATGCTTTGAGGGTATGCAGCAGAAAAGCGAGCCAAAAAAAGAAAAAAAAAGAGGAAAACTATCTATGAAAGATTCTGGCAGACACGGGATGACATGACGACGGCTGTTCTCTCCTTGACTTAATCTCACATCACAAGAACTCCCTTCTCTCTCACAAGAAAGAGAGAAGAACGTAATTGTCTTCTATTGTCCCTCTCTCTTTCTCTCTCGCTCTTTGTGATGACTAGGAAAATGTTAAGCTGCCGCCATTGAATATCGATCTTAGATTCTGGCCGTTGGTTTGGATTAATTATAATTAATTTGATGATTAATCAACAGTTATGATTTGAGGAGAATACTTTGGTGGTGGTCTGAATGGCAGCCATACACAAAGCTGGTGGGACCCACGCTCGGGTGGCCCCTCTTTGTCCTTTTTACGCTATTTCCCATTCACGCTTCAATGCTTTGGGTTGGGTCTACTTGCAAATTTCCCTTCTTATTTCTTAGGTTTATCTGGATTTGGTCAATTACTTGTGGGAAATGTTTGCAACAGTTTCTTTAACATTCTCTTTTGAATTTTCTCTATTTTTCTCATAACATGTGTCATTCTCCTTACATTAAAACAATGGTATTAATGCATCTTACCAACTAGGTTTTGTTTTCCAAATTTACCCTTAATAAATGAATTGAATTTAATGTTTTCTTTAATTTATCCAATTTTTTTTTAAAACTTGAAAGAAAATATCTGTTCTTTTTTTTTGAAAAAAAAAATCTGAATAATAAAATAAAGACAAATTTGTTGCACAGAACAATTTTGAAAGAAAAACGTGACTTCAAGACCACAACCACGTAAACAGCAAAATTGCACAGGACAAAAGAAAGCCCTAGTACGAGCAAAAGACCTTTAGCACGAACTCCGATTTTTCTTTTTCATGTACAATAACTCTCCTACATATTCATACACATTGTAGGCTTTATTACTTCCTGAAGAAAAAAAATACAGATACTTTCTTTATATAAAAAAAAATGACTTTTTTTCTTGTTCAATTTTTTAATAAGGTAATAAGAAAGTTATGAAGAAAAAAAAAACCAAATCTGGATAAATTGAAAGAAACATGAAAGTCAATGCATATAATAAGGATAAATTTGGAAAACAAAACATAATTTGTATGATATATTAATGACATTGTTTTAAGTGTAAGGATAGTGACACATGTTATAGAGGAAAATATAAAAAAAAAAAAAAAAAAAAAAAAAAAATAGCATTCCCCATTACTTATTGTTTTTTCTTTCCGGCAGTTACTTATTGATATGTGCATCTGGGTTTTTTTTGGGTTCAAATATATGGTGTTGGTTTTGGTGTTGTTGTATGGGATGTGTTTGATCTTTGGGTGCAGTGAAGACAGAGAGAGAAGTCAAGGGAGAGAGAATGGTTGGTGGTGTGATTTGTGAGGAGGACATGAGAGGCTAGGATTTGGGTAAGAAGGGCTTGGAGAGAGAGAGAAAGAGATTTTACTTTATTGTTATAATTATTATTTCAAATTTCAAATTATTTTATTTTATTTTAATATGAAAATGACCAATTTGCCCTCAAATTTAACTGCAAATTGGATGAAATGTTGAGAATTTAGACATCATAGGGAAATTGGAGAAAAAAAAAATTCATATCCTTAATTTTCTATAAATAAATAATAATAAAAAAAAAGGGTAGATCAAAAGCTATGTACAAATTTAGGGTGCAAATCACGAACTAAGTCTTATAAAGTTATAACCCAAAAATAAAATAATAAACAAACAAATGTTTTTCTGGGTCACAACTCATGGGGCCTAGAGGCCCAGAAGAAAAACTAGACCACAACGAGTATGGGTTCAATCTTCATAAAGCAAATCCAAAATCCAAAGCCTTTAATTATCATTGGATAACCCAAATTGACAATTGAAATAAATAACCATTACTTCTTTTTTTCGCAAAATAAAATTTTGACTCATCCGTAATCGACAATACAAAAAGAAAAAATTCGTGTACAAGTGTCAGACTGCGACAAGCACTGCGAGTCACTGGAGTTTGTTGTGCTCAGTTATCAGCTTCTTACCACTTCCCAAATCCTTGTTTGTTTGTTTAATTAATTAATAATTAGAGCAGGGTTGATTGCCTGATTACAAATCACAGAGCATATTAAGTTCTTGTGCACCTAAGGACGTACTCTGTAGGTAGCTGAAGCTGAGTGAGAGTTTGAAAGAGAGAGAGAGAGAGAGATGGCGACTGAGCAACAGGTATCGAACGAAGCCATGGCAACGGTGGCTGAGAAGGCACCAATCACCGTGGAGAGGAAGGTCCGCAATGATCTGGAGACCAAGCTCCCCAAGCCTTGTAATATTAGTTTCAGTTTTGTTTATTTAAATTACTTCACTTGTTTTAATTTTACCTTTTAAGTTGCACAAAAATTAGCAAAGATTAATTTTTCTTCTTCTTCTTCTTCTTAATTTAGACATGCCTAGAGCTATGACTGCTCCTGATACGGAGAACATCAATGGCACATGGGGACATAAGCATTGTAATATGTCTGTGCTTCAGCAGCATGCAGCTTTTTTCGACCAAGACAAGGATGGTATCATCTACCCTTCCGAGACATATAGAGGTAAGCTTAGACAGCTATAAATCAATCCATCAATTTCCAAAATTTCTAAGTATTAGGTTTTTTGTTGTCACAACACAGCAACAGATCTGACTTGAATTAGTATTTGCAGGATTTCGTGCACTCGGGTTTAATGTCGTTGCTTCTTTCATTTTCATGGTTCTTGTCCATGCAGCAATGAGTTATGCAACTCTGCCTGTAAGTTAGGCAATGCTTTTTCTTTTTTGTAACTTTTAAGAGCCAACTATTCACCTAAAGGCTAATTCCTTTTTTCTTCTGCAGACATGGATGCCTTCACCTTACTTTGCAATACACATCGAAAACATACACCGCGCAAAGCATGGAAGTGACTCAGGGGCCTATGACACAGAGGGAAGGTGAGATGATAATATTTGATTTGCTCATACCTAATAAATAATGATGGATGGATGGATGGACGGATCATGGGTAGTTAATTGGTAAAAACCAATTCGGGATTTGCATGGACATTAAATTGTCACATGAAATTGCAATCCTGTTAGTTCTTCTGGCTTCCATGCCAGCATTTTCTATCTTTGGCTAAAAGTTATAGCTAGTGCAAGCTTAGTATATGTTGTCTTCCATGTATGCTGCAGGTATATTCCGGCAAATCTTGAGAACTTGTTCAGCAAGTACGCCTGTACCGTGCCTGATAAGCTCACCTTCAAGGAGCTTTGGCACATGACTCAAGCCAACCGTGACGCCTTTGATTTCTTTGGCTGGTCTCTTTCTATCTTCCTCTCTCGAGCACAAGCACACACCTGCGAAAACATAGTATAGTTAATTCAATTCTGATACTGTTGCAGGATTGCAAGTAAACTGGAATGGGGAGTTCTGTATGTTCTTGCGAAAGATGAAGATGGCTACTTGGCAAAGGAAGCCGTGAGACGCTGTTTCGACGGAAGCTTGTTCGAATACTGTGCCAAGTCGCAGAAGGGTGCTGTTGGTAAACTGGGATGAGGAGGAGAGCGTCATAGTTTATGACCCGTTGGTTTGTGTTTGTATTAGTTCTTGAGCTTGATAGGCGATTTATTTTGGTCTGAGATTTGATAGACTGATAAGTGATAATAGAAAAAGGTCTAAATAATGTGACTTCAAGGAGTTGGATGAACAACTCCTAGACTTTCAGTTGATCCCACTCATTTAAAGCATCAGATTTTTCCCAAGCTTGAAACTGTATGATTACTTGACCATATGGCTAAGTGAGTTCACACTTGTGTGTATGTACTTTGTTTCTGTTTGTTAATCAATAACAGCATTTTCCTCTACGCGAATTAAAACACGCAGACAGTAGATGATTATCTATTTAATCAATCCGCATTATTGGCTAACTTATAAAACCATCATAGACGAGATTACAGCCCTAACCATAATCAACAGTAAACCAGTCTCATGTCTCATGCTCCAGATGATTTTGTGACTGCAACATGCAATGCTACTACAGTAGCTTGCTTGTGCCTCAACAAATTTCTTAAATTAATTTTGTCAGGTTTTCAACTTATGGCACTTTTGTCCTTTTTTCCAAAATTTCATGTAATCAAAAAGCATGCCTACTAGAATCCAGAGGGGTAAACCAACTCAATGCAATAGTTTTTTAGTGTAACTCCCCAGCCACCAAGAACAAATATGGCAACTAAGCTCCAAGTGCAAATGAGCACAAATGGAAACCACTTATCCTAAATGATTTGGCAATGCAATCACGCAGAAATTGTGCAACTGAAATAGACCGATAAGATGAACAGAAAACATGAAAATAAATGGACCTACCGAAATTTTGAAGTGATTAAAAGAAATAGGCTCCCTTACAATCATAAAACAGTCTACATGATAGTCAAACTAATATCCGTAAAATGAGAAAAAAAAAACAATATAAATAAGGGAATTGAAGAACTTAAACAATGGCATTGGCTGCACTTGCAATCCTTGGCCACAGATCAGCGCATTCCTTTCCGATAGGTCCAGTGATCGCAGAACCTACGACAACAAGTGAAATGAAGAACATTGTTAAGATAATGGTCCTACAATGTTGAAACTAATGGCAGATGACTTAACTGCATTTCAGACAGACCAATATTTTCACATCACCTGAACTAAGACAAGCCTTACTTACCACATTCTAGGACTTCCAAGGCTACAGAATCAAATAGTTTAAGCAAGCAAGCAATCATGCATGCACTATATTAAACCTCCAAAACCACAAAATAGTATATTCTTATAGTGAAGTTATTAATAGGTGACACTATTATAGAACAGCTACACACCTTTCATTTCGCCCTTTGGATTTACGATGACACCAGCATTATCTGCATCCCAAGAACAATCACGGTCAGAAACCTTGAGGAGAAGAATGACTTACATCATAAGAGCAGATCTTAAAATACAAAATACTTCAATTTTTGAGATAAGTCAAACTCCAACTGCAATGTATCATGTCTAAAATCTTAATTTTAAACACTCTACAAAGTCCAAAACAAAATGGTCAGCTCCATTGGTATAATCATACAAACACAAACAGAAAAGTATATGATCATTCTGAGCAGCCATCCTAAACAACAGACCAATTGCCCACAACCAGTGCACAAACAATATCAAGAAAAACTATGGTGATGCACAATAACCTGGATATTACAAAATCCACATACCAAACCAGCTTAACTATATAACAGGACACACCAATTACTTCCACATCAATTAAAGCATTCATTTCAATTCAACACATAACCAATCAAACACTTTTGTTTCTTCTAAACAAATTCATATCAACACCCCAAAAAAAAAAAATCTTTATCCAACATAAAAACAATAAATTACCTTCAAAGTACATGAAAACACCGTCCTTTCGGCGCCATGGCTTGCGCTGGCGCACAATAACAGCAGGCAAGACCTTCTTACGGAGATCAGGCTTGCCTTTCTTGACAGTTGCCATCACCATGTCACCAACACAAGCAGAAGGAAGGCGGTTAAGGCGACCCTTGATTCCCTTTACAGAAATTATGTAAAGGTTCTTGGCACCGGTGTTGTCCGCGCAGTTCACTGTGGCAGCCACCGGCAGACCCAGCGACATCCGGAACTTGTTTCCGGCAGACCCTCCACGCCCTGCAATTCAAACAAATCGAAATTAAACAAATTTATGAACTTTTAACATAAAAGAGAAGAAACCCATCAAGCTGTGATCATTTGGAAAGAAAATCTCGGGTTAGAGAGGAATTAAGGGTTGATCCATTTTAGTCATTTTCCACCTGCACCATGTTTGGTTGCTGAGGAAAGTATTAACTCTTTGGACCAGTTGAGGCTAGAGATTGAAATCTGAAAAAAACAAGAAATACTAGAGAGAGAGAGAGAGAGAGAGAGAGAGAGAGAGAGGGACCTCGTTTCGACATGGCCGCGAAACCAAAGAGACTTCAGATCTCAAGACTGAGAAGTGGGCTGCGGTTTTGAGCTCCGGAGTTTAAATATAGATGGAGCATAATAAGGCTAGTCTAGGGTTTTGGCCTGTACACAACTTTTCCTCGCAGTTTTTATTTTAGACATTTTCCTCCTGCACAGTTCGCTATTGTAATTGAACTTTTTATTGGGCATGTATAATTAAACTTTTTATTGGACATGTATAATTAAACAATTAAATTCTAATATTCTCTTATGGTTGATGCTTCAAATTATAATGTTAATGCTTTCTTCAAATACAAGTGATAATTTATTTTAAATTCATTTAAATTATGGGGAGAGATATTCAAACTCGAATGCAGAATGTAGAGCACATTCGTTCTAGCCAACTCGGCTAAATTCATGTCTGCATATTAATGTTCTTTTTATGTGTGTTTTTTTTCGGTGACATAAGTCATCGCCAAACGTGAGACCTAAATTTAGTATATTAACAAGTGGAATGGTATCCAACTTGAGTTGATTGACCACAGAGACCGTACACAACGACTTTCTTACTGAGAAGAAAAAAAAAGAAAAAAAGAAGAAGCAAAGCATGATATTTGGCTCATGTCTTTTCCACCACTACAGACAGAGTCGCTCCCTTTCAGGAGCATGAAACTCAAACCTGAAGTCATTCCTCACTTTTCAATGACAATGGGAATTTGGATGATGACATAAGTCAAATCAAGTTGATTACAATGTTCCCACAAAAACGCACAGAATGAGATAGCATTACAAGGATCCTGTTTATGATCACCAGTGTGCTTCTATGGCTTCTACAAAATATCTCTAATCTTCTCCAACATTCTGCCTAAATTTTCTCGCTTTTAACAAAATTGTCTAGTTTTGGGCCTTGGCTGCTATGCTTCATAACCATCAGCTACCATATCACACAGTCAAGTTAAGCCAGTTTAAGGTACGGCCTTGGTCACTGCTCATCTAACTGCAAAAGCAAGCCATTAGTCAAGTTTTTATCTTTTCCCCGCACATGAAAACAGCCATAACTACCAGCAACAAAGACGAATTAAGTACTAGATAAACTGAAAATTTTCATCACTGGGGAGGAGTTGAGTTTATAGCCTCAGAAATTAGCATGGATGGAATGGTCACAAGGAACCAAAACACCAAGTAAACTATCACTCACCCCTCTTTATAAAAAAAATAAAAAATAAAAAATAAAATACTTTGTCCCAGAGCCTGAAAAACCTCATAAAAATAATTGCTACGAATGCCTTTTTTATCATTTTTGTAAACTTAGTGTTGCTTACCTTTTCGTCCTTTCTGTCTTTTGCCCCGACAAGCTACACTTCTGCAATTACACTGAAATGCCTCAATAGGATGTTCTAGATCATCAAAGTCAATCCCATAATCCTGCAAAAAGATTTTGCTGATCATTTTATGAACACAGAAATTCAAACTTTCCAATAACTCAAAATTGAACAGTTGGCAAAGCACTCATAATGGTACTGGATGAAATTGGATGTAACTTTGCGGCACTGGACTAGAACAAGTGTATTTCATACATATAATAAGTAGTACACATACCATTATACAAAATGAAGACAAATGAAAAACTTTCACTGTGTGACATCCAAAATAAACCCCAGTGGTAGGTCGTCTACTGCTCAACTCTCCCACAACGCAAACTCAAAAATTCTCAAACTTGCTAGTGGAACTTAGTAAGTTCCCAGTTGGGACCAACCTACTGTAATCCCAAAATCAAAGCCATATTCTTTTCTTTTCTTTTTCTCCAATTGCCAAGAAGAGTTTCAAGTAGTAGAGAGAAAAGCAAGTTCACTCACCCACGTCAGCTCTTCAAAATCACTCACTGTCCTGGTTGTAAAAAAGGCAAGCTGCATACAAGGAGCACAAAGAAGATACTCAGAGATGCTTCTCATTCACAATGTATAATCACAATCAAACAGAAAGCCTTCAAACTTTTGAATGTGTATACATAGTGTCTATATGTGTGTGTAAGAATTCACATAAGAAGCAACCAAACCCATACATGATAATAGTGACGGTCAGGAGTCTCCACTTGAACTGGGATATCAATCAAATTTGCATCACAGCATCTGGAATTATAAAGGAAAAAATAATAAAATAAGAAAAAACAGGGAGCAAAATGATTTAAAATTTTGATTGCACGCATAGCAATTGACTAGAGTCATATGATCTTTGTCTAGATCAATGAATATGACAATTGCTCCTAATAGTTAAATTTAATGTAAGAGGTTCCACTTGTTTATTTGACTCGGTAGGAATGAGCTAACTAGCTGACCACTTATTATGCCAAGATTCCTCAGTTCTAAATTATATCACCGAAATGACCTGCATAGGCAAAGATTAAAAATGCAGGTGTGTGTATACCATTTATATATACACGCATATAAAAATGGAAATATGACCTCCTTAACCTAAGACAAAGACAAAAAGGAAAATGCATAAGCATTGAAATATTACCTATGATTGATAAATCTTGCAACATTTCCATGAAATGTTGCATCAAGACAAAGTGCATCCTCATCCCTCAAAACTCGCTCTGAGCCCCAATCTGCATCTAGTGTTACAGGGTACGTATGCCTCTCAGCTCCACTGCTGTGCGTATTTCGCTCATATAACTCTGTATTGGTCAATATCTCCCCAACATATTCACACACAAATGTCCCCTTCTGCAAGACCTCTAATGTTCTGACACCCCAGCCTTTTCCTTCAGGAGTCAAGAACACCTGAAGCATATCAGAACAAGATGTATTTACTGGTTTATTACAACTTATAATGATCTCCGTAAAACAAATTCTAACATCTAAAATGGCATGTTATTAACAACGTAATTAAAAAAATACCATTTCATAAGGATTAACAATGAAAACAAATTTAACAGAGCTACCAGTGTTCGTTGTTAATAGCCAATCAATGGATGCTTCAAGAAGATAGTACAAGATTAAAAGAGCAATAAGTATGGCATTGGGCTCATCTAGAATTTCTAAGTAAAGAAATGAAAACCCTGGTGAAATATTGTGCAGCTTCAGCTAGTAATCAATTAGCCAAATAAGATATCCAAATTGAAAGTTACTAGCAAAAGGTACGAAGTCAAAATAACCTGTAACTTGCAGGAAATACCCCTTTGCACTACCCGGTTTCCACACCACAAGTCACATCCACATTTTCTCCAGCATTCTTTAATAAACTTTCTGATGTGGTGACCTTTGCATTTTTCAGGCATGTACTCATTCTTCAACCTCTCATGGGGGCAGTCTTGACAATAAAAAAAATTTTGCTTATCTGGTTCCCTCATGCAAGCCGTTAGAAAGTCTTCTTTTAGCAGGCCTTGTTTTGTGTACACAAAATCCCCACCGGTTTCTTGAGCGCATGCACATGGAAATTCTGATGAAAGACAATCTCCTGAACAACCAATGCAGCAGTCTTCATCCGAAATACGGGCCAGTGAGATATTCACATTGGCATGTTGGTAAACGATATTATCCGGAATATAATTGAACTTCGGGAGAGACTCATTTCCAATTTCATCTGCCAATGATATTTTCACTTTTTCGGTAGATTTTGATATGTCATCGAGAGATTTAATTGGCTTCTTTCCCTCACGAGTGATAAGACAGCTCGAACCCATACCATTTAAATCTACCTGAGAATGTTCTGTTCTACAAGGTCCCTTACTTGGTCCTGAAACATGGAGGGCATCCCGACCACTTGTACCCACTTCGGAGGACGCTAAGGATGTGACAGAGTTACCCCCAGTTGAACCCCCTGATGAACCTGGAAGAGTTAGACAGTAGCATACTAGGTGGTCAGAAAAAATCCAGTAGCAGCTAAGGCTTCAATAGGATGGACAATTGGGTACACATGGGAAAAAAAAGATGTCATCATATTTATGGAGGTCCTGTTGTCGTTGTTTTGATGCATCTAACTATAACTTTTACCAGACCAAAAAACAACTAGAACTTTTGGAAGCTCATTGCAATCCAAGAGAGAACGAGAATAAAGGAACAGGTTTTGACAATCTTGTAATAGATAATAATATCATGTAGTGGCAAGACAAATATACCTGGACGTCTCATTGGAGCCGGTTGTGCAGAAACTGGAACACAATTTGTGGATTCCTCTGTTTTTGGAATCAGAAAGTCTTTCTTGTGATTATCACGTGAGACTGCAGATGATGTGGGATTCTTTCCTTTGTCACGGGACTGTTTGAGGGGAATTTGAGAACTAGATCCAGCTCTGCCGTCTCTTAAACAAGGTTCAGAAGACTCCATGCTTGCCTGTCGGCTGACCATTCTTGAAGGAATTTCACTTTCTCCATGATCTTCGTCATTAGCCAAATGCAGTTTTTTAGTTGGTCTTTCAGACCCACCGTGCCCCATATCAACTTCTCTCTTATCTTCTTCTCCCTATTCCAGAAAAAGATAAAAAAGGGTAAAGGGCAACCTCAACAATTGCATATTTTATTGCAACTAGTATACAAGCTAAAAGATAGTCACACTAGCTGTGCACTTGGTCCACTGGAGTTAGACATCGTATGTGACGAGACAACTCATATGTCCAGTAAATTTATGATGTAACTTGTAAAGCAACTAGCATGTCCCACCAAAAACAGAGGGAGGTTGGTTTTCAACGTGAATTTTTTAAATCAACTACAATTGAATTGACATTTTTGTTTAATTCATTTTCTAACAATCTAAGCTTTTAAATTCAATGTGATCTAACATCAAAGTTATAATTATAAAAGGTTCTCCAATCCTCCAATCTTTCCATCCCCATTGCCAAATGTCTTAATTTACAAGAAATAGGATGAACTTGAATCTATTCTTTGCTTCTTCACGTGTAATTATAAGTTAAACATTGAGAAGAATTTAAGTAGATATACATTAATAACACATTTCTTGATAGCTTAAGTATTTTAAGTCTCATTGTTCCCAATTTTAACCACTGTCATTAGTATATATATATATTAATCTTCCAGTTCCCAATAAAGGCATAAATTAATAAAGTAATTATAAAAAAAAATGAAATACCTTATTATCCTGAGACTCAAAATACGCATCCACAAGAGTCCTGTAGTTGTCTTCTTCAATAAGCTCCCAATTTTTATCATACACAGCCAGCAAATTCTTCAGAACTGGTTTGACCAATCTATCAGGGATTCCCAAGGCCCTCGTCGCCTTAAAGGCTTTCAAAACTCTTGGGTTGTTAGTCATGGCCGATGCAAAAGTTGATGAACACTTAATCTGATACTAATTCAGCGGCCTCTTGTTCTTTATGTTCCACACAGCACCTGCACCAATTCGCGGGGCATGTTAGATAAAACCCAAAAGCACACAGCCCATGAACTTTTTACTTGAACAATAGTTTGGATGCCTTAGTAATCTCGCTTCCTTTGTCCTGCAATACTTCAATGTTCAACAAATACAAGTACTGTTTATAAAATGACAAATCATCTTGATCAAACCACTAAGGGACTCATAAAATACATATTAAGAAATAGGAAAAACTAATCATTTTTTATACGGTAGGAATTCAACGAGTTTATCATGTCAAAATTAGATTGCTCATCGTTGACACTATTCTGATTTGTGTTTTGTTTGCGTGAGCGGGTCATGTTATATTTGTGTTCGTGTCAAGTAATGTTCAACACAAATTCACTATCTTTGTATCGGTTCGAATCGTGCCAAATATGACAACTCCAAATTCTAGCATTAGTTTCTCGACCAGAAAAACAGAAAATAAAAATAACAAAAGAACAAATATTTCCCACAAATTTCAAACAGTAAACAAATAATACAAGTGGAAACCCCACCCACAATAATATCATGACAGCAACACGAGACTCTGTTAGCCAGTGTAGAAACATAATATTCTAATCAACCACCGTACTATAAACAATCAATATTATTAAAATACGGACATAGGGGACGGAGCATTTTATTATTATTTTTTTCGTTTTTCGCCATGAATGGTTCTGTTTGGCTGCCGAGAAAATGTTGGAAATCCCAAGTTTTTTCCTTTAGGTTTTCCACGCAATAGACAAACCAAACAGCAATTACGAGCAGTATAAACTCACACTAACAAAAAGCTCCTCTTGGGTCGCTGAGAAATGTAGGAGAATAGAAACACCGAAGTTTGCTCTTAGCCACGAACATTCGCACTGACGCACCAAACGACAAGTAGAAGCAAAACCTTCATCTTTTAGGTCTAACAGTAAACAAATTTTCAATTCAAAAATGCAAGCTTTAAGCACCTCTACTTTTCAGCTTCTGACATTGTAACAATATTTTAGAGTTTATCAGAGAGAGGTTCTAAATAAAAAATTAACACTTGAAATTTAATGTAAAAGAGAAATGCTATTTACCTTCTCCTCTTCTCTTCTGTATTTGTGTTCTTTTTACGAGTTAAAAGAGGGCTCCATCTGCCATGGTGGAAAACAGCGCTGAGAAATAGTCTGGGGGGTCCCGTCTCCTCTGCATTTCTCCTGAGTTCTTCTGAAAGAAAATAATAGTGCTAATAACGGCGGCGTGGCGTGGCGTGGTGTGTGGTCCTTTTGAATGATTTGGGACGTTTAGGGCCCACGTTTACATAGAGAGAGCCCCGACCTCGAGCAAGTAGTGCTTGCTAGCCTTTTGCTGCTACTTGCGGAGTTGGAACTCCTTTTCGTTTTTGGGTTTGAATTTGGTGTTTAAATGCTCTTTTTATGCAATGGGTCTAGCCCAATAAAAAAAAGCATTTACTTAAAGATCAGAAGTTTCAAGTTTGAATTCTCACGGCTCATAGTTGTGTGTGTGAGATAAATCATCATCTCTTGTAGTTCAAACTATGGTTTACACTACAAAAAACTCTTTTTATAAAACATAAAAATAATTATCCATAATACTATTAAATTTTAGGAACAATGCTTTAAGCAAAAACAAAAAAACAAAAACCTTCAAATCTTGGTCTTGTATTTTTTTAACATTGTATTAACATGTTCAATGACTTTTAATCATTTTGCATTAGTATTGGATTGTGAAAATTTTGAAATATTTATTAAAATTTCAACGCACTTGAATTCAGTGTAGATAGAGTATTGAAAATTATAAGAAAATCATGTGTCAAAATTAGAGAGAATAAAACAAAGTGACATATCTCGACAAGAAGTAATGTGAATAACCATAAGAGCGTCTACAATCACACTCTCTATTTTTTAGTTAAAATTTAGCTAAAAACACAAAAAAGTTATTTTATGAGCTCTCTGAAAAATTTGAACTCAAATCATACTCTCTAATTTAGAGAGTCATAAATACTAAAGTTATTTTTTAATTCAATATGATTGGTCCATCTCTATAAAAAAAAATACATATATATATAAATAATAGTTATCATTAATTAAAAGTTTAAATTATGAATAAAACAAAGCAGCATTAAATTATAGGGAGCCATTAGGAGTCGTTTCTCTCGCCTTAGATTTATGAGCTCCTAGAGGTCTCCTTATTTTAGGAGGTGGATAGAGAGCAAGGTTGGAGTTGTATTTTTCCAGTTCCTCCTTAAAATTTGTCTAAAAAAGTGGTTTAGGGAGTCCATTATGGATGCTATAAGTGGACAAATTAAGTATATGAGACAAAGGGAAGTAAATCAGGTGTCAAATTAGTGAGAAGAAAACAAAATAGCAAATCTCGACAAGGTTGATGAAGAATAAATATAGGCGGTCAAATCTAACTTTAGGAAGACTTTGGAAGATTAATGAAGTACTTGTCTATATGTGGGCAACTGCAATGAATAAATTATTTGGCCCTAAAATGTAGAGGGGCGGGGATAGCAAATCAGTGTTATATTGGTTCCAAGTAAATTTGTTTCATGAAAGAGGGTAGTGTTATAGTCATTATGAGTTATGAGTTATGAGTTACGAGTCTCCAAAAAAGTTATTACAAATGCTAGATACTTTCTCCTCTTGCACCCCTTATTCAATTTGTTCAATGTGTATTCAACTCACAGATAAATATATGTATTTAATGTGATTCAAAACTTTTATTATACTACAAGAAAATATTAGTAATTTGCATTGAATACTTAGATTTATGTGTGAGTGAAATACTCATGAAACAAAACTGAATGAGAAAGATAAGAAGGAAAAGGCAAAATGTAGCTAGCATTTTTCTAATACCGATAACATATTTATATAAAGTGATTCTAAAAATTAACAATACAATATTATATAATTATTGAAACAATACTACATTTTTATGATGAATTCTTAATAAATGGAAAATGAGCCTTGCTTGAATCGTCATATTTTTTGTTTAAACAAATATAAACCTTAACTAAACACAAGTTACATGTATGTTACATTCACTTAGAATCCCATAAAAGAGAATTGAGACAAAGAAAAAATATACATTCAGCAATTGAAAAGATTAATGCCTCTCATCCTTTTCAATCTCCTAATGGCAATTAAATGATAAGGCGAAAACAAAATTAAAGATAAAATAAGAAAATAATAAACATAAGGGGAGGGAGAGAGAGAGGACGCTCTTAGCCTCTAACCGATTTCACACACCTCTTCTATTCCTCTAATTCTACGCCCCAGGATTCTCCATCAAATTCCAATTCCAAGCGACCCAATAATGTTCATACTCAGTCTTGACAACTCCAATTAACAATCTGTGCATCATCTTTGGGCCGCTAATCACATTTCACCTCAGTTTTGACGGTAAAATAAAATCAAAACCCAACCTATTTACTTAAGTAAATATGTATAACAAAACCTTTGCGGCTTTGCAAAACATGTGATGAACATCAACGTCAATAAAATCAATGTCGTTCACCACAAAAGAAGAAGGAAGAAAGAAATAAGATGTCGTTTTGACTGTCTACCGTAAGTATGAGGAGTCCTCGAAAGTCATGTCAGATGTGCCGAGATGAACCTTGCCACTACTCTTCTTCTTAGGCTTCTTACCTCCGCCACCACAAGAAATTGAAAGCTCGCAACCTAATGCAAAGCACGAAAACAAACTTCTGCCGCTGCTACGGCTCCGGCGACTCTTCGGCGGTCGGTTGGTGAGTTGGTGAGACGACTGGAGCAACTTCGGATGTTGACTAGTATTGTTATTGTTATTGTTATTGTTCTTGCAGTCGTACACTGGGGGCAGCTCTGTCCGCCACCTTTCGATCTTTGTCTTTAACCCCTCCACGCTATCCTGGTCCGTCCATTCATCCAACAACGAGTTCCGTGCATCACCTTGTGCCGCGTGGCGCACCACATTGCCTCCGCCATGGCCAAGTGGATATATCCCCTTGGCTATGGCGGCCGCCACCACGGATGGCGAGGGCCCCACGTCAGAGCAAATGGACCCACCCTTTCCCCCTTTCTGCGCAGAGCTAAGCTCAGAACCGTTCACAATCGAGCTATTGCAAAATGAACCTTGAGGTTTAGTAGTTTTTGAGAAGCCCCCTGTACCGGCATTGCAAATGGAGCTCGAGGCTTTGCTTTTGGAGAGCCCGTCGCAGACGGAGCTCGCGGGCCGGCTTTTCGAGAACCCGTAATCGCTACCAGTTCGATCGCTCTGGGATCGTTGGAAGATTATGAATTTGTCTTGATCCTTGTAGTTGGGGTCGTGGTTCTTTTGATTTGCCCCCTTTCCTTCCATCAAATCCCAATACCCGACGGCAGAGGAGCTGAGCTCGCTGTAGAGCGGCATGCTCCGCATGGTGTTGTCAAGGAGGCCGAGGCCGATGTTGAGAATCCCCTGCGGGCGGCCGGAGGGGCGGCGCAGCTGGATCGCCATGAAACGCATCTTGGACTTGTTCTGAAGATTGTTCACCACCACGGCAGCCGTCCCGATCAGCACGTCGCGGAGCCACGCGGAGGCGTAGATCTCGATCATGATCTTCGACGTGTCGTCCTTGAGGAACTCGTCGTCGACTCGGAAGACGAACTTCTCGTTCCACGTCGGGTTGGTGTGGCCGTTCTGATCGACACGTGTCGTCAGCTTGCGCTTCGGGTTCACCCACGCGACGGCGAACGTCCGCATGGATTTGGACGCCGGGTAAAGATCTTGCGCCGAAATCAGATTGATCTCCAGGAGCTGGAACGACGAGGCTAATGGTGGTCGTGGCATGATTTGTAATTAATTGCTGCAGCAATCACAATAACAATTATATTAAGAAAGTAATTGCTGCGAGCAATTAATTAAAATATTGCGAATGGCAGGCTGTTTGGATATAATAATACTGATGAACTATTTTTATGAAGAGGATTAGGCACCCGGAAGAACGTACGTGGTCAAACGACAACGACTGACCGGCCGACAGTCGTGACCGGCCTCCGGGGACGTACGTATGAGTAGTAGGAGGAGAGGGATGTGCTGCAGTGAGGAATGGTTTGTGTGTGTGTGTGTGGAGACGAGAGGCTTTTAATTGAAGGCGTGTTGTTAGGGAAGTTTGTTAAGCATCAACGGTTTTAGGACCGTAATTTTCTGAACAAAACCTATAATTATAAAACTCAACACTCATACGGGAAACAAGACAACAAATAAACTATCCGAATGATGCTGTTTTTCTCAAATTTAGAGTCTTTAGATCTGTTAACAACTATCCCAATGAATCCGAAGCACAGCGGGGGCAGCTTTCTGTTCACTGACTCTCTTCTGATTAAGAAATTAATTAGAAACTTCTACACCTCATCTCTGATTAATTATATATATATATATATCTGATTATTAGGTTGTTAATTATAAATAATTGTGTGAGAAAAACTGTTGTGCTTTATATAATTAATTTATGGCTCTCTAAACCAAAGCAAACCTCTGTTTATGCTAGTACCTACGTACGCAACCTGTATAATTCCAAAACAGGACACCTAATAACACGAAAACGTTGATTGCCCTGTTTTTCTTTTGGTAGCTGAGTTTTAAAGCAGTTGTTGTAAGTTATTGTAACCCTGTTATTCTGGTGAAGAAAACTCACAAGTTCCCACCAAAGTTAGATACAAGTGGGCAGGAAAAAGAACAACAAACCCCAAAACACAAGCAAAAACCACAGATTGAGAGAAAGCTGCAATCTTATCTCTTTTATCTGGAACCACATTGCATTGTCTTCAAACCCCAAATGGATTTAACCTTGAAACCATTCTTTCTCTGTTTTGCAGCACTACTATTGCTACTACTTTCTCTACTATCTTCTGCAAACCCAGTTAATTCTGACTACAATACCTTGGTATACAACCAATGCGCAAATCAGACATTTACTACTCCTCCAACACAACAAACCCTTTCATCCCTTTTCCAAGAACTAATTGCACACTCCTCCCAATCAAAGTTCTTCAAACACACCCAAGCCACCGGTGACGATGATGAGACGGGCATTTCCGGTCTCTTCCAATGCATACAGGACATCAGCAACGAAGAGTGTCACAGCTGCGTTTCCACTCTACCTGATTTATCAAACACCTTATGTAGAGAGTCTGTATCGGCTCGGGTTCAGCTACATGGTTGCTACATGCATTATGAGCTCGATGGGTTCGACTCAGAGTCTTCAAATCATAAATTAATGCATAAGACCTGTGGGGAATTATCAAATGGGTTGGCTGTTGGGTTCGAGGAGATGAGAGGCGCAGCATTTGCAGCTCTGGAAAGTGGTATTGTGGTGAGTGGTGATGGGTTCTACAAAACGAGCTATGAAGCCGTACAAGTAATGGCACAGTGTGTGGGGGGCTTGGGGGGCTGTGAATGTGGAGGCTGTGTAAGCAGTGCAGTTCAAATTGCTGAAGCAGAGTGCGGTGCTGCTCTTTCAGGTCAAATTTATTTGGAAGAGTGCTTCTTGAGCTATGCTTACCATCCAGATGAAATACCTGACCACCCGCATCCAGGTAATTAAATTTCAGAATTAGTTCTGATCTAGATACTTCCGTTCTTTATCAACGTACCAATAATAAAACGTATCAATATACTACCGACGTAACGTGCGTACAATCGTGCACATAAATTTTTTGAATTCATTATGCCTTTTTCTTTTTGGCAAATGTTTTATTTTTTTAGATGGGTTGTGTTATCAAACTTGTGAATATGAGCTTGATTTTATTCAAATTTTCAAAATTATGTTCATGACTTTTCCTTGAATATCATTCAGTTTGCTAATGTGAGGTATATATACATATTTTTAAATAACAGAAACAAGAAGAGACAGAAATGGAAGCAATGGGAAATCGGTGGCAATTGTTGTGGGAGGAGCAGCAGCTTTGTGTTTGGGGTTCGTTTTTCTGTTGTTCGTCAAGTCTTGGTCAAAGAAAGAAGATGACTAAAATTCATTTGATTATTACAAAACAAAGTTTATTTATTTATATTTTATAGAACGTTTTAAAGTCACGGACTCGGGTGCGCATATTACAGGTCCAGGCCCAGGCCCAGGCCACGGGCTTTATCAATGACTGATATTATTCAGTACAAAAATAAAACAAAAAGAAGTGAAAATCTCTCTTCATCTGGCGTGTAAAAGCAGAGCAAATCTAACGCAAATGTAACATATGTTTACAGAATATAAGAAACAAACTATATAGGGTTATTTAATCATCTAGAATAGTAAAGATTTAACACAACAACAACTGAATTTGGAGCACTTAAAAAATAACATATCATTAAAATTTAACTTAGAGTTTGTATTTATTTACTAAAGAGCGGTTTCATTACGTTACAAGTTTGTTCAACTATACACGATTGATTTAAGTGTAGTCAATACTGTTATTTTGATACCATAATATGCAACCACATATGGATGCCATATATAGATATATAGAGCAATTCCGTTGAGGGATTCTTCAAATAAGTTTATTTGAGATACACCTTTGTAGGACCCACTCAGCCTTGTATTTCACTAATTCAAACCGTATATTTTGTAAATATTCATTTAAATATAATCTCTACAAAAAAATTACTTGAATCCGATATCATTTGATCATTCAATAAAATGTTTGAAATTTAAGTAATTTCTTGAAGCATCATATTCATTGATTTTGTTGGTCTCAACTAGATGTCTTAATGATTTTCAATTTGTTTGATTTTGTAAGGATGATCTATGAATGAAGACTTGAAAAATTGATTGTTTGGATCGTTGGAAATTTTTTTTAGTAAGGTACCATAAAAAGTATTCCTCAAATAAAATAATTTAAAATATAAGCTTCGTAAATATTTGCGGCGAGTGTGGTATTTACCGTTAAAGATATAAACGCTAAATACTTTAGTTTTCTATAAATAGCCCAAAATGCATTGAAACAATGGAGTGATGAACCAATTTATCTCATCCTCGTAGTAAACTTCCAAATCACAAATGTCAAACAATATAACCAAATTAGTGTAACCTATTAAACACATATGGAAATTGTCTTTCCACTAATGTAAATAATAAGAAATTACATTCTATTGCAAATTAACCAATCGATCCTCATTTTCCTATTATGACGTGACGGCCCTATTAATAAATTTGCATGAATCATCCGTTGAAATAACAAAACCAAAAACCCTAGATCATGAAATTACAGAAAATTGGGTGACCAAAACAAAAAAGGAAATACCCAAGTAGGGGTGTATGTAGCCACCCGGCTTCTCGAGCTCGTTGCCTCATTCAATTCTTTTTGTATTTTTGCTTATTGGGAAATCAACCATTTCCTCTCTCAATTCAAACAAGTTCAAACAGCATATATATACTACACGGGGCGAGAAGAGAGACACAGAGAGAGAGGCAGAAGGAAGAGCAAAGACAAAGGCTCTGCATTTTCTCACCTCACGTAGCCACGTGCCTTCCCCCTATTCTGGTAAGTCGCTTCTGTTTCCCTTCTCTTCCTCCCCCTCCTCCTTCTTCTTAGGCTTTGCAGAGTGTTGTACAAACGACACCGTATCGGTCGAGAATACCAAGTATTGCTGCGGTTACGCGGCGTGCTCAGAATAGCGTGAAGCTTTGATTATTTTTCTATTTGTGGAGATAGTAATTTTGTTTTGGTTTGCCCATATAGAAAATCTAGGTATTATTATTATTGTAACTTGAAATGTGGGCTTAATTTATTTAACCAAAATCATTTCGAAAACTTCGAATTCTGCCCTATGTCTGCTCTTACTTGAATAGCGAGTTTGGATTCTTATTAGCCATTTATCACGCAGAGGGACTGAATTTGAGAAAATCGTACGGATGAAGCTTTCACATGAACTTCTAAAGTCATTTTGCTTGGACTGTAGGAGATTCTGTGATCCTCAATTACTAGTTGGAGTATACCATATCAAAGCAAATTTTTTTTTTTTGGGGTTTAGGGTCACAGTAAATTGGAGTTTGTTACTATTGAATGAAATGCTCTGTTCATTGTTTGAGACTTTTTAGGTACTGATTTTAAGGCTTACTTGTCATTTTGATGTGCATTGGTATTGTTGTTGGGCAGGTAATGGAGGAAAGCCACAAGCAAGTGGAGGAAAGCCACGAGCAAGTGGAGGATATTGATAGTGCTTTCTAATGGCAGTGATAGCGATTCTTTTATAGATGACTCAGAAGTTGATGAAGTTTCGACATCCGGACAAGACAACAAATTGCATCCGGAGGCACTCAGTTCTTACTGATTGTTTTTTTTTTTTTTTTTTTTTTTTTTTTTTTGGCTGGGGATATGAAGCATTTTTCCTTTCTGTTTTAAATATATGATGTTCTTATCTTTGTTATGCAGGAACCTTTATCTGATAAAGAAATTGAGGAGCTTATTGCTGAGTTTTTGGAGGTTGAGAGTAAGGTATCAATGTTTTCTTTTCTTTTTTAACAGTATTTCAACTATGCACACAGATATACGTCTATATTTTTTATGTCCATGGTGAGTAATTTATTGGTTTTTTATTTGATGCCCAATTTAGGCTGCGGAAGCTCAAGAAGCACTTGAAAAAGAGTCACTCGTCAAAGTGGAGAGTGAAGTTAGAGAGGAGTTGGCACAAACTCTTCATGGGGATGATGTTAGTTTCTTCCTTCAAAATTCATCCCTGTGGACTAGATTGTCTTTCCAATAACTTATATATTTCCACTTGTCTATAGCTGGAAACAGCTGTTGCAGATGAAATGACTATTTTAATGGAAGAGTGGCAAACTGAGCTTGATGACCTTGAGACTGAGAGTGCTCATTTGTTGGTCTGCTCCTTTCTTCAATTCTGAGTAAATCTTTGGTTCCTAATACATTTGTAGAGCTTGCATGTACTTTGATGCTATAAATTTATACAGAAAATAAAAACCCGCGGAGAAAGAAGGATTTGCCTCTTCTTGTTACTTATACAAGAGTGATATAATTTCAGCTAGCCTTCCCTCAATTTTGATTTCTATGTCGATTCACTTTGAAGAAAGTATCATTTCCTGTTTTCCATTTTTTCTGGATTTCATATTGCTCTCTGCATGTCTTGACTCTTGTCTCATTGTTTTTCTATGATTATAACTTATAGGGTATAGTGGGTAGAGGGTGACAGCATGTACCATTTTAAAAGCTTTGTTTATATTTTGGGTTTTCTAAAGAAAATTTAGAGGTTCTAACTTCGTGGGATGTTAACTAAAATTGTTTATGAAGTTTTTTGCAAATGTCTATTTACTGACAAGAATTTGTATATCCCTTACCAATAATCGCGATAAACCTTTTAATTTGAAATAGATTGATGCTTGCTTAATTTATGAAATATGGAACCTGAAATTACGTCTACCTATTTTAAATTCCACGAAAGGAACAACTTGATGGGGCTGGCATTGAGCTACCAAGCCTTTATAAGTGCATTGAAAGTCAGGCTCCTAATGGTTGCTGCACTGAAGCTTGGAAAAGACGGATACACTGGGTAGGATCTCAAGTGACTGGAGAATTTACTGAGTCAAGGACCGATGCAGAGAAGTATCTCCAAGCCCACAGACCTGTAAGAAGGTACAGTTCTACATTTTTAGCTTTGTTGATTCTGCAAGGTATAGAGTTGATGGTACATAAACTTGCACTTGTGAACTTAGGCGACATGGTAAACTATTGGAAGATGGCGCTAGTGGATTTCTGCAGAAAAAGCTAACCATAGATGGAAACAAGGATGCTGTGACTGCTGAGGTTGATTGGTGTTCTCTCAACAAACTATTTTCTGATGGTGCAACTGGGGATGGTGCTTCATTTGGCAGTAAGCACTGGGCTTCTGTTTACTTGGCCAGTACGCCACAACAAGCTGCTGAGATGGGACTCAAATTCCCTGGTGTGAATGAGGTGCCTAACTTTTTCATTAACATAATTATGGAATTTCTGCTTGCTACCCAAAGCTAATCTGGAAAATAAGTTATAAGAAAAGGAAAAGAGCAAAAAAGAAGGAATCATATTAGGTAAAGGAGGCTCTATTTCATGTAGTTTTATCATTACACTCAACATGACAGCCATTGTTTGTAGGTGCTGTGCTTGTTCTGCTTTCCTTTTCCCCTCTTTTTGAATGATCATTCATGGAGGTTTCCTTTGTAATTTAGATCTGTAGCTTCTTATATGTTGGGGTGATTGTTTGGTTTTGGGCATCCTTATGGGTTTCAGCATCTTTGGAGGTTAAGGGTAGTTACTTTTTCTGCCATTTTTTTTCCAATTAGAAGCTACTCACTGCAACACGTGCTCTATTTTGGCTTAGTGAGTTCTTTCATTGAGTTTTTGAGAATATTTTTGCCAGGTGGAGGAGATTGATGATATTGATGGCAATTCTAGTGATCCATTTGTTGCAGCTGCCATTGCAAATGAAAGAGAACTGGATCTGTCTGAAGAACAAAAGAAAAATTATAGGAAGGTATGTTTGTGCCATCCAATAGTTGATGTTCTTGCTGTTAACATCATCCTTGTTGTTACTTGTTATTCAAAGATCAATTTCTACACACAAACACACATATACACGTACTAAACAATTTGGCTACGTGTATATTTGGTTTCCTACACCAAGAATTAATCATGAATCTTGGTGGATATATTCTCCACTTTGGTGATGTGATAAAATTTTGTTTCTTATAAAAAAAAAAGATATAACATGGGATGGGTGTAAACATGGAAAATCAAGTTAGTTGGGAAATTCTGAGGACTTTTTCACTGCTGTCTGGGGATGTACATGGGTATAGAAACCCCTTAATAAACCCCGGTGTTGGTTTTTCAGTGTCCCCATAATTTTGCAATATTTCCACGAGGATTGTGCGGTCTTACCTTTTTGACCCACATTTTAGTTAACTGGTATTTGATTGAATGTACTCTGTCGTATCATCTCTTTTAATCTTTGATGGCGGTCTCTTTGTCACTTACCAACTTGGTTAGAGTAGGCATATGTGGATACGTTTGATTTACCTTTTTCATCAGTAGGTAGATAATTCCTGCTGCTTTTAGACTTATAACATTGACATTGTTCCCTTCATTAACTGCAAATGTTCTTGATAACAGCTGGTCGAGCTTTAATTAAGTTGATAGTGTTTCTGTACTTATCCATTGCAAGGTCAAAGAAGAGGATGATGCATATGTTGATCGGAAGCTTCAAATTCATTTGAAACAGAAGAGACATCAAAAGAGACGTAAACAGGTTATATTGTGCTTGTGTTTTCCCTCTTTCTCGATTCTGGGATTTTGAGTTGCAGTTTAGATAACTTTTTAAAGTTCTATTCATATTGCTAATGTAGAGTTTGAGACAAGTTATGGTGCTTAGTGCTGCAATCATTTGGTTGGTTATCCTAGCCAGATTCCAGCAGTCATTGTATGTCGTCAGTACAATTGTTATTCTTATCAATTCTATTTAGTGACATCCTATGGTTTTTCATTTCCAGAATCTTGTAATTTTCGTTTGAATTTGTTGTTGAGAATTACTAATAAGAGAGAATTGACGGCCATATTATAGTAAACTTACTTTCATATGAAAAAGGGAACAAAAATATAAGTCCCATTGATGATTTTGGATGTGATTTTAGGGTTATTGTGCTCTTCTTTTTCTTTCCCTTTTATAGCACCAAGTTCGTTAGGGATTTTTCTGTACAAGATGTGGAGTTGTCCTGCATAAGCATATTTAACGTTCATTATTTCTTTTTTCCTGTTACCGAATTAGGATGTTAGAAGGAAAGAAGTTTACCTAGTTGATCAGGACATGGGTATGACCTGCATTTAGGCTTTCATTTAACATTCATTGATATGCATTCTTTCCTGCTATCAAATCAGGATGTTGGCAGGAAGGAAGTTTTCCCAGTTGATCGGGTGATAGAAAGCAACATGGCCCAGTCTCCGTCTATGCTAGACTCTGCTACCTGTATCTCAAATGGGAAAATTGATGAACATGGTGAAATTTTTTCTAACAATGATGATGAGATAGGATGCCAAAATATGAAGTCTGCCGTGCTTGAAGATTTGGAAACCTCTAATAATGTCGACCAAGAAAGCATAACGAGTAATGGTTCTTCTCCGGTGCCTGATTCTAGTGAATCAAGAGGCTCCAAGCGTCTGAATGAGGATGAGGAACTAAACCTTGATAATAAGAGGGGTCGAACTGTTATAATAGATAGCGATGATGATGCTCCACTGAAAGATATTTCAGACTGCAATTTGATAAAATCTGAGGACCAGTCCAATGTGGATGTGAGTATCTGCATATCTGCCACTGGTGGTCTTCCTTCACATAGTCTGAATAAGGTCTACTGCACTGCTTGTAATAAACTTGCTGTCGAAGTGCGCTCGCATCCACTTCTGAAGGTGATTATTTGTACAGATTGCAGATGCTTATTGGACGAAAAGATGCATGTGAAGGTATGGGCATGAGTAACTTTTATGCTTTCTGTAATCTATATTTGAACATTTTGTATAACTTTTTCATGATCATGCTGGTGATGGAATGTATTAAACTGATTAGTGGAAGGAAACTGATATTATAGTTTCTAATGAATCTATATCCTCAATAGAAAGACCTTTAACTTTCTCATCACTTTTGGCTGTCATATGTAATGAAAAAAGAGAAAGGAAAGCTAGCTCTTGTTAAGATTTTATATTGTTAATAATCTTTCTAAACCGTTTAATGCTTATGATTTTATATATTTATTTTAAGTAGATGCTAGATCTTTTAGTGACCTAAGAAGGTGTGCAGGATCCTGATTGCTGTGAGTGCTATTGTGGGTGGTGTGGGCAAAGCGAGGACCTTGTAAGTTGTAAATCTTGCAAGACATTGTTTTGTACGACTTGTATAAAAAGGAATATTGGAGAGGAATGCTTATCCGAGGCCCAGACCTGTGGCTGGCGATGTTGTTTCTGTTGCCCAAGTCTTATACAGACATTGATGTTACAATTAGAGAAAGCAATAGGTTCTGGAGATATGGTAGTTTCTAGCTCTGATAGTGATTCAGATAATTCAGATGCAGAACTAGATGTTGCTATCAGGTATAATGGTATTTATTATGCTGATTTCTAAGTGAATTATTCTGCTCTCTCTCTCTCTCCCCCCATTGCTGAAGCATGCTATAGTTTATGTTTGTTAGCATTTTAAACTCTAAACAAGTGTTGAGATTTGTTCTTGAGCATTAGGTATTTTTGTTGTACTTACTGTGTTTCTGAACATATTTGGACTTTGTTCAGTTCTAAGAGGAAGAGAAAGAAGAGAATTCGGAGGATCATTGATGATACTGAATTAGGAGAAGAGACCAAAAGAAAAATTGCAATTGAAAAGGTACCTTCTTATGCTGATTTTGTATTCTAACACAGGCCTTTTGGTACCGAAAATTATTTCATGAACCTATCTTCTGTAGGAACGTCAGGAACGCTTAAAGTCTTTGCAAGTACAATTTTCTGCCAAATCTAAGATGAAGAGCTCTGCAAGCTGTAATGGGAATTTACCCGAAGGAGCCAGTGCTGAAGTGCTGGGTGATGCATCAGCTGGATATATAGTGAATGTTGTAAGAGAGAAAGGTGAAGAAGCAGTCAGGATCCCTCCAAGCATCTCAGCGAAACTGAAGACACATCAGGTTTTTCCTAATCTGTTAACTATTTTTCTTTTGAGGCTTTTCTTCTGTGAATTCCCTTTAGACATTTTGACAAAGCTGGGACTGATATCAATGCTTTCCATTTCTTTCACATTGTTTCTTTGAAATAATACATTCTGGGGACATTCTTGTTCAACGTCACGGTTTTAGCTTTCCTGCAGCCTGCCAAATCTTCTATATTCTTATGATAAGCTTGTGCTTAATTTAGCCTGGTTAAGAAATTAGTTACACGTGCACATATATATACTTGTTTATTTCAGTTTTTAATTGAATGCACTAGCTCAATTCGGATCCATTGGGATTTCTGTTCAAAATGAAAGCTTTGACTGGGACAGGACATGCCATGCTGATTAATGGCAGTCTGTTATCTGTTAATTTTCATATATTGAGGAAGTAGCTGTATATTATCTGCCTAGTGCCTAGTGCCTGAATGCTGATAGTTATTCCTCTGTTCCAGTCTGAATGTGTGATCAGATTTCCGTATTGGTTCTCACATATAATAAAATAATGGGTTCAAAGTGTTGAATCCTGTGATCAGGACGAGGAAAAAATGGGTAAAGGGTGGGGGGTGTGTGCCATGCCTGGACAGTTGAAAAGAGTTCCATGTCCTACTTTTTCACTTGAATTTATTTATTGCCATGACCTGCTAGACCTATTATTGTTTCACATATTTATCTATATATGACCTCCTTGATTCTGGTTTGCAGTAAAATTCCTCTGGGAACTCTCTTTTATGTGTCATTAACTTTTTATGACTTGCCGTTTATCTTTTATATTGTCCTTGTTACAATCTGATATCTTATCACAGATTACGGGGGTAAGATTTATGTGGGAGAATATCATACAGTCAGTCAGAAAAGTGAAGGCGGGGGATAAAGGTCTTGGATGCATTCTAGCTCACATGATGGGCCTTGGTAAAACTTTTCAGGTATTATGTTCTGTCTGTTGCACGCTCTTCCCAATAACTGTGGGCATTTCTTTAGATTGAAATAGGTGTCAGTGCATGTAGCAATGACCCTGTAGCCTGGTAGAATAGCCTATCTTGCAGAATGCAAGGAGGTGGCTCATATTTTCTTTGCAGGGCATATATTTTTAAGTGGTTGATTGATATACTTTGCATAATTGGTCAAATGGCTTTCACAGGTCATAGCTTTTCTGTACACTGCAATGAGAAGTATTGATTTGGGATTGAAAACTGCACTTATAGTCACTCCTGTGAATGTGCTACATAACTGGCGGCAGGAGTTCATGAAATGGAGACCTTCAGAGCTAAAGCCTCTTCGCGTTTTCATGCTAGAAGATGTGTCAAGGTTTAGTTAACATTTGTATATTGTTTCTTTCCATTTCCATCACAGTAAAACATTTTGCTTCACTGTTGCATTTTACCTTTTCATGAATTAAAGTCTATTAGGTCTGTCTTTGTTACTTGGTATTGTTGGTTGCTGACGATACCTCTTTGTTTGCCAGGGAAAGAAGAGCAGAGGTTCTTGCAAAGTGGAGAGCTAAGGGTGGTGTTTTTTTAATTGGCTACTCTGCTTTTAGGAACCTATCCCTTGGAAAGCATGTGAAGGATCGACACATGGCTCGAGAAATTTGTCATGCCTTGCAGGTAGGTTGATTTTAATTGTTAACCTCTAAAAGTGTCGTTAATATCATGCGGCCAATTCTGTATTGATTATTAACAGTAACTTGTAGTCTGTCCCTTTCAATTGCTTCTGACAGCCTATTCAGTAAAAAGCTCCATCATGGTGCCATATATTTAGTAGCAGACTTTTTACTTACCCTTGTTTAGTTTTCGTGTTTCCAAAACATAGCATGCATCTTTTATCTGATTCTTTTTAGATTTTTCCATTTCATATTGTCCCCTGTATTTATCAATGAAAACAATGTTGTTTGCAAAGCTTGTGACTTATTGTTACATTTCCAACTGTCAGGATGGACCTGATATACTTGTTTGTGATGAGGCCCATGTTATAAAGAATACCAGGGCTGATGTAACCCAAGCCTTGAAACAAGTGAAATGCCAAAGAAGGATAGCATTAACTGGATCACCTCTCCAGAACAATCTCATGGAATATATTGTGTGAGTTCACTTGAAAGCTATACATTGTTTTATTTTTTTACAAATTACCTACTGTCTTGATTCCTTTGAAATTTTAATTGTTCGCAGATGGTTGATTTTGTAAGGGAAGGTTTTCTTGGAAGCAGCCATGAGTTTAGGAATCGGCAAGACTTCTTCACTCAAAACTTGTTTGCTGTGTAATTTCGTTTTGTTTTTTTCCACATATCTTAATCCTGCCTCCCCTTACACGCAGCTTCCAGAATCCCATAGAGAATGGCCAACATACTAATTCAACCGTGGATGATGTGAAAATCATGAATCAAAGGTCTCATATTCTGTATGAACAATTGAAAGGATTTGTTCAGAGAATGGACATGAATGTGGCAAAGAAGGACTTGCCACCAAAAACTGTTTTTGTAATAGCTGTTAAGCTCTCTCCCTTACAGAGGAAATTATACAAGAGATTTCTTGATGTGCATGGATTTGCTAATGACAAGGTTTACAATGAAAAGATAAGGAAGAGAAGTTTTTTTGCTGGCTACCAGGCCTTAGCTCAGGTATATTGAGCACCTTTGTTAGGTTCCCGAAGTTCCATTATACTACAGACAATAACAGGCGCGCACACACACACACTCACGCATGCATGCAAAAGCATTCAGTCCTATGCTAAAGCATCCACTCCTAAGCGCTTGGTTAACCTTTATTGACATTTTATGCAATGATAAACATCCACTCTTAATCTGTCATGCTTCTTGCTTCATGTAAAATGTTGTAATATATGAGCTTTTTGTCTGTAGTAGATATGGAACCACCCGGGGATCTTGCAACTAAGAAAAGATGACAAAGACTATGTGAGACGCGAAGATGCTATTGAGAATTTTCTTGCGGATGACAGCTCTAGTGATGAAAACATTGACGATAGTTTGGTTTTTGGAGGTATTTTATTCTCTCCCCTTTCTTTTCCTATAAGAAGTCTTCCTTTTTCTTTTTTTTTCTGCCATGAATTGATTTTGACATTAGATGACATACTAAAATACCGAATCTTCTTTCAACATCAAGATGCTAGTTGAGCTCAGTAATAAACCCTAAACCCTCATTGAACGCTGATGATTAATGTGTCAGAATAAAAGGTTAAGCATTTGGCAATATCGGTAAACCAACGAAGTTGGTCATAGTACCAGAGTAGGAGATCTGGAGTTCGATTCCCTGCAATTACAACCTCTTAATATAAGTTGATTTTGCACATGACGGGCTTGTAGAAATCCACAAGGTTAGGAGTCTTAAGGGGTCTGTTATCTTCCAAGTTACAGTTGTGCTTGGCTATCAGGGAACATCCATATCTATGTGGCTGTGCACTAAATTTCTGTTCAACCTGTCTAAATTGTCTTATTTGTCAAGTCGTGCTTTGGCTAGTTTGATGAACCGCTGACTGCAAATTAATAAGGACACAAACTGTGAAAAACGCTTTTGCTGCTATAATTTCGCATCATCATTAACATTCTCATACCTTTCCTTGCATAGTATGGCTAAGACATGTTAAGAAATCATGGCGTGACTTTTTTTCTCTCATTTGTTTGGATGCATGTATGTAATCTTTTTGAGAATAATTCCTTCACAGTATCTAATAATGGTAACATATCTTGCTTTACAGAGAAGCAGAGGAAGATCAGTGATATTTTGCCCGGGAAAAAGGATGATGACATTTTTCAACAGGTAGGGATATGGACTAAATGGAATGTTGCACTTTATTAATATTTGATTTCCCTTCTATTTGACTATATTTGAGATGTGTCAATGCCCTTAGTGTTTTAGTAGGAAAAATAAATAGAACTCTGTGTTGGGCTCTGTAGTATACATGACAATCTGAAGTGTCGCTTGTTGTAACCCCCCCTTTCACGAGGAATAGGTGCACCCAAATAAGTGCCTCCTTTAGTCGATATGGTGAGGTGCATCCTTTTATTGCCATAAGGGTGCTGAAATCCAGAAACAGGTCTCAAAAAAGGAGTTACAATTTCTTACTTTTGTTTGTTATTGTTGTTCTCTTAATTTTTGTTTGAGCGTATTGCTAACCATATATCACTTATCAGGATTGGTGGAATGATCTTATTCATGAGAATAATTATAAAGAGCTTGATTACAGTGGCAAAATGGTATTGCTGCTTGACGTTCTCGCCATGTGTTCTGATGTGGGCGATAAGGCGTTGGTGTTTAGCCAGAGCATACCAACACTTGACCTCATAGAACTTTACCTTTCAAGACTACCTCGACATGGGAAGAAATGGAAGTTTTGGAAGAAAGGAAAAGATTGGTACAGGTGGGTACATATTACTGAAAACAATTTACAGTTGTCCGACAGCATGGGTTTTCTTGTCAGCTGCTTGAGTTTGTAACTTTATTCATCAAATGAATTCCCTATTTGTCCAAGAGCTTGGCTTGTGCTCTGTATCTTGTTCTTGCTTTGGTAGTGGGAAATGAAAAACTTTAGAAGAGAAAGATTTTAACTTGGCCCGGTTTTGTTTAGTAAATCATGTAGCCGTGAGGTTCTCACTTATTTATCCAGTCCATTATCACTTTCTTGCCTTTCTTGAATGTTGGGCGTAAGTCCTTACCCATCGTTCTTATTTTGACCTTTTTTTTGCTATAGATGTAAATACGATGGTCTTTAACTAAAATTGACACTTCCTTTTACTTATGTCTTTTTCACTTGTTTCTTTTATTGCTCTTCAGGCTAGATGGAAGAACAGAGAGCTCAGAAAGGCAAAAGTTGGTTGAGCGCTTTAATGATCCCCTAAATAAGAGGGTGAAATGCACTCTGATTTCCACCAGAGCTGGATCTTTGGGGATAAATCTCCATGCTGCTAATCGTGTAATCATAGTTGATGGTTCTTGGAATCCGACATACGATCTTCAGGCTATATACCGTGCTTGGAGGTGAGTTTACATTTATGCTTTTGTAGTCCTCAACTCAGCTTGTTTAGTAAGTGCACCTTGATATAGTGTAATTTTTGGGGTATATCACATTAAAAGCTGGTGAACTTTGTAACTTGGAGGGACAGTTTGAGGTTTTAGGTTTTAAGAGAGATGAGTAGCTGCAATCATGAAACTATGTATTGAATTGAGTGCAACAATTAGAGGCCTTGGGGTTTGGTTTCTTGTGAAGTATAAGAAGTTAAACTGTGGGGCTATTTTATGAATGGCGTTGTGGACTGTAGGCTAAATTTGGAGATGGGGTGCAGGAGATTTATCTCCTCCTTTATTTTTGGGAAATAGATAAGAAAGCTTTAGGCTTGTGCTAGAAAATGCTCTTCAAGATGGTCCCACCCCTCTAATTCTTACGCGTAGTTATATCATGTCAAAGTCCTTGGTGGACAGGGGACAGTAAGCCTGATGATTATTTTTCCTCTACCAAGCATGGAATGTTTCACGAACAATGTGACAAATTCTAAACAATGTATTTGTTCCATTTTCAGGTATGGCCAAACAAAGCCGGTTTTCGCTTACAGACTGATGGCACATGGAACCATGGAAGAAAAAATTTATAAGCGTCAGGTAATGGGAGAACAAACTGGGTGTATGGTTCTATTATGTGAATGAAATTTTAACAAAGGAAATGTGGCAAATAGGTAACGAAGGAGGGCCTGGCTGCAAGGGTTGTTGATAGACAACAGGTACATAGGACAATATCTAAGGAAGAGATGTTGCATCTTTTGAATTTGGTGATGATGAGAACCATGAGCTTGGCCAAGATAAAGGATGCTCGGACCAAAATATGACTGGTGAAGTTGAAATTTTGCCTAAACACAAAGTGCCTCTTTCTCAAGGAAGTTGCTCTTCTGACAAGCTAATGGAAGGTTTACTTGGCAAGCACTATCCAAGGTATGTTTCCATGTTCTTAGTATTTTCATAATCTATTGGTATATGATTTTGTTGCCTGGTTACAGCGGCCACCACTGGCAACTTTACCCGCCTCACTCACTCAATTACGGATGAACTTCCTCGTTTTCAGGTGGATTGCCAATTTCCACGAACATGAGACTCTTTTGCAAGAGAATGAAGAGGAAAAGCTCTCAAAGGAGGAGCAAGACATGGCTTGGGAAGTATATCGGAGAGCATTGGAATGGGAGGAAGTGCAGAGAGTTCCTCTCAATGAATCTGCAGTCGACCGAAAGCCAGCTGCACTAAATGTGGCCTCATCTGCACCAGAGATGAGCAGCCTTGCTGAATCGAAAGCGAAGGATATTTCTGTGCAGCGGAAATGCACTAATCTTTCACATTTGCTAACCCTTAGAAGTCAGGGGACAAAAATTGGTTGCACTACTGTGTGTGGGGAATGTGGTCGTGAGATATGCTGGAAGGATCTGCATCGAGATGGCAGGCTTGCAAGGTGAACGAGAGTGCCTTCCAAGTTGTTGTAGATTGTGTGATGTAAATGGTTCGATTGTATATTGCAGTTTCTGTAGGTTCAATGCCCCCTTGAACACAATTGGAACATTCTTTTTGTCGTACTTGTTTTGTTTTGATGAGGAAATGTCTTACTCCTTGATACCACAGAAATAGGCTTGTATAAATCAAAGTTGCGGGAATGAACTGAGCAATGAAAATCCGAAACCTTTTCCTTGGGATGAATTTGTTGAAATGTTTTTTATATTTTATTTCATCTTTATTTTTAAAAAACACCCAATATGGTCCTGTTTTTCATAATTAAATTTTGGAAAATAAATTGTTTCTTAATGAGTTGAAGAGGAAGAAGATAATCAGAACAACAATCAGTAGGACGTACCATATTCACTATCAGAATGAATTGAATTACAAAGGGGCCGATTGGCAATTAATTTCACAAACATATTGCAAGTTTTATAAGTTTACACAATCGATCTCCTGTTTTTACTTGTTCACGTGATCAACAACTGATTCTGGTACAAATTAAGGTGAAAAACGAATAATGCGCTCTTCAGAGCCTATTCCTCGTTCATTCACATAGGAGGAGTTCCTTTATAAGAAAAGAAAAAAGAGAGTGGAAAATCCCGATATCAAACAAGTGATGGTCCTAATGGGTTTAGGAATAGCGAATATGCATCCTTGATCATCAGGGAAAGGGTCTTGCATGGAAATCGGGGATTGTTTGTTAGCAAATATTGTTTTTTTATTTATAGATAATCTAGGTGAAGAATTAGAAAGCTCGTTTGTTTTGCTTATAACGGTAATATTTTCTTACAGATAATCTTTACACAGCTGTTTGAAATCCAGGTGAATTAAGAGTTGGAAAACTGGTTCAAATTGTCCTCTAGGTTTAGGAATTGTTAATGCTTCTTTATTAAGTATCAAGTAAAGGGTTTTACTTGTAAATAAACAGTAATATGTGTTCTCCATAACTCCAAGATCCCCTCAAATACAAGTAACAATATTGTTTGTTTCAGAAACTAATTGAGTCACCAAAACTCACAATCAATATACTTAAGCACTAATGAGGGCTAAACGACATTATATTGTTTGAGCCTAATTTCTGAACACCAGCCCAGTCAACTCTTGGGCTATTTCTATTGCTATAAAAAAACTATGTGCTCTATTGGTTTATTTTACCCTTCAAATTGATAAAAAGCAAAGATCACACGATCTCAACAGCCTTCAGATTTAAAAGCAATTAGCTATCAAGCTTACAGGAGCAGTCCAACTCTCAAGAAAACAAGCAGAACTCAAATTTCTGACTTTAAGTCTAGAGAAGCGGCTCACAAAGAAGAAAACGAGATTTCTCTAGTTGCAAATGCGATTCAGCTCAGCAGAATCAAGAAGAACTCAGATTTTTAACGTTACAAATTCAGTTCATAACAGATGAACTAGACAGAAGTCAGGTTATTCATCATATGGAAACCTCAACAAATGCTCACAGACACCTTGATGTCTTAAGCTCATCAGAATAGCTTATAGGTCTTCCTCAATCAAGTAGAACATGTATTGAAGTGCAATTCCAGACCATCAACTGCCAATCCAGCCACTTTCATCCAGTCCAGATTGGGGAATTTTCAGTTCAAACAGAACAAAGACACCATACTGGTGTAATCTCATGCAGATAGTCTCCATAATAGGCAGAATAGACTCAAATTTTCAGTTCTGCCCATTTTTCAAGCCTCTCCATAGCTCAAACTGATTATAGCTATGCCAATTTCAACATTGGTATCGATTTCTTGCTAATCTTTGTTAGTTGAAGGTGCTAACATGCAATTCCAGTACAGATAGATCCAGTCCAGCCTGAGTAACAGATGGGAATCCATGTAGAAATTTTAATCCAATGTTCTGATGTCTTCCCAAACTTGACAGTTTCTTTAATTTGTTGTATAATAAATAGTTCTCCTTGAACTCGTTTGTTTTATTTTTCAAACACGTAGTTTTGGCTAAACTTACCAGTTTTATTGTGGGGAATGATAAAGTCCTCACCTGTCTGAGGCGGGAAAGAACTTACTTAGGAGATAGTCCTCACCCAAATTCACAATCACTTGGTCAAAACCTGGAGCGCAAGTTATTACATTTTACAATATGTTAGGGATTTCTAACCGCTAACAGTGGCACGCTTAAACATAAAAGAAAGTTGACTTGTTGACCACAAATGGTTTTCAAGTCAATGAGGAACTTTTACCCTACCATCGCAGATACTACATCAAAACGGGTAAACATTTATATTTTGCACTACTCCAAGGAAAAGAAGATGATGACGATCATGAGGATACTGGAACTTAGGTGACCATAAAAAAAAATATTTATTTCGAAAAAAATCTTTTGGTTTCTTTTTACTTGGCATGCAAAAATTATAACTTAATCCCTCTCTCGAATAAATTATTATAACTTAATATTCTATCTCTCGCATAAATTATAAGTTAAAAGGTAACACTTTGATCCCATACACTCTAAACCTATACAGAGAGCTTCCATTGAGGGAAACCCTTATAGGGCATACTCTGCATTTTATTTCACTAATCCAAACAATCTATTTTGTAGATATTTATTTAAAGATTATCTAGATAAAAAATCACTTGAATCCGATATCATTTATCTACTCAATTAAATTATTGAAATTTTAGTACTTTCTTGAAGCACCATGTTCATTGATTTTGTAGGACACAATTAGATGTCTAAACAGTTTCCAATTTGTCTAATTTTTTGCAAGGATGATCTATGAATGAAGACCTAAAAATTAGATGGTTTGGATCATAGAAAAAAGTTTCGTAGAATACCCTAAAGAGTGTCCCTTAAATAAAATTATTTTGCCTATATATACTTAACAATTGATGAGGTTAAACGGCATTATTTATTTTGCAGTACTCCAAGGAAAAGATAAAGAAGATGATGCCGACCATGAGGATACGTACTGGAACTTAGGCGATCATAGAAAATAAAATGCTTATTTCGGAAAGACAATCTTTTAGTTTATTTCTTATTACTTAGAATGTAAATAAAATTCATATCTAGCTAGATCTATCTCTTGCATGCATAAATTATTATAACCTAATATTCTATCTCTCGTCTCTCGCATTGATTATAAGTTAAAGGTAACAATTTGATCCCAAAACACGAGCTGTCGGTTCAGCGCTGAGGCCGCGGCCGTAGCCGTCCCTTGTAATCCGTTGGATGTGATGAGCCTTGAATAGATGGTGAGGAGTCGGACGCTACATAGTCAGGATCATCTTTAGTTTCTTCATCAGAAGCTGATGTTGGTGGTGTAGCTGGTGCAGCCCTCTTAGAAACGGCACTACGTCTCATCACGGAAAAGGGGCTTGTACTTCCCCACCCTGCCACCGTCGCCGCAGATGTCCGTGGGAGGGCTGACGTGGATGGCGGCAGAGGTGGTGCATCTTTGATTTCATTGATCGGGGGCTTCCTCCTACTAGCTTTCGTTCTCGCCTTTTTGAGGATGGCTGCAGGTGTTGGCTGTGCTGCAGAAGCCGAAGCTGTGGCGGTGGCCGCCTTCAATGGTACTTCTAACTCTAACAGCTGGATGCGTGGGTCGGATTCAATCCCTTCAATTCTCTCAAGAGTCGTTCCCGCCTTTTTGAGGATGGCTGCAGGTGCTGGCTGTGCTGGCGAAGCCGAAGCTGTGGCGGTGGCCGCCTTCAATGGTACTTCTAACTCTAACAGCTGGATGCGTGGGTTGGATTCAATCCCTTCAATGCTCTCGAGTGTACGCAAATTATCATTAAGATATTCGCCGTTGGAGAATAGGGCTTGCTTCCTTTCACTTATTAGTAGCGAAAATTCAATATGCCGCTTTATAAATCCCACATTCACAGACTTGTTTGCTCTAATAACTAGTTCGTCATTATGCCGCACCACAATCAACTTGCGAGATGTCCTAAATAAAATGATCAATAAAACCTCAAAATAAGGATTTGATTTTTTTTAATAAGCAATTAAGAAGAACTGTTTGAGAATGGGTAATTAAGTCGCATAATATACGGGTCTTGCTTTGGATTTTCACAAGCTTGCAATTCAGGGAGTAACATATTATTGTAATAACAAAAGAAAAAGTAGGATACATACCGCAAGCTCTCCCCCCCCTCGCTTTGTATGCCTTCCTTGGCTTCTGCTCTCGGACGTTGATTCTCCTCCTTGCGAACTGCGTTACCGACGTCATTGGCTGCTAGTTCATCCTCCTCCTCGTCAACTACGTTACCGCCATTGGCTGCTACTCCCTCCTGGGGTTGATTCTCCTGGCCAAACTTGTAACAATTTCCTGAATTATCCACGCAGTACGGAGAAATATTGGATAAGGCTGCTGCGTCAAAATCCACTGACTCTCCCCCTTCTTCATCCATTTGATAATTATCAAGTTCACTAGCCCAATCATCCGTCCACTCGCTTAGTACTAACCCGACTTCATTGGCTGCTAGTTGATCCTCCTCCACGCCAACTGCGTTACCGTCATTGTCTGCTACTCCCTGAAGTTGATGTTCCTCCAATTCAACGTGGTCTGGCCACGGAATTCCTGGAAGGTCTTCCGTCGCTCTATGACTTCCACCACTCCAGCCACATCAGGTAAATGACTAGCCCAATTTCCAATCGTAGCATCATCAAATTCGGGGAGGGGTAAAGGTGATTGTGGTGCTCCTCCTTGTTCATCCATTACCGTAAGCAAAATCACAAACTGCGAAGCAAGAACGGAAACAGAAGCAGCAAGAACCGAAGCAAGGAGATCGACAAGCTTGCACTATCTTAAACAAGGAAAAAGATGATCGAGAAGCCTTATTGTGTGCATGCACTATCTTAAACCTGGAACACAATGAAATAGAGAGGGCTGTATATATAATAGATCTGTGATCAACCACCATTCCTTATTTGTTTTGGGATAATAGCTCCTGACTTAGCCTTTTTGATATCCCAGTTTGTGTTGGGATAGTAGGTCCTGACTTGGCCCTTTTTTATCCCATTTTGTTTTGGGATAGTAGGTCCTGACTTGCCCTTTTTGATATCCCATTTTGTTTTGGGATAGTAGGTCTTGCCTTGCCCTTTTCGATATCCAGGGGATAGTATAGCTCCTCCTCACTTGCCCTTTTGAATATCCAGTTTGGTTTGGGACAATAGCTAGCTCCTCCTGACTTTGGAGTAAATATCAAACTATCCCAAATAAGTCTCTTCAATGGTTGTGCACGTACCAAAATAAGATTTGCCAACAGCGCTGCGGTTCATATAAGCCCGCATTTGCGCTAATAGTTTGTTTTGGGCTGTTTTTGAGAGAGAGAGAGAGAGAGAGAGAGAGAGAGAGCTTTTCTATTTGAAATTTTGAACCCAGCATTGGTCTTTTCAGTGTTCCAAAATTGCCCATATATGATATACCCACACCAAATCCAACCCTTTCAAATTGAAACCCAGGAAAACCTAACCCAGTCACCGCTCTCCTGCCGCACTGCCATTGCAAAATGGGATGATATGTTTTCCTTTGCTTAATCTTAATCCACATGAGAGCAAAATTCTTTTTCTTTTTTCTTTCTGATCTTGGGCAATATATCTGGATTGGATATTATTTGAACGCAAAAACCTAGCCACATTTATAGCCTTGACCTCGGGCAATATATCTGGATATTTGGGGAGCTGCACTGCATGAAAGCCTTTTGCATTGGAGTCAAATAAATTTGGGAATTATACTCTCAATCTCAACGCGAAAGCCATGTAGAGGCAGTATTATCAAAGCAAATCCAACGTGGAATTACCGTAATGTTATATTTAAATAAAAAAACATATTTCTCCCAACATCTCGCTGCACTATGCTGCATTAATTAAAAATAAAACAAAAGCTGTATAGGTGATAAATAAAGAAAAGCCGTCGTTAATACAAACAAGGGACGACCCCACAAATAAAAAACTGACTTGTCCTCCTTTCATTTATGTTAGAGTCTTTTTTCCTTAAATATTTCATTTATTGTTCTTCGGGCTAGATGGAATAAGAAAGAAAGGCAAAAGCTGGTTGAGCGCTTTAATGATCGGATGCCCTAAAGTTAAAGAGGGCCAACTGCACTGCACTCTGATTTGATAGCTAGATAATAATACTCTACTGTAGGTAGATGATATTGCTTAGTGAAGGATTAAACACGTCATTACATTGGAATACAACAAATTAAGCATCTCAAAAAGTAGATGATAAATTTCTCAGATGCAAAATCCATTCATCAATTCCTAGTTATTTAGTTATAGAATTGATCATCTTGTAGTGTAGTGTAAAATCATGGATTAAACGACCACAACTGGAGCAGCAGAACCCAACATTCATTTTCGAGATTGGTCATCATAACCTCAACACCTCAACACCTTTAATCGCTTGAATGTAATTTGCAAGCCTCCTTACACGAGGTGTCGGAGGCATATTATGAACAATGCAGTCTTCCACAATCTTCCTGACTAGCTTCATTCCTTGAATTGGACCCATAACGGCAACCATGTCATCCTATTCATTTACAAGCAAAATAAAAATCATTAAAAGTCATAACTCTCTTCTCACTCCACCTGGACATGTGGGGAGACCAGATAAAATAAATTTCCAAACACAACCATCAAAAGTAGGAAAAATAACACACTAACCACTGGGCAAAGATAAATGTTACAGCATGTCAGTTTTTCAAGTTCCTGCATCCCAATTACATTGTAAAAACAAAAGAACAAATACAGAAACGACAAACAAAAATTGTAAATGTGATCTAGGACACTTTTATGCACCTGTACCGGGAGACTCATGAGCAGTTTTTTCCTAGAAACATACTTATCCTGCACACACACACATTACAAGATATTTAAAAAAAAACATATAACTAAGCTTTTGCATATGTCCAGCATAACGAAGAGTTGTTGGTCATAATTTTTATAGGATAGAGAGCAGAACACCAGAAAGTCCATATTCCTCATTATTGTCACATTAGGTCAAACAACAACTCTAAATGCCATGTTATAGTACTCCTGAAATTTAAAGATGCTGCTTCATAACTACATAAGAATGCTTATAAGAACATAAACAATTGTACGAAATAAAAAATGGAAGGAAACTTAAGAAATACCTACCCGCTTGATATCAAATTTTTTGCAAAGCCCATCGTAAACATACCCAGTGTAGACGAGGTAGCATGGCATTCCATTCAGTACTTTTACTGCCTGGATCAAAATGATGCACACTGAAATCAGAAGTTTAATAAATAGAAGAATTCTTTTTTGTTTTTTTTGTTTTTTCCTTTAAACACTTCAATGAGAATAGAAAACCTTGGAGGATTCAAGCAATAAGGAAAGCCAACGTAAGTTTTTATAATTTAAGTTAGATAAATTGAACATAAGCTTTTCATTGAGATGTAAATATTCTAATATAAAATTAACAACATATATAAGCAATTAGCATTCAGCGTCCAAATATGATTGGCATGCCGTTGCCTTGAGGGAGAGTTAGCAAATCAATGAACTTGAAGAATAGATAGGTTACAGATAAGAATAAATAACATAAGATTTGACATTTGTACCCGAAGTGGAGGAACTCCTGCTGACAAAAGTCGAATAAGATATCTAGAGTCGAGAATAGCATATGAGTCCTTAGCCTTGGTTGTCGTGAATGTGATGAAATACTCATCCTAACCATGGTTATAAAAAAAACTTAATATGTGCATAACTAAAAATACTCAATATGAGCACAAATTTAAAAGCAAACATTTATTATAACATACCAAATCCAATGCACATGAAATGCCATACTCTTCTAAAGCAGATTTTAGCACCGGCCAAGCTTCTTGCAAATCTTTTGCTGTGAAAAAACAACGCCAAGACTCATAGGTAAGAAAGCTTTGTTCTTTTACAAAATTATCATAGTAATAGTCATATTTAAGAAAACTCATGAATGGAATAACTTAGATGGAAAATTAAACAGAAAATAGGTCACAAAGATGAAAGAGTTAATTTCATACACAACAGCCTTGACAATTTGAAATAGTCTAATCCCTTTTATTTCAATTTCAGAGTCGGTTGTTTTACTTCATCTGAGTGTTCCAAACACAGCAAGGAAGAATTACAACACCCATGTTTACCATAATTTTTATTTTCATCAGAGATCTATGATCAGAATGAAACAGGTGCATGAGAGAGACAATATATTAAAGTGATCAATGATTTCTTCTAATTATTTGGCTCTTCTAGAGTCTTCTATCTTGCTCACAGCCAACTCCCCCACCCCAAGTAGCGGGCTGCTGCTGCTTCTTCTTCCGTGAGTTACTGCTGCCTCAGATAAATCTTATTGCCCAGGCACCTAGTCTGGAATTTTTTAATATAAAAGGAAAAAGAAAAATAGTCTTGGTTTTTGTCTGATTTAGGGTTGTAAATTGGCATAATTTAATCAGGGTTTCAGATTTACTTTAATTTAGCCATTAAAACTAGGCTACGAATTTCATCCATCAATCTCATAATCATTACTAGAACAAAATAAGAAAACGAAATGTTATTTGCAGTAAATTGATGAGAAGGGCAACAAAAAGGAAGAATAAGAAGAAGAGAGAAAGATACCCCTGCATATATTAATGGGCATACAGAGAACGCTCAAATCATATGGGCAGTAAGACTTGGCCATCATGTTGTAGGCGATTATCTCCTCCATGTTGACCTTGTTTGTCATCGTAGCTAATTGTTTGGATACTTGTCCAATCCCCAGCCTACGCATAGATAAAGAGAATGTTTGGGTAGTTGTTGAAAGCCTATGACAGGCAGAGAGAAAGAGAAAGAGAATGTTACCCTAGGCTGAGACACGGAAAAAGAGAATGAGTTTCTGTCAACGCCGTGAAAAGTAAGAACGTGTTTTTTGGTGGGGTATTTATACGAGGGTGACGTATAATGGATTTTGATGGGCTTTTGATGATTTTGGTCATTGCCTAGACTTATAATAGCCTAAAGTAAATCACCATCTATTTCTTCTTTTTCCTTATTGTTTTGGGATAATAACTCCTGACTTAATTACCCTTTTTGATATATCGATCCCAGTTTGTTTTGGGATAAATATGAAGGCTGATGATTAATGTGTCAGAATAAAAGGTTAAGCATTTGGAAATATCGGTAAACCAACAAAGTTGGTCATAGTACCAGAGTAGGAGACCTTGAGTTCAATTCCCTGCAATTACAACCTCTCAATATAAGTTGATTTTGCACAAGACGGGCTTGTAGAAATCCACAAGGTTAGGAGTCTTAAGGGGTCTGTTATCTTCAAAGTTATAGTTGTGCTTGGCTATCAGGGAACATCCATATCTATGTGGCTGTGCACTAAATTTCTCTTCAAGTCGTGCTAGTTTGATGAACCGCTGGCTGCAAATTAATAAGGACACAAACTGTGAAAAATGCTACTGCTGCTATAATTTCGCATAGGCATTAACATTCTCATACCTTTCCTTGCATAGTATGGCTGAGACGCGTTAAGAAATCATGGCGTGACTTTTTTTTTATTTGTTTGGTTGCATGTATGTAATCTTTTTTCGAATAATTCCTTCACAGTATCTAATAATGGTAACATATCTTGCTTTACAGAGAAGCAGAGGAAGATCAATGATATTTTGCCAGGAAAAAAGGATGATGACATTTTTCAAAAGGTAGGGATATGGACTAAATGCAATTTTGCACTTCATCAATATTTGATTTCCCTTCTATTTGACTATATTTGAGATGTGTCAATGCCCTAGTGTTTTAGTTGGAAAAATAAATATAACTCTGCGTTAGGCTCTGTAGTATACATGACCATCTGAAGTGTCGCTTGTTGTAACCACCTTTCACGAGGAATAGGTGCACCCAAATAAGTGCCTCCTTGATATGGTGAGGTGCATCCTTGTATTGCCATAAGGGTGCTGAAATCCAGAAACAGATCTCTCAAAGGAGTTACAATTTCTTACTTTTGTTTGTTATTGTTGTTTTCTTATTATTATTATTATTATTTTTTTGAGCGTATTGCAAACCATATATCACATATCAGGATTGATGGAATGATCTTATTCATGAGAATAATTATAAAGAGCTTGATTACAGTGACAAAATGGTATTGCTGCTTGACGTTCTCGCCATGTGTTCTGATGTGGGCGATAAGGCGTTGGTGTTTAGCTAGAGCACACCAACACTTGACCTCATAGAACTTTAACTTTCAAGACTACCTCGACATGGGAAGAAATGGAAGTTTTGGAAGAAAGGAAAAGATTGGTACGGGTGGGTACTTATTACTGAAAACAATTTACAGTTGTCCGACAGCTTAGTTTTCTTGTCAGCTTCTTGAGTTTGTAATTTTATTCATCAAATGAATTCCCTATTTGTCCAAGAGCTTGGCTTGTGCTCTGTATCTTGTTCTTGCTTTGGTAGTGGGAAATGAAAAACTTCAAAAGAGAGATTTTAACTTGGCCCGCTTTTGTTTAGTAAATCATGTAGTCGTGAGGTTCTCACTTATTTATCCAGTCCATTATCACTTTCTTGCCTTCCTTGAAAGTTGGGCCTAACTCCTTACCTATCGTCCTTATTTTGACCTTTTTTTGGATATAGATGTAAATACGACGGTCTTTAAATAAAAGTGACACTTCCTTTTACTTAAGTTATGTCTTTTTCACTTGTTTCTTTTATTGCTCTTCAGGCTAGATGGAAGAACAGAGAGCTCAGAAAGGCAAAAGTTGGTTGAGTGCTTTAATGATCCCCTAAATAAGAGGGTGAAATGCACTCTGATTTCCACCAGAGCTGGATCTTTGGGGATAAATCTCCATGCTGCTAATCGTGTAATCATAGTTGACGGTTCCTGGAATCCCACATACGATCTTCAGGATTAAACACGTCATTACATTGGAGTACAACAAATTAAGCATCTCAAAAAGTAGATGATAAATTTCTCAGAAGTAGAATCCATTCATCAATTCCTAGTTATTTAGTTATAGAATTGATCATCTTGTAGTGTAGTGTAAACTCATGGATTAAACGACCACAACTGGAGCAGTAAAACCCAACATTCATTTTCGAGATTGTTCATCATAACCTCAACGCCTCAACACCTTTAATCGCTTGAATGTAATTTGCAAGCCTCCTTACACGAGGTGCCGGAGGCATATTATGAACAATGCAGTCTTCCACAATCTTCCTGACTAGCTTCATTCCTCGAATTGGACCCATAACGGCAACCAAGTGATCCTATTCATTTACACGCAAAATAAAAATCATTAAAAGTCATAACTCTCTTCTCACTCTACCTCAGCATGTGGGAAGACTAGATAAAATAAATTTCCAAACACAACCATCAAAAGTATGAAGAAGAAAAAAACACACTAACCTTTGGGCAGAGATAAATGTTACAGCATGTCATTTTTTCAAGTTCCTGCATCCCAATTACATTGTAAAAAGAAAAGAACAAATACAGAAACAACAAGCAAAGAAATGTAAACGGGATCTAGAATGCTTTTATGCACCTGTACCGGGAGACTCATGAGCAGTTTCTTCCTAGATTCATACTTATCCTGCACACACACATTACAAGATATTAAAGAACAACATAAAACTGAGCTTTTGCATATGTCCAGCATAACGAAGAGCTGTTGAGTCATAATTTTTATAGGATAGAGAGCAGAACACCAGAAAGTCCATATTCCTCATATTATTGTCACATTAGTTCTTTTATCACTACACCCTAACCAATTGTAAACCTTTCTAAGGTCAAACAACAACTCTAAATGCCATGTTATAGCTACATAACCAATTGTACTATATCTGCAATTTACAGATGCTGATTCATAACTACATAAGAATGCTTATAAGAACATAAAAGATTGTACGAAATAAAAAATGGAAGGAAACTTAAGAAATACCTACCGGCTTGATACCAAATTTTTTGCAAAGCCCATTGAAAATATACCCAGTGTAGACGAGGTAGCATGGCATTCCATTCATTACTTTTACTGCCTGGATCAAAATGTTGCACACTCAAATCAGAAGCTTAATAAATAGAAGATTTTTTTTTTTTCCTTAAACAATGCAATGAGAACAGAAATCCTTGGAGGATTCAAGCAATAACGAAAGCCAACATGAGTTTTTACAATTAAAGTTAGATAAATTGAACATAAGCTTTTCATTGAGATGTAAATATTCTAACATAAAATAACATATATAAGCAATTAACATTCAGCGTCCAAATATGATTGGCATGCCTTAGCAAATCAATTGAACTTGAAGAATAGATTTGAAATTTGTACCCGAAGTGGAGGAACTCCTGCTGACAAAAGTCGAATAAGATATCTAGAGTCGAGAATAGCATATGAGTCCTTAGCCTTGGTTGTCGTGAATGTGATGAAATATTGATCCTAACCATGGTTTTATAAAAAAACCCCAAAAAAAAAAAAAAAAAAAAAAAAAAAAAAAAAAAAAAAAAAAAAAAAAAAAAAAAAAAAAAAAAAAAAAAAAAAAAAAAAAAAAAAAAAAAAAAAAAAAAAAAAAAAAAAAAAAAAAAAAAAAAAAAAAAAAAAAAAAAAAAAAAAAAAAAAAAAAAAAAAAAAAAAAAAAAAAAAAAAAAAAAAAAAAAAAAAAAAAAAAAAAAAAAAAAAAAAAAAAAAAAAAAAAAAAAAAAAAAAAAAAAAAAAAAAAAAAAAAAAAAAAAAAAAAAAAAAAAAAAAAAAAAAAAAAAAAAAAAAAAAAAAAAAAAAAAAAAAAAAAAAAAAAAAAAAAAAAAAAAAAAAAAAAAAAAAAAAAAAAAAAAAAAAAAAAAAAAAAAAAAAAAAAACATAAGCATAAGCATACATTTAACGTTCATTATTTCTTTTTTCCTGTTACCGAATTAGGATGTTAGAAGGAAAGAAGTTTGCCTAGTTGATCAGTTCATGGGTATGACCTGCATTTAGGCATTCATTTAACATTCATTGATATTCATTCTTTCCTGCTATCAAATCAGGATGTTGGCAGGAAGGACGTTTTCCCAGTTGATCGGGTGATAGAAAGCAACATGGCCCAGTCTCCGTCTATGCTAGACTGTGCTACCTGTATATCAAATGGGAAAATTGATAAACATGGTGAAATTTTTTCTAACAATGATGATGAGATAGGATGCCAAAATATGAAATCTGATGTGCTTGAAGATTTGGAAACCTCTAATAATGTCGACCAAGAAAGCATAACGAGTAATGGTTCTTCTCCGGTGCCTAATTCTAGTGAATCAAGAGGCTCCAAGCGTCTGAATGAGGATGAGGAACTAAACCTTGATAATAAGAGGGGTCGAACCGTTATAATAGATAGCGATGATGATGCTCCACTGAAAGATATTTCAGACTGCAATTTGATAAAATCTGAGGACCAGTCCAATGTGGATGCGAGTATGTGCATATCTGCCCCTGGTGGTCTTCCTTCACATAGTCTGAATAAGGTCTACTGCACTGCTTGTAATAAACTTGCTGTCGAAGTGCGCTCACATCCACTTCTGAAGGTGATTATTTGTACAGATTGCAGATGCTTATTGGACGAAAAGATGCATGTGAAGGTATGGGCATGAGTAACTTTTATGCATGTGAAGGTGCTGATGCACAATTCCAATATAGATACATCCAGTCCAACCTGAGTAACAGATGACAATTCAGGCAGAAATCGAAGTCCAATGTTCTGATGTCTTCCCCGACTTGGCAGTTTCTTTAATTTGCCGTATAATAAATAGTTGTCCCTGAACTCGTTTGTTTTAATTTTCAAACACGTGGTTTTGGCTAAACTTACCAGTTTTATTGTGGGGAATGATAAAGTCCTCACCTGTCTGAGGCGGGGAAAAGAACTTATTTGGGAGATATTCCTTACTCAAATTCACAATCACTTGGTCAAAACTTGGGGCGCAAGTTATTACATTTTACAGTCTGTTAGGGGTTTCTAACTGCATGCTCAAACATAAAAGAAAGTTGACTCGTTGACCACAAATGGTTTTAAAGTCAATGGAGAACTTTTACCTTACCATCATAGACACTACATCAAAACGGGGTAAACATATATATTTTGCACTACTCCAAGGAAAGAGGATGATGATGACCATGAGGATACTGGAACTTAGGTGACCATAAAAAAAATATTTATTTCGGAAAAAAAATCTTTTGGTTTTTTTTTACTTGGCATGCATAAATTATAACTTAATCTATCTCTCAAATAAATTATTATAACTTAATATTCTATTTCACACATAAATTATAAGTTAAATGACAGGACCCGCCCCGAATTTCCCGAAACCCGAGACGAACCCTGCGGAGACCCCGGCATCACACCCACGCCGGGTTCACTCCTTAACACTATGTCCTCTTTTACCAGAGAGGATTTAGGGCACGAGACTTTCTGCCAAAATTTCGGCAGAGTCTCCCCTGTAAATTGAACATTCCCCAAAATTTCCACCTGCATAAAACACATTTTATAACCCCAACCAGCAGCAAGCACAATATAATCTCATGCAATTTACATAAATGGCCTCCGGCCTTCAAATGATTCTAGCAGAACTACTCACACTGCTTTTAAAATAACTCCATGCATCAAACATGCACAGAACCAATTCAAAATCTAACTATGCACACCTTCGCTCACTCAGTCCACCGGACCAGTCTCAATTCAACCAAGTTTCGGGACCAACCACGAGGTCCGCATCATACTCGATAAAACCACCTAAGTGGTGTCTAGGTCGTGGCTGCACCTAGGCGCTATCCCAGGCTGCCTACGTACCCTACTAAGGGATCAAGCCACACGTAGCTCTTTCCTATCAATCCTGGCTCCTGATATCAATTAAACCATCACATCCATATAAATTCATACATTCTCGGGTTTATCCATCACAACACACCCAACATAATCACATAGCTCCCACTCATACGTCGGGACGCACCCGGCCCAAAGACGCGTGCGACCTCACACTGGGCCTGGCTACATTCTCACCAGCCATCATACCATCATATCTCCCACTCATACGTCGGGACGTACCTGGCCACGTACGGGGTCTGTCAACACGCCGGCTAACCCAAAGACGCGTGCGACCTCACACTGGGCCTGGCTACATTCTCACCAGCCATCATACCATCATACTCCCACTCATACGTCGGGACGTACCCGGCCACGTACGGGGTCTGTCAACACGCCGGCTAACCCAAAGACGCGTGCGACCTCACACTGGGCCTGGCTACATTCTCACCAGCCCTCACCACAATCATATCTGCCACTCATACGTCGGGACGTACCCGGCCACGTACGGGGTCTGTCAACACGCCGGCTAACCCAAAGACGCGTGCGACCCTCACACTTGGGCCTGGACATTCTCACAGGCCCTCACACAATCATATCTCCCACTCCTACGTCGGGACGTCCCGGCCACGTACGGGGTCTGTCACCACGCCGGCTAACCCAAAGACGCGTGCGACCTCACACTGGGCCTGGCTACATTCTCACCAGCCCTCACACAATCATATCTCCCACTCATACGTCGGGACGTACCCGGCCACGTACGGGGTCTGTCAACACGCCGGCTAACCAAAGACGCGTGCGACTCACACTTGGGCCCTGCTTACATTCTCACCACCCGCATACCATCATATCTCCCACTCACTACTCGTGACGGCCCCTGCCACGTACGGGTTCTGTCAACACGCCTGGCTACCAAAGACGCGTTCTCCCTCACAGCTTGAGGCCTGGCTCCATTCTCACCAGCCCTCCCACAAATCATATCTCCCACTCATACACGTCGGGACGCCCCGGCCACGTACGGTCTGTCAACGACCCGGCTACCCAAAGACGCGTCGCTCCTCACACTGAGCCTGGCTACATTCTCACCAGCCATCTACATCCTTCTCCCACTCCCCTCGTCAGGGGGGGGGGCGGGCACCCGGCCACGTCGGGGTTCTGTCAACAACGCCGGCTACCCAAAGACGCGTGCGCACGCTCACACGGGCCTGCTACAATTCTCCCCAGCCCTCACACAATATCTCCCACTCATACGTCGGGACGACCCGGCCACGTACGGGGTTGTCAACACGCCGGCTAACCCAAAGACGCGTGCGCCTCACACTATCACTTGGGCCTCAACATAATCACAATATGAGGGGTACGTGGGTAGTGCGTATAGCACTGTAAACTAACAGAATCTCCTTATATATCATGTAACACCCCGACTCCAAATTTATCCCCTGTTTTAATTAATTGAGTGAAATTAAGAATTTACCCGTGGGATGGGTATTTAGTCATTTCTTATCCGGAAGGAATTTGGGAATTCCGGTTGTACCGTTGCGTAGAGCACGGTGAGATGAGTCCGTAGACACGTAGTGGGCTCGAATCGGAGTTGTAACGAGAGAGATATGATCAAAAGAAGCTCAGTGGCATAATCGTAAATATTTGGAAAATGGATTTTTGGTTAAAAGACGGAATTGCCCCCGTCTCTCACACATCTCTCTCTCCCGCGCGTCCCTCTCTCTCTCCTCTGGTTCGCGACGCCACCGCAGCCGGCCACGTTTTGGCCGGCCGTTCAGTCATCCGGCCACCACTCGGGTCGGGACCGGTCCCAAAATGACCGGCCTGACTCCGCCGTCCTACCCCACCTGTTCTCCGACGTCAGCCGGCAGCGATACCCGCCGGAAAGTGCAGAAAAACGGCCGGTTTTTTACCCAGATTTTCCGGAGCTCGTTCCGGCGATTCCGGCCACCAAATCTTGCGATCAAGGTATGGTTTCTCACCTATTTTCCGAGCTCTAGCTGCCTGTTGGGTAGGAATTGATCGATTTGTAGCGTAGGCAACTCGATTTACGAATTGGGTTTCGGCCGGATTTCGGGATGAGATTCCGGCCACTTCCGGTCAGTTTTTGGGGTACGTCCAAGAACAAAAGTGACTCCAAATTAGGTGTTTTACCTAGGGTAGGAGTCTGGGCTCACGATTTGGAAGTTTTCCCGGCGATGGGTATCGCTTTGGACACCCACGCGCTGCCGGCGCGTGTGGCGGCGCGTGGGCACTGTAGCTGAGGGGCATTTTTGTCCCATTGTGATCCTCTCGATGTCACGAGCGCGTAGGTGTGCTCGGATCTCAATTTGGATATCGTTAGAGTCCCGAACGGATATCGCATATCGCGTATTTTCCGGGTTCGCTGGGTTTGGACCGTTGGATGGTCCTGATATTATTATATGTTGATCTAGGTATTACCAGGATCATGTAGGATTTGACGGATCGTAAAATGGAGTCCCGGATACTCCAGAAATGCCAACCCTAGGGTTAGGGTTTTAGTAACGTCCGATCGTGCGATCGTGAGCGATCCGACCGTCCGATCTGGACCAAACTTGCAGGACATGTGTCCTAGACCTTGTAGAACCTATAGGAACTGTCATATCGGAATTTGGAGGTTGTGGGCCCCGCAGGCCCGTTTGACCCTAGGTTGACCGTGAGACTCCCGAGATAGTCTTACCTTTCCTTGAGGGTTAAGATGACCTTAGTGACAGGTCTTGAGCGTTGTTGAGTAAAATAGATGTTGTGGGTTTAGGATATAAATTGGTGAATTTAAATGGGGGAGTTTATGGAATATTTTATTGGTTGATGTTATTGTATGATTAGAAATTATATGTTATATTTAATTGATTGTATGGAGGTATAATGATATATAAGGAGATTGAATGTTAGTTTACAGTGCTATACGCACTACCCCACGTACCCCCCATATTGTGATTATGTACCAGGCCCAAGTGATAGTGTGAGGTCGCACGCGTCTTTGGGTTAGCCGGCGTGTTGACAGACCCCGTACGTGGCTGGGTGCGTCCCGACGTATGAGTGGGGAGATATGGTTGTATGATGGCTGGTGAGAATGTAGCCAGGCCCAGTGTGAGTCGCACGCGTCTTTGGTTAGCCGGCGTGTTGACAGACCCCGTACGTGGCCGGGTGCGTCCCGACGTATGAGTGGAGTTATGATGGTATGATGGCTGGTGAGAATGTAGCCAGGCCCAGTGTGAGGTCGCACGCGTCTTTGGGTTAGCCGGCGTGTTGACAGACCCCGTACGTGGCCGGTGCGTCCCGACGTATGAGTGGGAGATATGATGATATGATGGCTGGTGAGAATGTAGCCAGGCCCAGTGTGAGGTCGCACGCGTCTTTGGGTTAGCCGGCGTGTTGACAGACCCCGTACGTGGCCGGGTGCGTCCCGACGTATGAGTGGGAGATATGATGGTATGATGGCTGGTGAGAATGTAGCCAGGCCCAGTGTGAGGTCGCACGCTCTTTGGGTTAGCCGGCGTGTTGACAGACCCCGTACGTGGCCGGGTGCGTCCCGACGTATGAGTGGGAGTTATGGTTGTGTGAGGGCTGGTGAGAATGTAGCCAGGCCCAGTGTGAGGTCGCACGCGTCTTTGGGTTAGCCGGCGTGTTTGACAGACCCCGTACGTGGCCGGGTGCGTCCCGACGTATGAGTGGGAGATATGATGTATGATGGCTGGTGAGAATGTAGCCAGGCCCAGTGTGAGGTCGCACGCGTCTTTGGGTTAGCCGGCGTGTTGACAGACCCCGTACGTGGCTGGGTGCGTCCCGACGTATGAGTGGGAGATATGGTGTATGATGGCTGGTGAGAATGTAGCCAGGCCCAGTGTGAGGTCGCACGCGTCTTTGGGTTAGCCGGCGTGTTGACAGACCCCGTACGTGGCTGGGTGCGTCCCGACGTATGAGTGGGAGTTATGATGGTATGATGGCTGGTGAGAATGTAGCCAGGCCCAGTGTGAGGGTCGCACGCGTCTTTGGGTTAGCCGGCGTGTTGACAGACCCCGTACGTGGCCGGGTGCGTCCCGACGTATGAGTGGGGGATATGATGGTATGATGGCTGGTGAGAATGTAGCCAGGCCCAGTGTGAGGTCGCACGCGTCTTTGGGTTAGCCGGCGTGTTGACAGACCCCGTACGTGGCCGGGTGCGTCCCGACGTATGAGTGGGAGATATGATTGTGTGAGGGCTGGTGAGAATGTAGCCAGGCCCCAGTGTGAGGTCGCACGCGTCTTTGGGTTAGCCGGCGTGTTGACAGACCCCGTACGTGGCCGGGTGCGTCCCGACGTATGAGTGGGAGATATGATTGTGTGAGGGCTGGTGAGATGTAGCCAGGCCCAGTGTGAGGTCGCACGCGTCTTTGGGTTAGCCGGCGTGTTGACAGACCCCGTACGTGGCCGGGTGCGTCCCGACGTATGAGTGGGAGATATGATGGTATGATGGCTGGTGAGAATGTAGCCATGCCCAGTGTGAGGTCGCACGCGTCTTTGGGTTAGCCGGCGTGTTGACAGACCCCGTACGTGGCCGGGTGCGTCCCGACGTATGAGTGGAGCTATGTGATTGTGTTTGGTGTGTTGTGATGGATAAACCCGAGAATGTATGAATTTATATGGATGTAATGGTTTAATTGATATCAGGAGCCAGGATTGATAGGAAAGAGCTACGTGTGGCTTGATCCCTTAGTAGGGTACGTAGGCACCTGGGATAGCGCCTAGGTGCAGCCACGACTTAGACACCACTTAGGTGGTTTTCATTGTGTTTGATGCGGACCTCGTGGTTGGTCCCGAAACTTGGTTGAATTGAGGCTTGTCCGGTGGACTGAGTGAGCGAATGTGTACATAGATAGATTTGGAATTTGTTATATGCATGCTTGATGCATGGAGTTACTTTAAAAGCAGTGTGAGTAGTTCTGCTAGAATCATTTGAAGGCCGGAGGCCATTTGTGTAAATTGCATGAGATTATATTGTGCGTGCTGCTGGTTGGGTTATAAAATGTGTTTTATGCAGGTGGAAATTTTGGGGAATGTTCAATTTACAGGGGAGACTCCGCCGAAGTTTTGGCAGAAAGTCTCGTGCCCTTAATCCTCTATGGTAAACGAGGACGTAGATTTTAGGAGTAAACCCGGCGTGGGTGTGATGCCGGGGTCTCCGCAGGGTTCGTCTCGGGTTCCGGGAAATTTGGACGGTCCTGTCAGCTTGGTATCAGAGCTTAGGTTCAATTTCTTGTGGACCTCGCACCTTGTGTGCATCCTTAAGTTGTGGGATCATGATGGGTTCCGTCACGGGACGTCATCATTTTGACGCGGAGGATTCTTTGACATGGATGGATTTAGGGTATTGATGAGTACACTTAAGGGTGCCACGTTCCTAGAAACGTGTCTATCCAAATTGTCGTATCTCAATATCCTATGGAAGGAAATGGAAGAGCTGGAAGTATTGAATCCGCTGAGATGAGACGAAATTGTCAGAGGAAGTTGATGGACAAGTTACATGGGAATGGAGGAGTTGTGAGTCCGACCAAGGAGGGTCGTGACAAATTAAGTTGAGAAGTAGTAGTGTTGGATGAAGTTTGTAGAGTTCTTATGGGCAGGAGGACATGGAGTTGATCAATCTACTTCTGGGGATCCTCCATTGCCTGAACATGTTGCTAATTCTCGATTGTGTGCATTGAGCACGAAGTCGAAGATAATAAGAGCTCAACCTTTCTTTGAGAAGAGTGAATTCTCGAAGAGTGAATCACTGGATTCATGATATGAAGGACGGCTTTAGTATAATCGAAATCACAAGTGTGAGAAAAGATTTAGATAGCCGTACTCCTCATACGGAAGGAGGCTCGTGTGTGGTGGGAATACCACGAGCAAATCCAAGGATGAGACCTAGATGGATTGGTAAACCTACCGTGGAGATGAAGAGAGTGCTTTGGGGTCTCATCTCATGTGCACACGTTTGAAATCTTTTATCTGAATCAGAAATGGGTCATGGTAGAGAGGGAAGATGATGATTACAATTCGGTAAAAATGATCCTTTCTGACATTCCTCTCAAAGAATCGTGTTGGCAATGTTGCTTATCGATTCTAAAGAAATAAGGAAGATATCAACAAGTCAAGGAGTTTTGACTTCTCTTCATGGGAGAACTAGAAGAGAATCAAATCACAAATGGAAGCGTTTAGCTTCCAGAGGAAGATTAAGCATTACCGCAGCTATTGAAGGATATTCTTAGTGGAAGAAAGAGACTTCTCTTCTTCTGCTTGTTTGGATAGAGCTAATGGCTTAGCTGCCAACCTGGTTGTGGAGGATGAAGCATGGAAACCCGAGTAGTAGATGCGGGCCCAACACCCCACACCCTTTGGAGTGGCAGTTATGAAATTTTCGGGGACGAAATTTTTATAAGGGGGGTAGTCTGTAACACCCCGACTCCAAATTTATCCCCTGTTTTTAAATTAATTTGAGTGAAATTAAGAATTTACCCGTGGGATGGGTATTTTAGTCATTTTCTTATCCGGAAGGAATTTGGGAATTCCGGTTGTACCGTTGCGTAGAGCACGGTGAGATGAGTCCGTAGACACGTAGTGGGCTCGAATCGGAGTTGTAACGAGAGAGATATGATCAAAAGAAGCTCAGTGGCATAATCGTAAATATTTGGAAAATGGATTTTTGGTTAAAAGACGGAATTGCCCCCGTCTCTCACACACTCTCTCTCTCCCGCGCGTCCCTCTCTCTCTCTCCTCTGGTTCGCGACGCCACCGCAGCCGGCCACGTTTTGGCCGGCCGTTCAGTCATCCGGCCACCACTCGGGTCGGGACCGGTCCCAAAATGACCGGCCTGACTCCGCCGTCCTACCCCCACCTGTTCTCCGACGTCAGCCGGCAGCGATACCGCCGGAAAGTGCAGAAAAACGGCCGGTTTTTTACCCAATTTTCCGGAGCTCGTTCCGGCGATTCCGGCCACCAAATCTTGCGATCAAGGTATGGTTTCTCACCTATTTTCCGAGCTCTAGCTGCCTGTTGGGTAGGAATTGATCGATTTGTAGCGTAGGCAACTCGATTTACGAATTGGGTTTCGGCCGGATTTCGGGATGAGATTCCGGCCACTTCCGGTCAGTTTTTGGGGTACGTCCAAGAACAAAAGTGACTCCAAATTAGGTGTATTACCTAGGGTAGGAGTCTGGGCTCACGATTTGGAAGTTTTTCCGGCGATGGGTACGCTTTGGACACCCACGCGCTGCCGGCGCGTGTGGCGGCGCGTGGGCACTGTAGCTGAGGGGCATTTTTGTCCCATTGTGATCCTCTCGATGTCACGAGCGCGTAGGTGTGCTCGGATCTCAATTTGGATATCGTTAGAGTCCCGAACGGATATCGCATATCGCGTATTTTCCGGGTTCGCTGGGTTTGGACCGTTGGATGGTCCTGATATTATTATATGTTGATCTAGGTATTACCAGGATCATGTAGGATTTGACGGATCGTAAATGGAGTCCCGGATACTCCAGAAATGCCAACCCTAGGGTTAGGGTTTTAGTAACCGTCCGATCGTGCGATCGTGAGCGATCCGACCGTCCGATCTGGACCAAACTTGCAGGACATGTGTCCTAGACCTTGTAGAACCTATAGGAACTGTCATATCGGAATTTGGAGGTTGTGGGCCCCGCAGGCCCGTTTGACCCTAGTTTGACCGTGAGACTCCCGAGATAGTCTTACCTTTCCTTGAGGGTTAAGATGACCTTAGTGACAGGTCTTGAGCGTTGTTGAGTAAAATAGATGTTGTGGGTTTAGGATATAAATTGGTGAATTTAAATGGGGGAGTTTATGGAATATTTTATTGGTTGATGTTATTGTATGATTAGAAATTATATGTTATATTTAATTGATTGTATGGAGGTATAATGATATATAAGGAGATTGAATGTTAGTTTACAGTGCTATACGCACTACCCCACGTACCCCCCATATTGTGATTATGTAGAGGCCCAAGTGATAGTGTGAGGTCGCACGCGTCTTTGGGTTAGCCGGCGTGTTGACAGACCCCGTACGTGGCTGGGTGCGTCCCGACGTATGAGTGGGAGATATGGTTGTATGATGGCTGGTGAGAATGTAGCCAGGCCCCAGTGTGAGGTCGCACGCGTCTTTGGGTTAGCCGGCGTGTTGACAGACCCCGTACGTGGCCGGGTGCGTCCCGACGTATGAGTGGGAGTTATGATGGTATGATGGCTGGTGAGAATGTAGCCAGGCCCAGTGTGAGGTCGCACGCGTCTTTGGGTTAGCCGGCGTGTTGACAGACCCCGTACGTGGCCGGGTGCGTCCCGACGTATGAGTGGGAGATATGATGATATGATGGCTGGTGAGAATGTAGCCAGGCCCAGTGTGAGGTCGCACGCGTCTTTGGGTTAGCCGGCGTGTTGACAGACCCCCGTACGTGGCCGGGTGCGTCCCGACGTATGAGTGGGAGATATGATGGGTATGAGGCTGGTGAGAATGTAGCCAGGCCCAGTGTGAGGTCGCACGCGTCTTTGGGTTAGCCGGCGTGTTGACAGACCCCGTACGTGGCCGGGTGCGTCCCGACGTATGAGTGGGAGTTATGGTTGTGTGAGGGCTGGTGAGAATGTAGCCAGGCCCAGTGTGAGGTCGCACGCGTCTTTGGGTTAGCCGGCGTGTTGACAGACCCCGTACGTGGCCGGGTGCGTCCCGACGTATGAGTGGGAGATATGATGGTATGATGGCTGGTGAGAATGTAGCCAGGCCCAGTGTGAGGTCGCACGCGTCTTTGGGTTAGCCGGCGTGTTGACAGACCCCGTACGTGGCTGGGTGCGTCCCGACGTATGAGTGGGAGATATGGTTGTATGATGGCTGGTGAGAATGTAGCCAGGCCCAGTGTGAGGTCGCACGCGTCTTTGGGTTAGCCGGCGTGTTGACAGACCCCGTACGTGGCCGGGTGCGTCCCGACGTATGAGTGGGAGTTATGATGGTATGATGGCTGGTGAGAATGTAGCCAGGCCCAGTGTGAGGTCGCACGCGTCTTTGGGTTAGCCGGCGTGTTGACAGACCCCGTACTGGCCGGGTGCGTCCCGACGTATGAGTGGGGGATATGATGGTATGATGGCTGGTGAGAATGTAGCCAGGCCCAGTGTGAGGTCGCACGCGTCTTTGGGTTAGCCGGCGTGTTGACAGACCCCGTACGTGGCCGGTGCGTCCCGACGTATGAGTGGGAGATATGATTGTGTGAGGGCTGGTGAGAATGTAGCCAGGCCCAGTGTGAGGTCGCACGCGTCTTTGGTTTAGCCGGCGTGTTGACAGACCCCGTACGTGGCCGGGTGCGTCCCGACGTATGAGTGGGAGATATGATTGTGTGAGGGCTGGTGAAATGTAGCCAGGCCCAGTGTGAGGTCGCACGCGTCTTTGGGTTAGCCGGCGTGTTGACAGACCCCGTACGTGGCCGGGTGCGTCCCGACGTATGAGTGGGAGATATGATGGTATGATGGCTGGTGAGAATGTAGCCAGGCCCAGTGTGAGGTCGCACGCGTCTTTGGGTTAGCCGGCGTGTTGACAGACCCCGTACGTGGCCGGGTGCGTCCCGACGTATGAGTGGAGCTATGTGATTGTGTTTGGTGTGTTGTGATGGATAAACCCGAGAATGTATGAATTTATATGGATGTAATGGTTTAATTGATATCAGGAGCCAGGATTGATAGGAAGAGCTACGTGTGGCTTGATCCCTTAGTAGGGTACGTAGGCAGCCTGGGATAGCGCCTAGGTGCAGCCACGACTTAGACACCACTTAGGTGGTTTCATTGTGTTTGATGCGGACCTCGTGGTTGGTCCCGAAACTTGGTTGAATTGAGGCTTGTCCGGTGGACTGAGTGAGCGAATGTGTACATAGATAGATTTGGAATTTGTTATATGCATGCTTGATGCATGGAGTTACTTTAAAAGCAGTGTGAGTAGTTCTGCTAGAATCATTTGAAGGCCGGAGGCCATTTGTGTAAATTGCATGAGATTATATTGTGCGTGCTGCTGGTTGGGTTATAAAATGTGTTTTATGCAGGTGGAAATTTTGGGGAATGTTCAATTTACAGGGGAGACTCCGCCGAAGTTTTGGCAGAAAGTCTCGTGCCCTTAATCCTCTATGGTAAACGAGGACGTAGATTTAAGGAGTAAACCCGGCGTGGGTGTGATGCCGGGGTCTCCGCAGGGTTCGTCTCGGGTTCCGGGAAATTTGGGACGGGTCCTGTCAGCTTGGTATCAGAGCTTAGGTTCAATTTCTTGTGGACCTCGCACCTTGTGTGCATCCTTAAGTTGTGGGATCATGATGGGTTCCGTCACGGGACGTCATCATTTTGACGCGGAGGATTCTTTGACATGGATGGATTTAGGGTATTGATGAGTACACTTAAGGGTGCCACGTTCCTAGAAACGTGTCTATCCAAATTGTCGTATCTCAATATCCTATGGAAGGAAATGGAAGAGCTGAAAGTATTGAATCCGCTGAGATGAGACGAAATTGTCAGAGGAAGTTGATGGACAAGTTACATGGGAATGGAGGAGTTGTGAGTCCGACCAAGGAGGGTCGTGACAAATTAAGTTGAGAAGTAGTAGTGTTGGATGAAGTTTGTAGAGTTCTTATGGGCAGGAGGACATGGAGTTGATCAATCTACTTCTGGGGATCCTCCATTGCCTGAACATGTTGCTAATTCTCGATTGTGTGCATTGAGCACGAAGTCGAAGATAATAAGAGCTCAACCTTTCTTTGAGAAGAGTGAATTCTCGAAGAGTGAATCACTGGATTCATGATATGAAGGACGGCTTTAGTATAATCGAAATCACAAGTGTGAGAAAAGATTTAGATAGCCGTACTCCTCATACGGAAGGAGGCTCGTGTGTGGTGGGAATACCACGAGCAAATCCAAGGATGAGACCTAGATGGATTGGTAAACCTACCGTGGAGATGAAGAGAGTGCTTTGGGGTCTCATCTCATGTGCACACGTTTGAAATCTTTTATCTGAATCAGAAATGGGTCATGGTAGAGAGAGGAAGATGATGATTACAATTCGGTAAAAATGATCCTTTCTGACATTCCTCTCAAAGAATCGTGTTGGCAATGTTGCTTATCGATTCTAAAGAAATAAGGAAGATATCAACAAGTCAAGGAGTTTGGACTTCTCTTCATGGGAGAACTAGAAGAGAATCAAATCACAAATGGAAGCGTTTAGCTTCCAGAGGAAGATTAAGCATTACCGCAGCTATTGAAGGATATTCTTAGTGGAAGAAAGAGACTTCTCTTCTTCTGCTTGTTTGGATAGAGCTAATGGCTTAGCTGCCAACCTGGTTGTGGAGGATGAAGCATGGAAACCCGAGTAGTAGATGCGGGCCCAACACCCACACCCTTTGGAGTGGCAGTTATGAAATTTCGGGGACGAAATTTTTATAAGGGGGGTAGTCTGTAACACCCCGACTCCAAATTTATCCCCTGTTTTAATTAATTTGAGTGAATTAAGAATTTACCCGTGGGATGGGTATTTTAGTCATTTTCTTATCCGGAAGGAATTTGGGAATTCCGGTTGTACCGTTGCGTAGAGCACGGTGAGATGAGTCCGTAGACACGTAGTGGGCTCGAATCGGAGTTGTAACGAGAGAGATATGATCAAAAGAAGCTCAGTGGCATAATCGTAAATATTTGGAAAATGGATTTTTGGTTAAAAGACGGAATTGCCCCCGTCTCTCACACACTCTCTCTCTCCCGCGCGTCCCTCTCTCTCTCTCCTCTGGTTCGCGACGCCACCGCAGCCGGCCACGTTTTGGCCGGCCGTTCAGTCATCCGGCCACCACTCGGGTCGGGACCGGTCCCAAAATGACCGGCCTGACTCCGCCGTCCTACCCCACCTGTTCTCCGACGTCAGCCGGCAGCGATACCGCCGGAAAGTGCAGAAAAACGGCCGGTTTTTACCCAGATTTTCCGGAGCTCGTTCCGGCGATTCCGGCCACCAAATCTTGCGATCAAGGTATGGTTTCTCACCTATTTTCCGAGCTCTAGCTGCCTGTTGGGTAGGAATTGATCGATTTGTAGCGTAGGCAACTCGATTTACGAATTGGGTTTCGGCCGGATTTCGGGATGAGATTCCGGCCACTTCCGGTCAGTTTTTGGGGTACGTCCAAGAACAAAAGTGACTCCAAATTAGGTGTTTTACCTAGGGTAGGAGTCTGGGCTCACGATTTGGAAGTTTTTCCGGCGATGGGTATCGCTTTGGACACCCACGCGCTGCCGGCGCGTGTGGCGGCGCGTGGGCACTGTAGCTGAGGGGCATTTTTGTCCCATTGTGATCCTCTCGATGTCACGAGCGCGTAGGTGTGCTCGGATCTCAATTTGGATATCGTTAGAGTCCCGAACGGATATCGCATATCGCGTATTTTCCGGGTTCGCTGGGTTTGGACCGTTGGATGGTCCTGATATTATTATATGTTGATCTAGGTATTACCAGGATCATGTAGGATTTGACGGATCGTAAATGGAGTCCCGGATACTCCAGAAATGCCAACCCTAGGGTTAGGGTTTTAGTAACCGTCCGATCGTGCGATCGTGAGCGATCCGACCGTCCGATCTGGACCAAACTTGCAGGACATGTGTCCTAGACCTTGTAGAACCTATAGGAACTGTCATATCGGAATTTGGAGGTTGTGGGCCCCGCAGGCCCGTTTGACCCTAGGTTGACCGTGAGACTCCCGAGATAGTCTTACCTTTCCTTGAGGGTTAAGATGACCTTAGTGACAGGTCTTGAGCGTTGTTGAGTAAAATGGATATTGTGGGTTTAGGATATAAATTGGTGAATTTAAATGGGGGAGTTTATGGAATATTTTATTGGTTGATGTTATTGTATGATTAGAAATTATATGTTATATTTAATTGATTGTATGGAGGTATAATGATATATAAGGAGATTGAATGTTAGTTTACAGTGCTATACGCACTACCCCACGTACCCCCCATATTGTGATTATGTAGCCAGGCCCAAGTGATAGTGTGAGGTCGCACGCGTCTTTGGGTTAGCCGGCGTGTTGACAGACCCCGTACGTGGCTGGGTGCGTCCCGACGTATGAGTGGGAGATATGGTTGTATGATGGCTGGTGAGAATGTAGCCAGGCCCAGTGTGAGTCGCACGCGTCTTTGGGTTAGCCGGCGTGTTGACAGACCCCGTACGTGGCCGGGTGCGTCCCGACGTATGAGTGGGAGTTATGATGGTATGATGGCTGGTGAGAATGTAGCCAGGCCCAGTGTGAGGTCGCACGCGTCTTTGGGTTAGCCGGCGTGTTGACAGACCCCGTACGTGGCCGGGTGCGTCCCGACGTATGAGTGGGAGATATGATGATATGATGGCTGGTGAGAATGTAGCCAGGCCCAGTGTGAGGTCGCACGCGTCTTTGGGTTAGCCGGCGTGTTGACAGACCCCCGTACGTGGCCGGGTGCGTCCCGACGTATGAGTGGGAGATATGATGGTATGATGGCTGGTGAGAATGTAGCCAGGCCCA